GCGAGGTGTCGTCTGCACTCACTCGTCAAGCGAACTCCGCATCTGATAGCGTGTGGGCCTCGCTTGTGCGGATTAAGGCCCGAAAGGGTCTCACCTCTTGCCGTTGGGGCGCCAAGCGAGCGCTTGCAACGCACTCAATCCAGCTCCCGTTCCCGCTTTTTTCGATTTTTTGTTTGAATTTCTCTGGCTGAGTCTCAACCTTGAGCCACTTGAATACACGGCCTTTGCCTTGAACCACAAAAGGTCTCAGAAAGTGTCTCTCTTTGTGGAAAAAAACAAAAACAAAAATGAATTTGGAAGAAAGGGGGCCAACAGCGCAAGAGGCTCAGACGCTGGACACAGCCCGCGGCGAGCCAGCCTCTTTGACTTTTTGGATGCAAGCTGAGTCGAGCCGAGACGCGTGCTGTCACTGTGCGGTGCTGTGTTGTGCTGTGCTGCGCCCCTTTTGCGATCCAAGCTGTTTCTGTGCCGCCGCTTTCTGACATGCCTCTCTGTCTCTGCTTTGCTTGCCATCGACCAACTCTCTCTTTCGAGAAGCACACCTCCAAAGCGGCAACGCAGCCTCGGTGCCGTTCCTTGCTGCTAACGCTTCCTTGCTTGCCTGCTTGTTCTTCTTTGCTCCTGTCACTCCGAATGCGACCATAGTAGCTTCCACCGCTCGCCGCATTGCGCTCATCATAGCTCGACCTTTTGCTTTGCTTCCTTGGCTCCCTTCTTCAGCACCACATCCTCTTGCACCCCCTCTCGGCATCTCTGCTACTCCTTGTCACCTCGCTTGGCGCCCCGCTTCTTAGAGAAAAAGGGTCAACTCTCAGACGTTCATTCTCTCTCGCTCTCGCTCCCTGCCTCCTACCGCTCTGCTGGTGCCACTTCTTGACCCGCCGCCACACCGCATCCAAACAACAACGCCAAGCGCCCTTACCTCTCTGCATCCAGCTAGCCGCTCTCCAAACAAGCTTTTCCAACTGGCCATTGTTCACAAGCCGCTCAGCCGCCTTCCATATTCCACGCGGTGCCTTTCCATCTCCGGCATCTCTGCCCGCCTTGGACCGTCTTGGCGCTGACTTCGACGGCCGCCCTCACTTCGTCTCAAGCCACCTTCCCTTGACTCCTTCTCCGACACCCTTCCACCGGCGCCACCACTTTCCTGCGCTACCCAAACAATATATAGCTCGACCGGTAGCCTTCGTCATCGTTGTCTTTCCCCCCTTTCACCTTTTCGCACAACCCGGTCATCACCCTTCCCTCGTCCCGCTCCGGCAGTGGATACCACGAGCTCCTTCTCCTTTGGACCGTCGACGAGATCGTCCTTGCCCTTCATTCCACCATCACCTCCTTGTCACTCCCTCTCGTAACGCGCAACCATGACCACGCTCGAAATGCCCAGGCCTCGTCGCCCCACCGCCTCGTCCGTGCGTCGACTCTCGGCAGCGCAGCCCCTCACGCCGGCCTCGCCCACCGTCATTCGCACCCCCGACTTCATCCTCTTTCCTTCGGTGCCCACCCACGAACCCGAGGACAACCTTCCCACCCCCTTGGCGTGGCAGCAGCAATTCGCCGCCGTCGCTCTCAACGACGCACATGCAAGACGAAGCAGGAACAATTCGATCCAACGCAGCCCCTCGTCGGAGGACTGGCGCTTGCCGGGAAGCTCGCGCAGCGATTTCTCGCACCATAGCAGCAGCGGCGGCAGCAACAGTCATAACACGGTCCTCCACGAGGACAACGACGAGCTCGAAGAGATCGCCGACCCGGAAAACGAAGTCGACGGCGACCCAGCTGCCTCGTACGATGCCGTTCGCGACGTTCGCAACCAGCAGCTCGACTCGCTTCAGTCGGTCGTTCACTCGATCGCCGAATTCCACTTTGACCGTGCCTCCTCTTCCTCTTCCTCGGGTCCCGACTCGGACATCACCGAGACCTTGGACGACATGTTTGCTTCCATCCGTCGCATCGGCGGTCACAATGCTCCCTTGTCGCCCACCTTTGCGCGTCCCATGATGGCATCGCCCAACATGCACCAGCTCTCCGATGTGGATCGTCTCGTTCTCCTCGTCGACAGGCTCAAGGCTTCCGTCGGCGGCATCACCGATGCTCACCAGGCCGGTCTGCTGGCCAAACTCATCAAGCTCACGCAAGGGCTCATCGAGTCCGAACGTCGCATTGCCCATCCTGCTGCTGCTGCCCTCGAGAGCCCTCCTCGCACGCCTCGCAGCGTCCTCGCCACTTCGCGTCGTCGCTCCTTTATCCATGCAGTCCAGCACTCGCCTCGATCTAGCAGCCAGCTCTCCTTGTCGCGTGGCTCCTTCAGCTCCACTCAGTCGTACAATACGCTTCCCACCTCGTCCGACGAAGCGGGTCACAACAGCGATGCCGAGCTGCAGCACCGACGGGCTCGTTCCAAGTCGCTTTCCGCGGCAGCAGCAGCCGCATCCTCGCCCGCAACCAAGTTCACCAAGCCCTTGGATGCGCTTGCCGAAGTCGCGCCCTTGTCGGCGGTTCCGGAACAGCACCAGTTTGACGGCTCCGTCTTTGACATGGCCACCGTGCGTCAGTCGCCGAAACCACCCGCACGCGATGCGCCCTTCTCCTTCGAGACGCTCTACTCGCCTCTCTCCACGGCGTTGGGCTTGATCAACACGCATTCGTCGCCTCGCTCCGACCAAGCCTCGCTCGCAGCCTCGGTGGCCGCCAAGTCGGATGCCACCGCTTTGCCTGGCCGCAGCCGGCGTTCGCGTTCAGTATCGGTGCAGACCGACGACAACAAGAGCGTCGCTAGCACCTGCTTGCCCGGCTACAACTCGCACGAGGCTCCTGGCTACGAAGTGGCGGACGCCAGCAGCACCAGCAAGAACCTCGAGAAACAATCGCAGGCGGGCGACTTGCCGCAATACGCCGAGTCGACCGCTGCCGCTGCTTCTGCTTCTTTGTCGTCCGACGTCAAGAAGCCCGTCGAGGCGCCCACGCTGCTCGAACGCCGTCGTGCCAAGATGGCGGCCCAGCACAGCGCCTACGCCGCCCGCACGCCCGAGGACCTTGCAGTGGTGCAGAGTTCCATCGACCACATGTCCACCGTCATGCCTCAGCTCGACAACCAGCGCGCTCTCTCGCCCGAAGAGCAACGCGAGGCGCAGCTGCAGACCATGATGGGCCGTCTGAGCAAGTCGAGCTCCACACGCATGAACGATCAGCGCAGCAACCCTCCGACGCTGCGAGCCACTCGCACTGCTCCCTCGCCTCCGCTCGCGTCCACAACCGCACAGACGGGCCTCTTGACTCCGCTGGTGGCCGTGAACGAGTTGCCGCCGCGCAGGGAATCGACCTTCGTACCCGAGCGAGAGGCACCAAAGACGCCCACCACACCGCCCTTTGTGTCGAACGCCTCGTCGTCTCGCAGGGCGTCTTTGCTTCCCAGCGCATTCACCCGCAAGCTCTCGATCGCCAGCATTGGCAATGCGCTGCGTCGTGCTTCCATCTACGACGCATCCAAGGCCAAGCAGCAGCAGCAGCAGCAGCCGCCGCCCAAGGCAGTAGAAAGGAGGCAGCAGAGCGAAAGCGAGGTCTCGGCTCCCACGATCGTTGTCGATGATGCCACCGTCCGTCATCGTCGCGGCCAGGCGTCTCGCGACACGCGTACCAAGTACGACATTGCCGAGTCGCTGACCACCCTGATCAACGACGGCAAGGCGCCAAACAAGTCGAGTCCCGTCTCGAGTATCCGCTCCTCCCGAGCTTCCAAGCGCGAGTCGCAGGGATTTCGAGCCATCGACTTCGCCGACGACACCCCACGTGGGCGCGACACCGTGATGGCGCGGGATGGCATCGAGATGGAGGACGAAGACGACAGCATGCTGCAAGACTACAGCTTTGCTAAAGTCACAACGACCAAATCGAACCACCGGCTGTCGATCATGCCCATCGTGCCCGACTCGCCGCGTAGCCTCGCCGACTGGGGGAGCAGCGCCTCGTCGCGCCGCAGCTCGAACCACGGCTCGGCCAGTCCCGGCACGCCGACGTGGCCCAAGTCGCCGCTCACCCCCGTCTCGCCCACGATGCCCACGGCCAAACGGATCAGCATGAAGCCCAGCGTGACGTTTGCAGCGGGAACACTGCCCCCACCGCCAGCGGGGCAGTCGGTCGCCGCCAACAACTCGATTCGTAAGTACCCCGACTCGTCCGCCTCTGACCCTGTCTGTGCTCCCGCCCCCACCGACACCGCTGCTGCGAACGACTTGATCGTTTATACCGTCCGCATCCCGCCCGCGACCGCCGCTGACACCTCCGTCCGCTCCGTCTCCCTCGCCCTCCAGTCTGATCCGGTGGAAATCGAGTACTTTGCCGAAGCGCAGGGTGCGTTGGGATGCATCTCTGTCTTGCTCTGGTCCTCTTCTCACATGGAGGTGGAGTGGGAGTTGGAGGATCATGTAACGTTGCACCTCTGGAGCAATCGCAATGTGAAACTTGCTGTGGCGTGTGATGCGAGTGAAAGCAGCAGCAGCGGTGGTGAGCAAGGGCAGGGTCACGTGAGGGTGCGGTTGCCAGCGAGAGCGGTGGTGCCGCAGACGGGTCGGGTCGCGTTGAAGGCAGACGGGTCAGTGGGGCGGCTGAAGCTGGTGCTGACGGAAGAAGAGAGGAAGGTGGGGATGGAGGAGAGTCGGGCGGAGGGGATGGTGGAATTCCCCCTTTCCGCACGGGAGCTGAGCGAGGTGCAGGGTTTGGGGTGTGCGGTGTGCGCCCGAGATGGGAAGAGGGAGATGTTGATGAAGGCGGAGGGGGTGAGATGGAGAGCGCTGCCGTCGGAAGGGTGGGAGGAGCTGGTGGACGCATGGATGTGCCATGGCGACCAGGAGTTGAATCGGACGCTGACAGAGACCGCTGTGAGGTTCTCGAGCAAGATCCAGGCGACCACCGACACCGGCGTTGATGCCGGGGTGGGAGAGGAGACGGTCTGGGTAGGCGACACCTACCTGCTCGTCCCGCAAAGGCTGTTCGACCTATCCGCAGTGACGTTGGACGACGCGCAAGATGGACAGACGGTAAGTGTGATTCGACCCTTTGCCTCTGACCGACACAAGGCCATAAAGGACCGGATAGAAAGTCGATCGTCCCCGTGCGCGATGCTTGTTGCACGCGCACAACGATGGATCGTCGACTGATACACCGAATGTCCAAGATTAACCTGCCTCTCCTTTCGGTAGACGCTTTTTATATTGTCTCTGCTGGTCTTGAAGCTGGCTTTCGGTCTCGAAAAGTTGCTTCGTTCGTTCTTGCCTTGTGTCACCATGCATCGCTGGGGTCGCACCGCCGGTCCAAGGGGACTGTGCTCGGTGCGAGCCTCATTGCTGGTGCAAGATGCAAGAAAAGGGTGGACGGAGGGACGAGATCGAACGGCAGCGGAAAGATCAGGAGGGATTGGATGGAGGGCGATGCTCGAAAGAGGATCACAGGACGTGGGTCGGAGCTGAACAGAACACTTGCTCGTCGCAAAGGGTCACGGCTCGAAGCATCTACCCGGCCCACGTACACGCATCTCATTCCCCCGCTTCGCCCTTTCACTCCATCACGAAAGAATGTCGCTGACTCTGTACATTCTCATCCTGTGTTCTCTGACGATCCTAGGCCCTACGTTGTACTACATGTCGCAGCGTGCTCGGCGAGCGCTCGTCTGCACCAACTGCCGCAGTTGGCGCGGGGACAGTCATCAAGCTGTCGAAATCCCTTCTCGAGCCCACCTCATCCTCCACTGCGACCACATGGATCGGCGTCCTGCTATCGACGCTCCAGTACGCGGCTGCATCTCACGGTTCACGACGCTTCCTCATCACCTCGTCGCGAGGCAAGATCGAGACGTGGCTCTTCTCGCGTGCGCTGTTCACCACTTCCCTTTCCGCACACTGGTCTTTTCAGGATGGACGAGGTGTGTGGAGAGGAAGTCGGCTGTTCTTCCGCCCTCCTCGCGAAATGGATGCAGGCGAAGAGGCGATCGAGACGGTCGAAGTGAGCGACGTCGTTTTTGGCTTGTTGGAGGAGAAGCTAAGGGAAAGCTACGAGTCGCTGCCAAAGGAGCTGGGGAACGTGCTGCCCGATTGGAAGGGTGCTTATCTCGCCAGACTCGTCGAGTAGCGAACCATTGCATTACGCCTTCCGTTCAGTTGATACGTGCAATGTCGTTCCGTCCGTTTAATTTGATTGTGCGATTCCAGCCTGACGATGCGCTCTGTGAAAGCTGAGTCGCGTCAGAATGCTGCCCGCGCCAAGAGCCGAGTGAGGACGCGTAAATTGGCTCGCGCTGCGCCCTTGTTGCGCTCGGCCAAGCTCGGCGTGTGAGCGGCACCGCTGGCGATGATCGTCAGTAGACGGTAGTGTTCCGGAGTCGATCATTGGCTCAGTGTATCCCTCGTCCATTGGACCTTTCGCAAGCCAAGCGCCCAGCTGACTGCCAACGAGGATGACATCTGAAAGGGAGCCCAAGCCGGGATGGACGGCAGCAGCAACGGGAGCGCGCGTCTCCGCGTCGGCCGTCGCAGCTCCGCTGCTGTCAAAATTAGAAATTCCGAAAAAAGGGGATTTGTTTGTGCGCCGTGGCTGGGCTGGACTCGGTTGAAAAAAGAAAGCTCGCCTCTGCCCTTTCTACGCATGCAGCGGCACAAGAGAGCGCGTGGAGCAGTCTGACCAACGCACTTCAGAAGAAAGGGGAGATCCAAGCGCGTCGACTGGGCGTGGGACGCGCTGCAATTTCGAGTCTGGACCCACCGCCACCTGCTGCCTGACTTTTTGGATTCTCACATTGTCGTTTCTTTTTCAAACAAGGCCATATTCAAAGCACTCTATCTTCGATCATGGAGAAAGAGGATGACCTGGGAGAGGAAACATACTCTTGCTAACCCGAACCCTAACCCTGACCCCAACCTAAACCCAACCCAACCCAACTTGGAGTACCCGTAACCTAAGCATATCCATGAACTTTGGTCCAGCTTGAGCGACTTTTTAAATTAGCGCTCAAAATCTAAGAATTCATCAATTTAAGCCCGTCGACTGCGCTTCTGGTGCTGCTTGCCAGCGTGAATCTTTGCCAAAAGAGAAAGACCAACAGTCTCTGATAGGCAGACGCACACGCACACACGACCTGGAATTCCACTCTTCGCCACGTCCCAGCACCGACCAACCGTCAAGCAAGCACCCTTGCATGCTCTCATTCCACCCACCTTATCACTTTCGCTTCTTCACAATCTCGAATCAGTTCGGCGCTCACTCCATCTCGATACACTCACTACGGCGTCTCATTTCGATCGCTTCACGGATACGCACCGCGCAGCATCACATCCTGAAGGGCTAGCCCAACACTGCCAAGGGAACGCCATCGACACGATCACCTCCATCGAGCACATCGACCCCAGATCCGCCCCTCATGACTGCGTAATCGAGCATCCCGCAGAATCGTCTGCATCTTCTCTATCGCTCACCTCGGCCGCATTCATCATCTCGCCCTCCGTGCCGTGCTCTATCTTCATTTCTCGCGGCCATAGAGCGTCGTTGCGCTTGTGCTAGCTCGCCACCATGGACTCGATCTTTGGCCGCAAGAAGCGCTCGCGCCAATTCAATTCGGACGCCGCCGACAAGGCCATCCCATACGAGCGCACAGCCAGCGGTCGCAATCCCCTCTCGGGCGACAATGCGCACCCTAGCTCATCCTACTCGAGCCCAACCAGCTCCAAGCTCTCCATCGGCAATCCTCAGGCCAATCCTTCCCTCGGCAGCGGTGTACATCGCTCCAGCGCCTACTCGGACGTCTACTATGATACGCCTCGATCCAGACTCGGCAGCTATGCTTCCTCGTCCATCGGCACCGAAGGCTTCGATATGTTCCCTTCCTCGGCATCCATCATCTCGCATGCCAACGGCTCCACCGTCTCGACCTCATCCCATCGTCGCAACATGTCCTCCGTCTCTTCTGCTCGTCATGGTCTAGGCACGCACGACTCGATGCAGTCCGGCTCCTCCGCGTATGCCCTCAACGGCACGCGCTCTTCTCGCTATAATTCCAGCATCGGCACAGGCGCAGGAGATACCAGCAGCATCCGTCACAACGGCTCCCAGCTACCCAACGACGTCATTAGCAGAATGTCGGTCGCTTCTACGGCCACAGGGGGTGGCTATTCGCAGTACCTGGAAGATAGCCGAACAGGCGGTCCAAGTGCCAGCACCAGTGGATCGACGCTGGCCAGAGACTCGTATCTCCCTCAACAACAGCAGCAGCAGCAGCAATCACACCCATCATCGCAGTCCGGCGGCAAAGCACCCGATTTTGTCCTCCAACGCCCACCAGACGCCGAAGTCGAACGCCTCTTTGCCGAACTCATGGACAAGCGCGACTTTCTCAACGTCCCCGGCGGCAACCTCTCGGATGAGCTCAAAGAGACCGCTCGCCGCAACATGCTCAGTTTCAGCGCCGACAAAAAGTGGACCCTCGTCTACAACGACAAGCTCACCGAATGGCATGCCGAAAAGGAACGCGATCGCAATCGTCGCCAGCACTCGGTGCAAGCAGGTCCAGCAGGCACAGGCTCCAGTCTGGTCATCACGCGCAACTCGCCGAAATGGTTCATCAAAAAGTTCATGGACGGGACCGTGACGACCAAGCACATCGAGTCGCTCGCCGTGACGCTGCGAACCTGTGCCATCGGCTGGATCCAGAGCTTTGTGGGAGCCAAAGGAACGCCTGTCCTCGCCAGCTTCTTGAGCGGACTGCACGCCAAAGGCATCAAGAGCGATAACGACCTGGCGCTCGAATACGAAGTGCTCAAAGCGTTCCGATCGCTCTTCAACTCGAAACCGGGCGCCAACGATGCGCTGACCCAACCGAAATGCATCAGTGGCATTGCGCATTCCATGATCTCGCTCCAGCTCACCACGCGCAAGCAGGCTGCCGACATTCTGCTCTTCTTGTGTCACTGGGACAAGCCTACCGGGCACCGCCTCGTGTTGAAGGCCTTTGACGACCTCAAGACAAGCCAGGGCGACCACGGTCGCTTCGACGCGTGGTTCCGCGTGCTCGAGCAGACCATCGACGGACGCGGCAAGATGGGCTCCATGGTCGGCGCTTCCGATGAAGTCAAGAAGCTCAGCGTGGTGGGACCGTACGAATCCAGCTTGAACGAGTACGCCATCAACAACATGTTTCTCATCAACGCCATCCTCAATTCGGACATCGTCCCCGAGTTCGAGGTACGCGTCCACCTTCGCAACCAGATGGAGGCGAGCGGACTGCAGCGCATCTTGATCAAGATGCACGCCTTCAAGAACATGGATCTGGATGCTCAGATCGGTGTCTTCGAGAAGGGTGCCGAGGCGGATCACGAGGATGTCGTCGAGACGTTCAACAGGGACGTGCTCACCGATCTCAGCGATCCCGTCGACGTGTTTCGCGCGATCGTGGACAAGGTCGAGGGCTCGCGAGCGTACGACTTTTTCCTGTCAGCGTTACAGCATCTGTTGTTGATTCGTAGAGATGGCGACGACCTCGTACACTACTACCAGCTCATCGACTCGATGGTGACCTCCGTGGTCATGGACCGTAAGGGCGCTGTCGAAGGCAACGACATTTCGTCCCTGCTGGGCGTGTCGGTGAACAACGTCCTATCTCGCTTCGCCGATCAGGACCACATTAACTCGATGCAGTCCGAGCTGCAAAAGGCCAAAGCTAGAGCGGCCGCACTCGAGCAGGAACGTTTGGACCTCGAAGCGAAACTCAAAGCGGGCTCCGGCGGTCTCATCGGCACGCTGCAAGAGCAGATTGAAAAGCTCGAGGACGACCTTTCGCTCGCTCGCGGCAACGCCGGCGCAGCGCGAGACGAGATGGACGAGATGGAAAAGGCCTACATCGACCGAGTGGTGGCGCTCGAGATCCAGATCCGAGAGCTGTACGACATGCTACGGGAAGCGCAGATGGATGTCAGCGATGTAGCTGCGCCGGGCAAGGGCAGTCTGGATCGCAAGCAGCTCGTGGATACGCTGGAAAAGCAGCTCGAGCGCAACAAGACGATCCGCAAGCTCGAGGCGAATGCGCGCAAGAACAAGGGCGCTGCGCCTCCTGTCCCCGCTTTGCCCGGAGTGCCGACCGAGGATGATCGTAAGCGCATCTCTGCGTCGGTGCGTCGCCAGTCGACGTTGTCAAGGGCGGCGGCGGAGAATGGTGCCGAAGAGGAGGGCGTGGAGGACGACAACGACGTTGTTGAGGAAGACGAGGGACCTGATGAAGAATCGCTGGATCCCGAAACGGCGAAATGGAAGATTCAGGCGACCTTGGCAGCAGGAATGGCGCAAAACACCGATCTGGCATCGAGGATGGTGGATGCACGCGAATCGCGCCGTCGCAAACCACCGCCCGAGGACGGCAAGCGTACGTCGCATCCTGCTGTCCGGACGTTGCTCGACGAGATCCGCCGCGAGCGTGGCGACGAAGATCCGGATTCCGATGACGAGCATATCGCCGGACGAGGCAAGAAGAAGGCCAGTGCATTGGCTAGCGTTGCCGAGGGTCAGGTCGCTGGTCCAGATGCAGACGCTCCTTCGAGCTCGGCAGCACCACCGCCACCACCACCGCCTCCCCCTCCCCCGCCTCCTCCTCCGCCGCCGCCGCCCTCGATGATCATGCCGCCGCCCCCGACGATGGCAGCGGGTCCAAAGGCTCTGCTCGACTCGGCAGCCATGCCTCCACCACCGCCACCGCCACCACCCCCGCCCGCATTCGGCCTGCTGCCCACCATCACCCACAGCGTCAACTCCGAGATGCGTTCCGCGTTTTCGACCCCCGACTCGTCTCGCCCTGGATCCATGCTGGTCTCGAGCACAGGCACAGGCGTTCCGACTGCGCCACCACCGCCTGGCTCGATCACCGACTCGCCTTTGCAGGACAGCAGCCAGTTCCGCAACTCGATGATGAATGTCCGTGCCTCTTACCTTCCGACGCACCTCGGTCCTGCCGGCCCCATCGCCGCGCCTCCTGCGCCCGGCGCCGCCGGTCTTTTCGCGAACCACGCCCTCAGCCGCAAAGACGTGCTTGCCATGGCTCGCTCCAAGATGAAGCAGCTGCAGTGGGACAAGCTCTCCCCCCAGCACGCAGCAGAAACCATCTTTGGCCAGCACGAGCTCACGGCGGACGAAGAGCAGGTGGTCAAGATGCTCCAATCCGAAGGGCTGTTCGACGAGATGGAGGAGGACTTCAAAGCCAAGCAACCCGTCAAGAAGTCGGCTTCCACCGCGAAGAAGGACAAGCTGGAACTGAAGACGCATCTGAGCCTGCAAACCCGACAAGGAATCGAGATGGTTCTCAAGCGGGTCAAGTCGAGTCTCACCGAATCGAAACAGGCGAGTCCGGAAGAGGTGGCGCATCACATCATCAACTGCAACGAGGCGGTGCTGGACCAGAGTTTCTTGACGGAGCTGCTGCGGCACTATCCGGAGAGCGAGACCAAGGGGCAGCTGGGCGAGTATCGAAATGCGTCGGACGAGGAGCTGCGGTTGTTGCACCCGGCAGATCGGTTGGTGGTGCTGCTGATGACGGTGCCGCATCTCAAGGAGAAGGTCAAGGGTCTGTTGTATATGACCAAGTACCGGGAGACGTTTGATCTCATCAAGGCGGGAACGGTCAAGGTTCGGGATGCATCCGAGGGGTTGATGAAGGCCAAATCCTTCGCTCGACTGTTGAGCCTCATCCTGATGATGGGCAACTACCTCAACTCGACCGGTGTTCAAGGTGGAGCATTCGGTTTCAAGATCACGTCGATCAACAAGCTCGTCGACACCAAAGCCTCCGACGGTACGACGCTGCTCCACTTCATTGAGCGCACCATCTCCAAGTGCTTCCCCGAAGTCGAGAGCTTCATGGACGAGCTGGAGCTTCCTGCCGAGGCATGTCGGGTTCAACTCTGGGATCTCCGTCGCGATCTGGCCGAGCTCAAATCGGGCTCGTTCCAGCATCGCAAGGACCTCGATCGTCTACTCGACGAGAACGAGGACAACCTCACCGATCCGTACGTCAAGATCATGCTTCCATTCCTCAACGACGCCGCATCGGATCTTCAGCGGCTCAACGACCAAGTGCAGTTTGCCGAACGGACGTACAACGAGGCGCTCAAGTTCTTTGGCGAAGGTCCTGATCCGAAGAAGCGCGGTCTGGGTCAGTTGGCCAACCAGACGATGCGCACGGAGGACTTTTTCGGTATCTTCAAAGAGTTTTTGGCGGCGTACAAGAAGTGTAAAGTGGACAACGTCAAAATTGGCGAGCAGCGGGTACTGGAGGCGAAACGGCGGGCGGCAGCGGAGGAGCGGGAGAAGGAGCGACAGGAGGCGATCGCCAGAAAGGAGGCGGGAGTGGACGATTCCGCGGTGCTGGAGACGCTACTCGGCAGTCTAAGGAGTGGAGGTGGGGGACCGAACAAGCAACGACGCAAAGCGCGGGAGAGACGACAGACGAATGCGGCGGCTACCGGGGCTGGTGTTGCGGGTTTGGGGAGTGCAGGTGGGTCGGAGGACTCGGGTACCGGTGCGACGGGTGCGCAGGGAAGCCCGTCCGATGTGGCCGCCGCGATGCTCGCCAAGCTGCAGGGCGGAGAGGATGCGGTAGGGGGAGGCGAACCGAGTGCGAGTGCGTTTAGGACGACGAGGAGACGGGATCGTAGGTCGGGTCGGGATGCGCCCGCGTTGCCACAGGCGGTCAATGCGACGCATGTGGCAATGGCAGAGGACGACGAGCCGGCAGTGACGAGCGACTCGAGCCCTGCACTGTCGCAGCAGACGCACGCGCCGGCGGTGGTGACGGAGACGCAAGCAGAGTCGACGACGGCGGCGGTCATCCCGGCCTCGACATCACGCAATATCGTCACGCCGCTGGCTGAGACACGGCATGACGAGGAAGAACACGAGGAAGGAGAGGAGGAGGAGGAAGAGGAGGCGGCATTCGAAGACGCCCTCCCAGCGCCACCTGTCCGGCCCGCACCACGCAAGAGCGATGCAGCAGCGCCCAGCTCGGACCTGGAGTGGTTCGACCCGGATCTGTCGGGCTTCAGTGCTGCCGGGCAGAGTATTTCTTCCAGTGGCGCATAGCGGAATGCTCAACTGTACAACTCTCACTCCTTTCAAGTGTGCATCGTGTGTGCTAAGAGGCAGGCTTTGATTGCAACTGAGGTGAGGGAGCGAGGGTGAGGAGGAGGGGTTAGGGTGGACGAGTGGAGGTCAAAGGGCTTTTTCGGAGCAGCGTATCCGAGATCCGACCGACTTTTTTTCCCGTCATGACGAGCAGGGGTCCAACTTCTTCTTGTCTTCATCCCATCACCTTATCGCCATTGGCATCATCGACGTTGTCAGCGCTGCGTTGTTCAGCTTTTCACGACAGATGCGTGGTTCAGCGCCTTCTTTGGCCCGCTCGATCGGCGTCGGTCGCACCGGAGCGAAGCAGACACCGTTCTCGTCGAGTGCTTTCGGGGTCGCTGCTTCGGTCAAGGGCAAGGAGCGGGCGCATTCCACGGCTTCATATCAGCATTCCACTTCAGACGCAAATGCTTCTCGATCTAGCGAGAGACGCCGTTCCGACTGGTTGACACTCGCCCAGCGCCACCGGCCCACATCAACAATCCCAACATGGACCGCACACACGCGATCTCGTCCAACGACCTACTTCGCGCACACACTGCACACCAGCGCACGCTCACACAACGTCACTCGCGGCCCCTCTCGACCACCCACATCGCCCCCGAACCCACCACCCCCCTCTCTCCCTCCCACCCCACCCTCTCCCCTCCCCGGCGGCCTCGGAACCACCCAACTTTCACCCGACATCCTCCTCCGATGCACCATCTTCGACGCCACCGGCTCGGCCACATCCACCTCTGGCATATTCAAAAAATCCCACCTCTGCTCCGAGCACGGTCTCGAACCGCGCGATCTGCGCAAGATCGATAGCCGCGTACCCAATCTCGTGCCCACCATCCTCGCCCGTCGCGGGGGGATCCTGGTCAACATCCTGCATATCCGCGCAATGGTCAAACGGGATAAAGTGTTGCTCTTCGACAGTTATGGCAGTACGGATAGTCAACTTCATTCGGCGTTTGTGTACAATCTGCAGCATAATCTTTCCCACGGCGGGGGACTGGCGTACGAGTTTAGGGCACTGGAAAGCATACTGGTCAGCGTACTCGATGCGCTACGGATAGAGCTGGGCGTGGTTAGGGGGTGGACGAGTAGAGTGCTCGAGGAGCTGGATGACGATGTGGATCGGGAGAAGCTCCGGGAGTTGTTGGGGGTGAGTAGGAAACTCAATGCGTTTTTGTCCAGGGGTAAAGCGGTCAAGGGAGCGGTGACGGAGGTGTTGGAGAATGAGGAGGATATGATGTTGATGTATCTCTCCAGTCCTGCGCACGGTGGGTCGGGGCAGGTGGCTGGGGGTGACTCGCAACACCTCGTTACCCCAAGCCCGACCAACGCAAACCCGACTTCGGAACATGCTTCGAGTGGCACACCCCCACCCTCGCCGCACGGCTCGGCCTCGGGCGGCGACGAACTCGAACTGCTGCTCGAATCATTCGATAAACAGGTGGAAGAAGTCATCGCCGAAACGTCGCAATTGCACAGCGACATGACCAACACCCAGGAAGTCGTCGAGCTCATCCTCGATAACAACCGGAACAAGCTTCTTGCGTTGGACCTCAAAACGAGTATCGCAACGATGGGGATTAGCGCGGGGACGCTGTGGGCGGGACTGTTCGGGATGAACCTGCGGAGCAATCTGGAGGAGACCGAGTGGGCGTTTGTCGGCGTGAGCGGGGTGGCGATGGTAGCGGTGCTAGTTGTGGCAGGGGTGGGGCTGAGGCGGTTGGAGAGACTGCGAAGGGTGGGGTTGGGGATGAAAGGGAGGAGAAGGGAGAGGAGGGGGTGGATGGAGAGGTTGAGGGGGAGGGGGGAGAGGGAGAGGGGTGAGGTGGGATCAGGGGCGTATGGCGGGTATGGTGCGATTGCGTCAGGCTATGGCGTAGGGAGTGGCGGCTATGGTCCAGGATATGGTGGTGGAGGGAATCATCCAGGTTCGGCGTATCAGCAGGGATGGACGGGTGCACCCCCCTCACCGGGCGCACAGGGAGGAGGGGCACCGGGAGCAGCCGAGCACCACCCAGCATGGTGGGCACACTCGGGCTACCAACCCTCCCACGCAGGCGAATTTGCCGCTCACCCTGGCAACCCCGCCCCACCACCGCCGACACAACACCCGCACACCCAACGACGGAGCGACCCGGAAGAAGCTCAGGAGGCAGCACTGGGCATGGGCCTCGGGAGCAAGTGGGATGCTAGCACCGGCACCAGTGGGCTGGCGAGGAGGCGCAAGGGCAAAACATCGAGTTGAAAAGATCGGAACTGGGCGAGGGGCACGAAGGAAGAGGGAGACCACACACACGCATCTGTACTTTTAGATTTGATGGGCATCAATACACCTCTCATAGATTTCGTGTTGGTGTGCATGAGGGTCGAGTGACGTGCATGAGAGCTACTCGACGAAGACGGTTCTTGATTGAGTGAATAGACCTTGGTGGAGGCGAATGAGTCTTGATGGAGACCGGCGTGACATTGGTTTCGATCGCAGGCAGGAGTGAGCTGACGAAAGGGGACGAGGGAGCGATCACTTCTTGGCGAGTAGCTGCGGCTTCGGAGCTCCCACAGGCCAAACCGCTAGTTGCTCTTCTCTGATCTCGTGCGGGCCCCGATGATCCTGCAGTTCAATACTTGTCAGCTGGAGTCGTCTTATTTATGACAAGGTAGCATGTGTGGATGCGGACTCACACATCGGAGAGAGATGCTGGCTCGCTCTAAGCGGTCACAGATTGGTCCGGTACCGTTTCAGGACTGTCTTTCGCCGACACTTCGCTGCCGCTACTTGCCTGCTGTGGAGAGAGACGAGTTGTGAGCAATCGGAGTATCTTTCGAGACGTCTCGATTCGGGTGAATTTGAACTTACCCTGAGACCCTCGTCCAAGACTCTTAAAACGAAGTTCCGGCCCGTCTCGTTCTTGCCGTCTTCGTTATCATAGCCGAGTGCATGTCTCAGATGAACCTTGATGTGATGATCGCAGACCTCGCCGAGGTCGAGATCGACCAGGATAAATTCGGACAGTCGGCGAGCAAGCTCAGAGTCATGAGGTATGTTGCTCTTGTACAGGGCAATGAGGGTGTCGAGAGCTGCGAGGACAGAGTCGTAACGGGTGAGTTCTTGGTCGCTCACTGCATCTTCGTTGGTCGGACCAGCTGGGCGCTTTGCCCGGGGTTCAAGAAGCCATGAGAGATCGTCGTTGCTATCAACAGGGGCCGGGCGCTTGCCAGATTGATTAGTCGCCATCGTTCTTGATCGTCGAAGGGGTGCAAGATGGCGGAGGTGGTGGAAGGGAAGAGAGGAACGCATGAAGCAGACCCACTTTAGGAATGGCTGAGCCGTCCTCTGTCCAGTCACACTGGGCAAGACGTCCTTCTCTAGAGTCACACTTGGGGTCTGCATCGGCGCATCCGCAGCGTCGAAGCGCGGATCATCCGGTGGCAGGATAAGCTCAGGCTCGAGATGAGATTGAGGCGTCGACTGGATTTCCCACGCTCGTCTCGTCACTTTGTCGCTCTTTCTGCTCTGCATCACAGTATGATGGACAAAAGAGAAGGTCGGACTGTCGTCAAGCTGTCTGCTCCTCTGCAAAGCCGACTGAGCGATTCCAAGAACGTTCCGCACGTTCAGGCGGTGAACGACCTTCTCAAGTGCAAATCCGCGCCGCGTGTCGACGCCAACATGGCTCACCGCATCACTCTCAATCTGCTGGACAGCGACTCATCTCGCTCGACCACGCCCTAACTCAGCGCACGCCTCGACCTCGACCCAACCTCTCACGCAGTTCTCCCGATCTCACACAGTGCATCGACGCGCATTCTCGATTCTCACGAAGCCAGCGCTTGCCTATACAAATCCCTCCCCACCACCCTTTCCAACGGCGTCAGCCGGTCGAACAACCACCTCCTCACCGTCTGTGCATCCTTCGCCGCTATCCTCACTACCACCGTCCCGCACTTTTTTCCGGCCGGTTGGTCCTGAACCCGACTCAAACTCCACAGCACCTCTTCCCTTAGCGCGGTCGTGGGTCGTTGTTGGATCGACTCAAACTCCTCTTCCAGCTTCTCAATAATGTCCTCCGCATCCGGCCCGTACAGTATCAACGTAGCATAACACCCATACGGATGATTGCGTCGGGCGAGCTCGGTGAAGCTCATTCCTGTCAGCGGATCCACATATTTCTCACCGGGTTGTTGGGAGAGGAGAATTACGTCGCGCGCAACGACGGTCGAGGCAACCCGGAGTTCGTTCCGCGATCGATAGTGGGAGAAGCTCCACAGTTCGGGAGTGCGTTGCGGGATGCGATAGTCGTGCATGGGCTTGCCCGTGCCGCTGGAAGGGTGCGCGTCCAGGTGGTTCAATCGCGGCGCGTCGGCGGTGGTGGTGGAGGGGACAGCAGTTCGACCGGGCGTGATCCAGTCCAGGATGACGCACGAGGATGTGGTGGAGGAGCGAAGGTCGAACCGCTGCACCTGGTCGTAGCGCGCACTGGCAAAGCAGGTGACTGGGTCGGGGAGGAGGACCAGCGTGGCGTGCTTGCGGACGAGGAACCGGAAGTTTTGCCGGGTCATGCCGAGGCTTGAGACTGCTTTTGCGGGATTATCAGCGCTGGTGGCGGATGTGTTGTCGATCGGAGTGTCTGGCGCTTGCGCGTGTGTCGATGCGGTTGAGGTGAAGGTAGCCGTGCTGACCCCGCGCGTGGGCCGACTTGTCCTTGTCTTGAACACCTTGGTGCTGCCCTGTGTCAAGATCAGCAGACAGCACTGCGATCCCACGTCGACATCCAGGTCCACGCTATCGCCCGAAACCAGTCCTCCGCCGTACCCAACAACGTACAGCGCGTTGACTGCCTTGACCTCCGCCTCCGACGAGGTGCTTGCATTCACATTCGCGGCTTGACCGATGCGGTCGAGGGTAGCATTCCTGGAACTGACGCCCGGGCAAATGAGTTTGAGCGGAAAAGTAAACGACAAGTGTGTAAACACGCCTGCTCCTGAACCACGATCACCACGACGCAGAACGGCGAGACCCTCACCATTGAAATTGCCCTCGCCCTCGGCTTCATCGTCGTAGACGTCCTGCTGGACGTTTTTGTAGATCTTTTTGAGCGTGGGTTTCGATTTGAATTCTTCCAGCCCGATGGCGTCCGTTTTCTCGATGCCGGAAGCGATGGCGGTGGAAGTGCCGGCTTTGGCGGCGCGGATGCGCTGCTGACGCTTCTCGAGGTCGTGAGCCCACATGGCGGCTCCGATGCGGTTCGAGATGGAAAAGACGAGGCCGATGAGTGGGATGCGTTCCATGAGCGCGGCAACGAAGCCAAAGGATCGGTAGGCTACCTGACGCTCGGTGATCCATAGCTCGATCTCGAAGGGCGACATTCGTTTCGCTTCGAAGAGAGGGACGTGGAGGAGTCGGCCGTACGTCAGCGAGCGCAAAGCGGCACCAAGCGCCATGCCGAAGAAGGGGACAAAGTCGACCGGCAGCAGGAAGACTGATGGGCAGAAAGGAAGCATCAAGGCGCATGAGCATGTGTCAGAGCAAAGTGTAGAGGCTGCAAAAGCTGTCTGACCTCGACTTACCCTTCATGATGAAGAACCGAACCAAAGGTGAAGCCAGCTTCATGTACCAAGCCTGCTTCTTGGCGTTTTGGATGGCCTTCTTGGACGGGGGATTCGAGAACTCTTCGACGTATTGTGTCCACCAGTCTGCGGCCTTGCCCCTTGATTTGACGGTCTGCACGTAAGCTGTCTTTCTGCACTCGGCAAGTTTGCGCCTGAGCCAGAACTCCATGATGGTGTGTACCTGGCCGATGACAAACATGAATGTCGCGAACGCTATACAAATCAATGCAGGGAGAGGCGAGGAGCGGAAAGATCAGCTTGCGTTCGACCATATGATCGTCTCGAAAGAAATGCGTCGTTGACTCACTCTGAAGCGAGGGTACGGGGATCCTAAAGGGCAGGCTGTCATCGGTGACATCGGCGGTCTCGACCACCTTTCCGTAGAGAGCGCTGAGACCTGTGACCGAGGCGGACGCAGACATAAAGTAGTAGACAAAGAGCCGCTGTAGCGGCCAGGTGAAGACCATCCACACGAGACCGACGATGATGGCCTGCTTGGCAGCTTTGGAGCACTTTGCCCACATTGGCTTCCACAGTGTGGGGTCGTGCGCCAAGCGGTAGGCGCCAACCACGCAATAAAGCGGTGGGAATGTGAGCGTCTCTTGAGGCATGGTGACCAAGTGTGCGCCTTCCCGGGCCAGGGACCGCGATGAGGAGAGGATACGATGAAGGGAGAGAGGCAAGCACTAAGACGGGAGGACTCGCAAACAGCAGAGTGGAGGAAACGTCTTAAAATAGGACTGCGTGTTGGAGGCGGGAGAAAAAGTGGTCTATGCGCGCCTCCCGAAGAAGCGACACACCGCTCGCCCTCGACAAGGCTGCCGGTGATGCCAAATTTGAAGGTTGTGTCACGCTGCCAAAGGCTCTCATAAGTCCTACGGCAACAGACTGACTGATGCTTCGGCTGTCTCTTCAAGACATCGGATATTTTGCCGATTCAATGACAAGCCTGAGTTTTCCGAACGAACGGATCTTTCCCGATCATCACAAACAAGGCCTCGACACGGCGAATGGAGTTATGCGACCGGACGAACGCTTCCACTTGAATACACTCGTGGACACAAGGTGATCACACACAAACACAAGCTATCACGACGTTGAATGGGTAAATGGCAATGATTGCATAACTATGTTACAAGGCGATTGGGTGATTTTGGAGGACGGATTGCATCAGAGCTACTAGCTTAGAGCTTGTCGGCGATCATCTGCTCCATGGTAGCGCCGTCCTTGGCGAAACCAGCAATACCCTCGGCGAGCTTGGTGTTGGCCATGGGGTCCTTGGCAAGGTCGAGCAGGAATGCGGGCTGGTCGTCGACGAACGAAACCTTCTCGATGGGCTCGGCCTTCTTGGCGCCCTCGACCGAAAGCTTCTGCTCGATGGGGCCCGACTTGTTCTTGAGCTCCTCGAGCAGCTTGGGGGCAATGGTAAGGAAATCGCAACCGGCGAGCTCCTCGATCTCACCAATGTTACGGAACGAGGCACCCATGACAATGGTGTCGTAACCGTGCTGGCGGTAGTAGGTGTAGATGCGCTTGACCGAGAGCACACCGGGGTCCTCGTGCGAGGCGTACTCCTTGCCCTCGGCCTTCTTGTAGTAGTCGAGGATACGGCCGACGAAGGGCGAGATGAGGGTGACCTTGGCCTCAGCACAGGCGACGGCCTGGGCGAAACCGAAGAGGAGCGTCAGGTTGCAGTGGATGTTGTGCTGCGACTCGAGCTCGCGGGCGGCCTGGATACCCTCCCAGGTGGAGGCGATCTTGATGAGGACGCGCTCACGCTTGACACCGAGCGACTCGTAGAGGGCGATGAGGTGCTTGGCCTTCTCGATGGTGGCCTCCTTGTTGAACGACAGACGGGCGTCGACCTCGGTCGAGACACGGCCGGGGATGATTTTGAGGATCTCGACACCGAAAGCGACCAGGAGACGGTCGGTGGCCAGGTCGAGCTGCTTGGACTTGTCCGAGGTCTGCTCCTTGGCGTACTTGACGGCAACGTCGATTAGGCGGGCGTACTTCTCCTGCTTGACGGCAGCGAGGATGAGCGACTGTGTGAGAGTGAAATGACAGTGGCGAGAAAAGAGTCAGCGAGATTGCTCGTCTCAATTTGACGGAAAGGGACGCTGTCTTGCGAATCGTCACAGGGAAGGATCCCCTGTTTGCCGTTCTCGGTTGCCAAGAAGGACAATGTGCACTAGAGCGTCCTCCTCAGCAAAACCTTCGGCGACGACCAATGTGGTGCGCCCTCGATCTTCAACTTACAGGGTTGGTGGTAGCATCCTGGGGCTTGTAGGCGTCGATGGACTCGAAGTCACCCGAGTCGGAGACGACGGCAGTGTACTGCTTGAGCGAGTCGAGAGCGGAAGACATTTTGGTAGAAGAGACAGACACGGTGATGTGTTTGTGTGTGGGAAAGTGGATGGTGTGGACGGGAAGCTAGACGCAAGTGAAAGGCTCGAGCGGGACTATATAGGTTTGTGCGATTTGGTTTCGCTTGTCTTCGACGATCTTCCTGACTGAGAGAGCGTGTGTGACTGACTTGTGGGCTGGGATCGAGAGTGGAGTTGAGCCTGTGCCTGCGCCTGGCCCAACTGCCGCTGATCTGGAAGCGATAAAGGGCGTGTGCCCGTGCCAGTGTTGGTTTGCTGCGGAGCCAAATTCCGATGGTCGGACCGTGGCCCGGGCGCTGGTGCCTTTGCGCTGGTTTTTGTCCGCTGGGATCTGAACAGGCTGGAAGTGCAGCAGCAGCGCGTCATCGTTTGATTTTGGCTGGAAATTCGACACCTTTTTTCGTAAATTCAACCGACCGAGCGTCGCCCTCTCCTGAGGGAGGGCCTTTTTGTTCCAAATTCTCATGTCGCGCGTTTGAGCCACAAAATTCATCGTCATGCGAATTTGAGCTTTGAACTGCGCCTCGCTTGCCGCAAACAAAGAGGATCAAGAATTGTCCGATGGGCGTTGCTTCATCAGTGAGCACCCCCTGCCGATCAAACGCAGACAGTCAGCTTGTCTCTCGGACTCTGCTTTCTTGGACTGCGGTACGGAGAGCGTAGAGAGCGTGCAAATTGACCCCTGCTAGCTGGTTGGCTCGTGAGCAAGTTCTGCCGCAACAGTGGCGAATGCATAGCGTTGTGAGAGCATCATAGCTACGGCCTTTGTTGTTCCAACCAACGACACGACCGCTCATTCGATCTTGCACTGCAGAGCCAGCGTCACAGCGCCGTCACAGATGTGAGCTCGCAGGTTCATGCTTCTTTCGGTCGGTAGGCAGTCAATGAGGGTAGGAGAGGGTGCGCTGCACCGCACGACATCGTCACACCGCTTCGGACAAAGAGCAAGGGGAGCGTGTCGAGCAGCAAAACAAAAACGTGGTGTGGAAGCGACAGCCGACGTAGACCCGTCTGGAGACCCTTTCTTTTTCCAGCAGACACGCAACGCAGATCGATCACGACATCATCCTGCATCTTCCAAATTGCTTTCGCTCTCTCTCGCCTCGGCAGATCGTGTCAAGCGGTACCACAAAGCTCGTAGCCGCCGTGGTCGCTTGTACAAACAGAGCTTCGGGAACAGCAGTGATCTCCTTCTATCCTGTGGCAGCGGAAGCTTGTGATAGATCGCCGATCCGACACAATCGAGTCTGACCGAGATTCCCGAAGAATGACTTTACCGACTCAGTCCAGGCCAGGGACGTGTTCCACAAGAAGCCTCTATCAGCTCTCTTCACCGGTCTGCCTGCTAGCATTTGCCGGTCGATGATCCTCACATCAAAGGTTGCAAATGACAGGTATTGGTTGAGGCAGAAATGCGTATAAGTACAAGTGCTGATTGCTACGAGAGTGGTATACAGATGCGATGGTGACGAGACGACAGGAGGCAATGCTGGTAGAAACGGAATGTCTACATCTCGCCACATTGGGTGACTTTGACGGCCATCTTGGGCCTGTTGTTGGCACCCGTAGGAACATTCTCCATCTTTCGCAAGGTCAACAACCCGTCGACCACCTTGCCAAACACGACGTGCTTGCCGTCCAAAAAGGGACACGGCTGGGCAGTCACAAAGAACTGGCAACCATTTGTTCCTGGTCCTGAGTTGGCCATGCTCAACAGACCCGCCTTGTCGTGTTTGAGGTGAAAGTTCTCGTCATCAAATTTGTCGCCGTAGATGGAGCGCGAACCGGTGCCGTCGGCGTTGATAAAGTCACCGCCCTGGCACATGAAGTCCTTGATGATGCGGTGGAAGATCGAGTTCTTGTAGCCCTCAGGTACGTGATTCGGGCGGAACTCGCCGGTGCAGAGCTGCCGAAAGTTCTCGGCAGTACGAGGGACGATGTCGGAGAAGAGCTCGAACTTGAGTCGACCAGCGGGAGTGTCACCGATCGAGATGTCCATGAACACGATGGGTCGACCGTTGGTGCCCGCACCAGGCACGACGGCTGCACCTGATGTGCTTGTGGATGCCATCGTTTCTAGCCGTGTAGTGTACCGTCCCGATGCGCAAAGAGCGTGACGTTGTCGCGAAGTGTCGAGAAGAAAGCTGAGAAAGAGCGCGGAGAGCGACTTCTTCGGACTTCGGCTAACTTATGCCTCGAATCTCAACCCGATCTACGAGATCTGACAGCGCCCAGATCCCCCGTCGATAAATTTGAGTCGTGCGAGACCCTGTGTGCGCCACTAAGGGTGTCGACGACGGCGCGTGTATGCAAAACGACGATTCGGCTATCAAGTCGAGATGCCGTAGAAAGCTCATCCAACCCTAGACCCTCGCGCGTTGTTCCTTTGCCTCTAGGCGAGCGTCCAAAAAGAAGGCGATGGTCCCTTTGGAAGATGCCCGACGCCCCGGAGAGCAAAGAAGCCCTCGCCGATACCGACGCAAACAAGCAAAGTGGTCTCGGAGCTGAGTGTCGAAGGTCGACGCCAGCGGGCGCGAGCTGGCTTGAGGCGGTCGGTGGCATTGCAGGTCCCGCTCTGCAGCAGGTGAGCCATCTGAAGGCGCAACACCTGTATTAATGAGAACGATGCCAGCGAGTTAAGCCTTTGAGCGGGCAAGATACAAACAAACTCGTATCAAAAACAAGGCTGGACGCGCACTATTCAAGAAGCGTCGGTCGGGCTTACAGCGGTCGCGGCCTCGGCGTGCTGAAGTGGTTGCTCTGCCAGCTGAGCCTTTTTAGCTGCCGTTGAGATCACAAGAGCCCCGTGACAGTACGGCGCTGGATGACAGTACGGCGCTGGATGACAGTCCAGCTCGTGGCAGATGCCGATGAGGTCAAAGCCACGCGAGCCCAAGGTGCTGTATACGCCAGCTGCCGGCTTGATGACGGTACGCGTCACAGACACGAGCGAGCGGCTCTGCTTGTCAATGGAAAGCTGTCCACATCGATCTTGACTTTGCCTTCGAGCTGGACCCTGAGCGAGCAAAGACGGCTCGGCTGCTATTTTTCGTTCGTCACGCACCGCCTTGACGCCAAGCTTGTCTCGCAACCGAAAAAAGCATCCTCATGTCGTCACGCACAGCGTCAAGCCCACCACATACATCAGTCCCCTTGACACTTATGGACGGATGACTGGACGAGTAGACCTCTCGTATGGCTGGCCAAGACGGGGAGGCAAGTGAAGCGCAAGTGCTTGCTAGGGCCTACATTGGCCGACCATGCGGGCGTTGATTGAAAATCGCTCGTTGCAAATTGGCTCAAATTTCGACCCACACGAGCAAGCACAGAGAGAGTTGCGTCAATCTGGCTCAAGCTGCAAGCACGGGTGAATCGACGAAAGTCAGTCAGTCACACTCACTCAGCTTCATTTCGCCCTGCTGCACACTATGATAAATTTTTCTTTTTCGATTTTGCTGCGACAACCCTCGACCCTTGACCCTGGTGCGTCGACCGATTGACTGGCTGAGCCGCTGAGCATTTTGGCCGCCGTCTTGCAACGGAACGGCGAGCGGTGAGCGATGGCTAGCGCAGCAGCAGCAGCTGACAGATGAGTTGAAGCGACAAAGCCATCTGCTGCCCCGCCTTTTGGTCCTGCGTGTGTTTGCACCCTTGCTTCTCAGTTGTGCCTCTCTCCTGCCGCTTTTCCCTCGACTTTGGCCACTGCTGCGCGCTCCTCATCGCCCCCCTTGGCCCCCTCCTATGCCCCCTCCCTCTGCTTAGCTTCGCGCTGTCCCCTCTCCTCTTCGTCTTTCACCACCACCGTCGCCACCAGTCCGCATTCACGACATCACCTCGATACGCAGACGCTTCTCTTAACCCTTCGAACCCGTATCGCAAACTCAAGTGCAATTGCCAAGCCCCTCGGTCCAATCGTCTCGCAGCATAGCCTCGTCAAGCTTCGACACTCGCTTTCCGTAGCTTTCCCATCGCGCTGACAATCATTCGATCACTCGATCGATAGTTAACCTCGTCAAGCTCAGAGCGGGCCCTTCTACCGAATCGACGTCAAAGCCCACCCCGTGTCGCCGTTCCAGAACCTACACCTCTCTCTCCAGACATCCGCCGCTCTGCTCTTGACTGCAGAACCGTCTCTCCGATCCTTGAACTTCCCCGAGAACACCGCAAACATGGCTGAACACAACACACATACCGAAGACGCCACAACAGAAGGTGGCAGCGCTGCCAAGGAACCCGGCGAAACGCGCCCGACCGCCGGCGGTGTCCCTGCTGCTTCCACCGCCACGTCCACCGCCGCACCGCCCGCCAGCAAGGCATCCACCCTCCTCGGCAACTGCGATCCCAAGCCTCTCATGGCTACTCCCTACTCGGACCGCATTCAGGCCGCCATCCGCGAAGGTAGCGTCCGTGTCCCTACCGAGGAGCGCGAGATGCGCGCTCGCGAACTCATCGTCTTCTCCGACAGCGAGACCGAGTCCAACCTCTCGCGTCCTCCCTCGCCCGACCGCGACCGCTTCCCTAAGCACCGTCTCAGCGGTCTTCAGAGCAAGGACCAGACCATCGTCAAGCACGGCCTCGACTCGCCCGATCCAGAGGGTCTTGCCGCCCGTCTAGAGCTCACTCGCGAGAACAGTCCCTACGACGTTCGCGCCCCTCCCAGCTTCGCCCAGATCGGTGGACAACTCGACGCATCAGCCAGCAGCACCAACCCGCCTTCGCTGGTTGCGTCAAGACGCCCTTCGGCAGGCAATGCCGCCGCCAATGCTGCTGCCGCTGCTTCGCGACCCGTCTCGCCTCCTCCGCGCGCCATGTCGCCCAGCAAAGCACCCGCCTCGACCAAGGTCAGCCACAACACGCTCTCCGGCACCACCAATGCTACCTTTGCATCGTCCTCGCCCAACACCGCCGCGCGTCCTCAGCCGCCCGCCGAGCCTCATCGCGTTCCCTCTGGCAGCGCTGAGCACAAGGAAAAGCCCAAAGAAAAGGAATCCAAGGGCATGTTCCGTCGTATGCTCTCTGGAGTCACCGACAAGGACAAGCAGCAGTCTCACGCCGACAATGCCTCCCCTAGCCCTAGCCGCGAACGCCCGTCGCCTCGCCCCTCGGTGAGCCATCAGGGCAGCGGCTACGTTTCGCCATTGCGCTCCCCTTCGCTCAGCCGAGGCTCCACGCCTCCCACCAGCCCTCGCAACGAGATGGACGAGCCTGCTCTGGCCGCTTCCTACCAGGCGATGAACCTCACCAGCCCGCCCACCAGCCAGCCCGCCAGCCGCAACACTTCCATCAAGCGCAAGGATGGCAAGTCGGATGGCACCCCTGCCAAGGACGGCGGCGCCAGCGAAGGCAGTCGACTCACCGTCGCCGCCTTGCGCGACTGGGATGCCAAGGGCAAGCCAGACAAGTCGAGCAGCAAAAAGTCGGATCGCGGCAAGGACGGCGACGCCAAGTCGACCGCCAGCTCGACGTTGCGCGACATGATCATGGGCAGCGCCCCCAAGCTCTCGCGCCGAGGCTCCAACACCAGCCACGGCAACAAGTCGGACGGCGGCAGCAAGAAGGGCAGCACCAAGGGTGGCAGCACCGCAGGCGGTGAGACGGCCAGTCTGCTCAAGAAGTACGGTGTCTGCGAGAAGGCAGCTATCGGCAAGGGTGCCACCGCCGTGGTGCGACTTGCACACAAGTGGGATCGCTCCACCGAGAAGCTGTACGCCGTCAAAGAATTCCGAAAGCGTCGCAAGAACGAGACCGAGAAGGAGTACGTCAAGAAGCTCACGTCGGAATTCTGCATCTCGTCGACGCTGCACCACATCAACATTGTCGAGACGGTGGATCTGGTGCAGGACGAGAACCGACACTGGTGCGAGGTCATGGAGTATTGTCCCGGTGGTGATCTGTATGCGGCCATCAAGCGCGGTGGCATGTCGCAGGCCGAAGTCGAGTGCTCGTTCAAGCAGATCCTCAACGGCATCTTCTATCTGCACTCAATGGGTGTCGCACATCGCGATATCAAGCCCGAGAACCTGCTGCTAGACGGTCACGGTCATATCAAGATCACGGACTTTGGCGTATCGGACGTCTTCCGCATGTGCTGGGAAAAAACGACGCACTATTCGAAAGGCCTTTGCGGTTCCGAACCGTACATTGCGCCGGAGCAGTTCGAGAAGAAGGAGTACGACGCGCGACTGGTCGACGTCTGGGCGGCGGCGGTGGTGTTCTACTGCATGCAGTTCCAGGAACTCCCCTGGCGCGTCGCCAAGATGTCCGACCCAACGTTCAAGGATTATGTCCAGTCGTACACGTCCAACCCCGCCCCCTCGCCGCTGAGCAACCTCAGCCCGCGAGAGTGCCGCCCGCTGCTCAAGAAGATGCTCTGCCCCGACCCCAAGGGCAGAATCATGATGGACGAGGTGTTGAAGGATCCCTGGTTGATGAGCGTGCCCATTTGCGAAGAGGGCAGGCAGAACGATCATACCCATTCGAGCGCTCCTAGGGAGGAGAGGTGATGGCGCATAGAGACGAGGTTTAGCATGGATGTTGCAATTGTTTGTCAAGGAGATCGTCTGACCTTCTGTGCGAGGGGTGAGTGTGTCTGTGGTTGTGCCTGGATCTGGACCCTCATTGCATCTGTGTCTGTGTTTGCGTGAAAATTGTTCAGTCGCACACTTGCTGCACGAGGTCGTGAGGAATAGTTGCGCTCGGAGAGGCTTCACAGGCGAAGGATGGATGAGACTCGGCTTGTATTGCTTGTGCGTGAAGAATCGAACGAACTTGATGTGTATGCATGTTGATTACTATGGGTACACACTCGACGGACGGATCACTTTGCCCCTGGCTCCCGTGCCAAGCTTTAGACAGCATCGCCCCACACGTCGAGCGCGACGTCCCTGCACAGTCCCAACTTGGCAAACTGGGTCTCGGGCGTGATCTCGTTTCCGTGCACGGTGCTGCTAAACCCACACTGGGGACTGATGGCCAACTGCTTCAATCCGTCTTCACCGACGACACTCTTTGCTGCTTCGTTGATCTTCTGCACGAGCTTTGCCTTGTCTTCCATCTCGGCAAATTTGCTGGACACCAAACCGAGGACGACAATCTTGTTCTTGGGCAGATGCTTGAGAGCGCTGAAATCTTTTCCTGATCGTTCGTCCTCCCATTCCAGGAAGAAGGCGTTCACGTTGAGTTTCTGGAAAAGAACTTCGGCGATGGGGTTGTACCCCTCCTCAGAGCCTTGGGCGAAAAACTGACTGCGGAAGTTACCCTTGCACAGGTGGATGGCGGCCACCATGTCGGCAGGTTTGGAGGCGAGGGAGGCGTTGATGAGTCGGGCATAGTCGTGTGGGAGACGGTCGAGGTCTTCTCCTCGCGATTGGGCTTGCGAACGCATAGTCTGGTCGGTTAGATAGGCCAAGTTGGTATCGTCCAACTGGACGTAGCGGCATCCTGCGGCGTAGAGAGCGTCGATTTCCGTGCGATACACCGCAGCCAGGTCGGAGAAGAACTCCTCCAGATCCGGATACGCCTCCGAAGAAATGGCAGCACGACCACCGCGGAAGTGACACATCGTCGGCGAGGGAATCGTAATCTTGATCCGCTTCACCGCATCTTCGGGCACAAGCGAACGAAGGTACTTGAAGTTTTCCACCTCGATGTTTCCCGTGTGTCGCAACTTGCCTGTGACGCTCAGGGTCGGTGGCACCCGGCCTTCTTTCTGCTCGAGGGTGTTCTTGGAGATGGTGATACCAGAGATGTGCTTGAGGAAATCGAGATGGAAGTACTCCCGACGAAATTCGCCGTCTGTGATCTCCTGGATGTTGTGCTGGAGCAGGGTTTGGACGTGAGCGGCGATCTCGCGGTCTTCGATCTGACGCAGGGCAGTGGCGTCGATGGAGCCGGAGGCGAACTGGGCGCGAGCCTCGTGCACCGCAGCAGGGCGGAGGAAGGAGCCGACGTGGGCGTGGCGGAAGGGGGGGTTGACGAAGAGCGAGGTCGGGGCGGTGCCCGTGGGGAGAGCGGCGGCGGACGACATTGTGGCGGAAATCTCGTTGGGTTCCAGAGGAGAGATGGTGGTGCGATGAGGAAAGAAAGGATGAGGAAGAACTTCTTCTGAAGTTGGGACAAGGTCATCGGAGAAAGGCGCACAGACTTCTCTAACGGAGGCGCTTGCCGACGCTGCACACGACACCGCAGCACGGCGCAGCGCTGTTCGACATGCATCTGACCGCGCAGCAAGCAAAGAGGCATTCCATGTGGCTGAACCGGAACTGACGGCATCTCCAGCGTCATTTTCGCACGGCTGTCTGCGTCCGCCCGATGAGCACCCGATTTGGAGAAAAAGATTGCCGAGAGCCAGCTGCAACCGCCTGCACGGGAAGATGCAGTCACTCACGTCAGTTTCGGCAATCTCCACGCCGACGAACGAGGATGTGCATGCTGGACGACATGTCTGCCTTCAAGTAGGAGCTTGTCATCCACCAAAGAGGCGAATGAGCGAGCAGAACACATCCTTGAGGCCGATTGTTATGTATGAGGGCTACAGAGGACCACAGACGGCGAGGACGCTCGATGCCTCGCAAAGATGACTTTGCATCAAAGGTGGAGCAAAGACGTGATGACGAGATGAGCTAGAAGAACGCACAGTCCACGCCCACTCAGAGTGAGAAAGCCGACCTGCCTCGACCGGCATTCTTGCCCCTCCTCCCCCTCTTCATCCTATAAACATCCCGTCCCTTCGCCTCCAACCTCCTCTTTCGTCCCATCACCATCCCCGAAGCCCTCGCCAAGATGTCATCTCCTACCCTCGCAGCCACGAACCTCTTCAACCTGGCCGGCAAGACCGCGCTCGTCACGGGCGGCGGCACCGGTCTCGGTCTCACCGCCGCCCTCGCACTCGCATCCAACGGTGCGACCGTCTACATCTCCGGTCGACGCAAGGAAAAGCTCGACGAGGCCGTTTCGGAGTACTCCTCCCAGATCGGCGCTGGCAAGCTCGTTGCGATCCAAGCAGACGTGTCGTCGAAAGAGGACCTGGCCAAGATCGCCTCGACGATCAAGAAGGATGTGGGCAAGCTGCACATCTTGGTCAACAACGCTGGGGTCGAGGGGCCAATGACCAAGTTCGAACCTTCCTCCGTGGCCACACTTTCGGCGGAAGAGCTCTCGGAAGCCCATTTGAAGAGCGAATCCTTCGATGCGTGGGACACCTTGTTCCGCATCAACACAGCAAGCGTCTTTTTTTCCACCATGACCTTTCTCCCTCTCCTCGCCGCCTCTCACGACGACACCTGGAAAAGCGCCGTGATCAACATCACCAGCATCAGTGGGATCGTGAAACTGAGTCAATTTCACTATGCGTACAATGCAAGCAAGGCTGCTGCGAACCACCTGACGGTGATGCTCGCCCACGAACTCCGATTTCGCTCCAATCTGGGGATCCGCGTCAACGCCATCGCTCCAGGCCTGTTCAGTAGCGAAATGACCAGCGGTGGGAAAAGCCAAAAGGGCAAGACCAGCAGCGACGATGTCAAAGGACACGAGAACCCAGCGGGACGCGTGGGAAGCGAGCAGGAGTATGCGCAACTGGTGTTGTTGTTGGCTGGAAACGGGTTTATGACCGGTCAGGTGGTTGCGGTGGATGGTGGGTTTGTCACTGCTGTTGCTGCCAGTCGATGAGCGGAGGAGGGAAGTGAATCGAAGGAAGGAAGAAGAGGGATTTGGATGGAATGGAAGGATCTGCATGGAACGAGACAGTACTGTCCGGCTGTTCGCCGAGACCGGATGGCGATCGGAAGACGCATTACAAGCAATGCAATGGTTCGAAGACAGCATGGTGCGTGTACGCTCAAACGTGGTCTGTGTTGCCTTGATGCAGTCTGATGATGAGAACGAAGCGAAAGATGGGTGAATGCTGGGCTTCGAATTGAGGGGTATGGTAATGAATATTGATCTCGAGCATCGGCTAAGCTCGCCCACGCAACCTCCTCTCCATGGTCACCCTGCCAGTGCGGAACTGGTTCTCCAGGTCGGCCAGTTGCGCTTCCCCTTCGGCACGCATCTCGATCGCCGCTGCCTCTGCTTTCGCCTGCAGCCACTCTCCCAGCGTCATAGCCCGCTGCGAATCGTCCAGATCCAGCTTTGACAGCTGCGGCAGATGCGAGAGTGGACTGCGGCCGGTGCTCGGTGCCATGGCTGCAATGGAGGACCATCGAGGAGCGCCACGGATGGTGGCTTGCGAGCCGGTGTTCGGTAGAGCTGCGTCGGTATCGAGGTCGGTCTCGGGCACGATGTCGATGCTGTCTGCAGAAGCAGGCTCGATTTCGACTTCCGAGATGAGAGGGCTTGACTTGGTCGGACCGCGCTTGGACGAAGACGAGGCGGAAGACTTTCCACTGCCACTGCTGGGAGCTGCTTCTCTGGATGTGTTCTTCGCCGAGGCCACCGCTTTCGAGGCAGTGCCAGAAGAGCGCTTCTGAGCCGGCTCCGGATCCGCTTCCGAGCTCATCGACGGGAACGCGACTGTGTCCGCTACCGTTGCATCCGCCTCATCGTTGTCCGTCGCTTTTGCTGATGCCTTGCGTGACTTGGTGGTGGATGCCGATGCTTTGGTGGCTGGAATCTTTGTCGCAGTCGCCTTGGCTGCGCGACCACCACGCCTCTTGGGCTCCTCCGCGGGCTCCTCCTCTGCCTCGTCATCGTCGTGCTCAATGACGGTGTTGTCTTCGATCACTTGCACCGAGTCCTCCTCCATGGGTGTCTCCACCTCTGGCTCGGGAGTCGGTTCCTTCGGAGCGGCAACCGCAGCTTCCTGGTCGAGCTTCTTGGACCTGGAACGGCTCTTCTTGGGCTTGGTGGGCTGGACGGGATCGGTCGCAGGCATGGGCGAATCCTCGCTGTGTGCAGTCGGGAAGGGAACGACGGGATCGGAAAGAGCGAGCTCTCGCTTGGCGAGGTCTTCTTCATCGGGTCTGCGGAGTTTGCGGTTGAGACCTTCGTCCGAGAGCAGGTTGATGGCTTTGGTGGCTCTTCTGCTGGCAGCTCGACCGGGTCGTGCTGGTGCTGCTTGAGGGGCAGTGCCGTTGCCGAGACCCGTCACGCTCTTCTTCTTGCTCAGCGTCTGGACCGGCTCCTCGACTGGTGTCTCAGGTGCAGCCACCTCAGCGGGCTCATCCTCCTTCGGCTCGTCCTCTTCCACTTGCGCCTTGGCGGCGAGCTTCTTTGTCGAAACGCTGCGAGCCTTGCGGCCTCCTTTCTTTGCTGGCGCTTCGACCTCAGCTGACTCTGCTCCTGGCTCCTTCGGCGTGGTTTCGGTGGCCCTGGGCTCGTCTTGCGGACCCGCGGGCGCCTCGTCCAATTCTTCTCCCTCTTGCTTCTTTGCGAGAGCGGCGACTGACTTCTTTCCCTTGGCGATCTTTACCGAAGCTTTGCGTGTTGTCGACACAGCACGTTTGCCGCCCTTCTTTGGCACTTCGACGGGTTCGACTTCCTCTTCAGCTGCGTCTTCTTCGACGATCGGCTCCGGAGCCGGCTCTCGCAACTCGCAGTTGAAAAAGGCGCAATCCGGAACGCGTCGTTGATGCTCGTGAACGGGATCGTCTGCCTTTTCCCATCCGCCGAGCGACTTGCTGCAGTAGACGCACTTGGCGTTGTCGGGTTCTTCGTCGGTAGGAGCAAAGTAGAAGCCGGCTTCGGCGAGCTTCTTGCTGGTGGGCTTCCAGCCCTTCTTGCCGTCGTACGGCCATTGCGAGCCGAAGGTCTCCTTTCGTGCTGAGATCATCTCTTTGCTGGTAGGTAGAAGCGTGGCAATTTGCCAGGTCCATGTGCTGGTCGCACCGTCCAGGGAAGCGGCTTGTTGACTGCGAAAGATGCGACACCAGCCATTGCCTGGAATCGCGTCTTCGAGTCTTGAGAGCGGATCATCGCTGGACTGCCAATTGGCTATTTGGATGTCAGTGTAGAGGAAATGGGAGACGGCGTCGGGTTCGTCCTGTGATGGCGTGTGGTAGAAGCCATGCTCAGCGAGCGTGGCTGGCGTCGGGATGCCTGATGTTTTGGCGCTGCGGCCAGTGACGGGATGAGGCCATGATAAGGAAGAGGATGCTTTGGTGGACTGCCTCTTCTTTGCTGCTGACGTGGAAGTGGACGACGAAGCGACAGAGAACGAAGCCAGGCGCTCCTCTGCCGAGAACATTGCTGCTATGCTCGGTGATCTGAGGCGATGGCAAAATGGGAGATCCGATGGGTCGATTGATTCAGCCGAGATCGCGATTCGACGACGAGCCGGACGTTCCGAGTTCGATGTCGGAAGGGTAGCGAATGGGTATCTGTGGTGATGCGACCGAGATCAAGAGTGTCAAGAATCGAGCTTGAGGTGTGGTGGGATCGAGATGAAGCACAATGATCGCGTTGCAAGAGAAACCCTGGCTGAAGAATGAAAGTGTTGGTGTCCCTCGGTGCGTCGAGAGGGCAGTGGATCGAAAGTAACACTTTTCGAGTGTTGCTGCCTCGCGAAGTCCTCTCGCAGCAGACAGAGCGGGTATCGCGCCTGTGGGCGTAACGCTGCGTTTTGGATTTCTGAGAGTCGTTCTGCTGCCGCGAAATTTGCACCTTTTCAACGCGTCTGTTGAACGCACGTGATGCTTTGGCTGGGGGAAAACAGTGCGGCAAGGCAGCTGGGCCATGAATTCACACAGGCAGCGCAGCTTCTGCATGGCGAGCAGGACCCTGAACGCTTTGACCGAGACAAAAGAAGATCCAAAAAAAGTCGGACGAGCCGCATCGACTGTGGTCAGCTCACTCTGGGAGCCTACTTGCATGCGTGCTCAACTGCCTCCATCCGACCATCATCCCCAGCACTGCACCAGCTCTTCGCATCGAGGTCGGAGTGTCGTGTGACCCAGTGAAAGAGGGCGTGGGAAGATTGCATCGCCAAGCGGGTCACGCCTCGCTTCATCCGACGCTTTCCCACGCTGCTTAGATGCTTGGAGCTTGTTTCTCTTGCTCTTATCACATCAGAGACATAAAAGCTCGTCAGCTTCGAGCATTCACTTCTTGCTTCATCGGCTCCTCCTCTACAGTCACGCAAGCATCCGAGACAGACTCGTGAGTCAGGTCCAACCATGGATCTCTCCTCGTCGCTGCGACGCAAGCAGAGCACAGTCACCTATGCCAAGCGCAATCGGACACAAGGCGGCAGCGCACACTCATCGCCCGCTGTGGCTCGTCGCTCTTCCTTCGCCGCCAAAGAGGACTCTTCCTCGAGCGCATCCTCCGACGATGAAGCCGGTCCATCCGTATCACGCTCTAGACGCAAAGACACCGCCACCATCGTCTCTCCCTCATCACAGACGGCTGCAAGGAATCGTTTCAGTCCAAAGGAGCCAGCAGCTCGCCCTCTCACCAATACTCAGGCATCGACGACGGGCAATGGATCACCCAAGAGGGTCTCCGCTTCCACTCCTACTGCCATCGCCTCGACTTCTCGATCAGCTCTGAGGTCCGCCTCGCCGACCAATCCGAGTCCATTCCCAAGGTCTAGCTCATCATCCACCGGCCTTATCTCCACGACTAGATCGCTTCCACAGCGTCCACCTAGAGCAGCATCTCCCACGCCCACCCAGTCGAATCGTTCCCCTGCCAAGAGAAGCGCCAGCACCTCGCCTCGCAAGCTCTCGTCGTCTGTATCGCCAACCAAACGTCTGGCTCGCTCACGCACACCTTCGCGCCCTGCGCAGGACCTCAGCGGACTTTTTGATGCCATCGAGTCCACTCTGCCTCAAGCTCGCCACCCATTTGGAAGAAGCGAGAGTCAACCCATCGTCCATCTCCACCAGGATGACGCCGAACAGACCCTCTTATCCGCACCTGCATTCGCTCCCAGTCCACTCCAATCCCCAACTCTCCCAGCCTTCGACTTCAACGATGCAGATGCACCGCTTTCTCCTGGTCTTCTCACCAGTCCTTCCAAACGATCGAGAATGGCGGACAGGATGGCACCTAGAGCCGCTCGCCCGACCAAATCCAGGGTGGACGAGATTGCAGAAGCCCTAAGCAACTCTAGACGAGGATCACTCCGTAGAATCGAGACGGCTCCATCCGCAATGTCGGACACGGGCGCTCCGGGACCATTCGCCTCGGAGACGAGTCGACATACGTCAACCAACGGTAAGGACGATGATGCAAAGAGTGCGCGCCTCTCGGATGCTGGCTCCGCACGCCTCGATACCGCTTCACAGGCTGACAGCCAATCTCAAGAAGGTGTCAATGCGGCTCTGAGCGCTCGAAAACTTGCGGGTATCAAGCAGAGCTCGGCCAGCAATGCTAAGCGCACCTACGGTCTACAGCGTAGCTTCCTCGCCGACCAGGCCGAGGAGAATCTCCTGAGCGACCCCGCGGCAGCGTCGTCGCCTTCTGGCCCTTCTTCGCGCAACATTGAAGATGAGATCGAGGCAGAGCTCAAGGGCAACAGCAACGGAAACGGAAAAGGTACTGCAGCCAGCAAGCTATCTGGGACAACATTTAAGGCTTCGATTCGCAAGCCAGACTTGGCTCCCTCTGCTCCTCGCGAAAGCTATGCCGAACTGCTCAAAAAATGGGGCGAGGGCGCAGAAGACATTGAATGGGACGAGTCGCAAGACCCTACCCTCAATCTCAAGTCGATCACCTCTCTTCGGTCTCAGGGCGAACTCAGGCGCTTCAATGACGACCTCGAGTATCTTTTCACCGGACTCGACGCAGCCCAAGCCCTATCCATCCGCCGCAGCTCCACCGTCGAGCTGATCCGCCTCCTTTGCGGCAAGCCCGACCTTGGAGGACTTGATCAAGATGCAAGTGACGCCGAAGACGACCTCGAGGATCCCCTCGCGTCGGCTCAGTCCGCCGAATTTATGCGCAAACTCAAGGCGTCGGATCTGATCGCACGACTCTTCGACCTCTTCCGGGGAGCTGAAGCCGGCGAGGGTGTTGATGACGTCCTGGATGCCGCCATAGCCGTGTACATCGCAAAATTGCTCAAGTCTGGGTCCACTGCCGTGCCGCTCACCCGCGAGCGGTGGTCAGAGCTCAGTGCTGTCCTTCATGGCCTTCTGACGCGGGCGGACAGAGCCGAGCATCAAGAGCGCAAGGACGGCTTAGCTCTGCTGCGCCTTCACGAGCTCAAACTCCACAAGATCGCATCCAGAACAGACCGCAAGACGCTGGCTGAGCTTCGAGACATTGCACGGATCTCAAAGCTGTTCGTAGCCGGTTCGCAAAGCTGGACGTTGCGTAACCTCGTTCTTGCTTCGTGCTGTTCGTTGATCGTACTGCCTCGTCGGCTGTTGACCGATGTTGTCATCAGCGACCTGTTCATGGATGCTGATGGACCCCATGACCGTCCTCAGGCGTCGTTTTTCAATACTGTTCTCGGCGTGCTGGTCTCGGAAGGCGCCAAGGCCCGACACCGGCTCATCGACTTTACCAAGGGACTTGAGCTCGTCACGCCGGCTGCGATCGAGTCGATCCCAGACCTTGAGACGGTCGACGTGTGCATCCGATTCCTAGACAAAGGCATGGATGTCTTGTACCTCGAACTCGATCAAGCTGTCCCGGCATCCATTGAGACCCTGGAGTCAGTGCAGCACCTCATCCATTTCGCTATCCAAGCAGCCCCCTTCGGTGGTGGCCTGCACCCCGGCGATGCCGACAAGTCCAAGGACAACGGCGCACCGAGCCGTGCTCTGCAGATCCTGCATGGACTGTTCAAGATGCTGCTCGATCTGAGTCAGGTCGACGCAAATTGGAGTGAATCCCTGGCTTCCTCTCTAGATGTGCAAGAGGCCGTCATGCGAGCGTTCCTCCTCAGCCACCGCAGCGCCTCGCTGCTTCGTCAGACGGCTTCAAACGCAACGGAAACGAAAAGCAGGAAGGGCAAGTCGGCGGTCAAGGAGAATGACGGTGATGACGCGACGCACAGGCCCGGCATCGCGCTGTTCGAAGACGTCGTGCATCTGTCCCTGGCGCTTCTCACCAATCTGCTCATCAAGCAACTCGACAAGGCGCGCGATACACTGCAAGCGATCCGCATCAATCCTGCTTGCTGGGGTCGACGAACTTGCTCCGTCAAGTGCACATGCGACGACAGATCATCCGCGCTTCAGCTGCTGGCACGTGTCTTCTTCGACACTCGCATCGCCGCAGCAAGCAACGATGACAGCAACGCAGCGTACCTCTCAAATTCGATCGCGACCGCTATTGCGCAGTTCGCAGTCGGTGACTCCACGCGACTGGAAACATGCCGAGCTGCTCTCGACGCCGAACTGCCTGTTCTGAACGGCAAGAGCGGCGCCACAAATGTGATCAAGGACAGCGGCTTCGAGACGCTTCTGGACGCGGTAGAAGAGTTTGCTGTGGTGCATGAGGCGGCATTGCACGCGGAACGAGCGCGAGCGGCAGAAGCAGCGCTCAATGACGATGAAGATGCAGAAATGCAAGCGGAAAACGGGGACGAGACGGCGAAGGCGACGAAGGATGTAAATGTGGAAGGCGATACCAGCAACCCGGTCGCCGTCGAAGCTGGGCAACTGATCAAAGATCTGGCCATCGCACTTCGACAGATGGCCTGACAATGTGCACAGACGAGACAACGACGGATGCTATGTTGTATCTCTAGACAACATCAATACCCAAAGGCCTCAGATCTCATGCACACGATCGCAACCCCGACTTCTGACTGGATGAGATACGACCGGCGTTGCAGCATCTTTGTTCAAGTCTGCCTCTGAAAATCTACCTGCCCTCGCTCCTTTCTGTCCGTTGCCCACGCTCCATGTCATCCAGCCGGAGACACACCAAGGGCCCGACAAACCCGATCACGCCCAAAACCACCCACACCATCTGCCCGCCCAGCAGACCTGTCGTCACGCTGAACGCAAACAGACTGTTGGCAAGATACGGGCCGGCTGCACGTGCGATGCTACTGCTCATCTGCGCCAGACTGTTGAGCGTGCCTAGTGCAGGACTTGGGTCGAGGAGCGATGCGCATTGGGTGACGAGAATCGTGTTGCTGGCATACGCCATGCCGCCCATCACACGTATCGCCGTGCTGATCAGCAGGCATGTCCACACAGCCACCGAAGTAGCGGAAGTGCTGCGAGCGAAGGCGTTCGCCACGGGCAGCAGTACCATCGACAGCGGAAAGGAGAGCATGGACGCTTGATACACGCGCAGGGTGCCGTATCGCTTCTGGAGGGGTGGGAAGAGGATCAGTTGGACCAGCGCCCCTCCGAGTCCGTTGATGCTGAGCAAAATGCCCGTTTCGGACGATGTGAAGCCTACACCGCCGAGAGCTGCGGGCTCGAAGAGGTACAGCACAAGGACTGCGTCCAGCGCGACCGAGATCAGGGCGAGGAGGCCGTATGAGAGGAGTACCTTCTGGATCTGCGCGATGGACAGGATCGAGAAGATGGTCGGTGGAGTTGGTGGTTCGGTTTGAGCATGGTTGGTGGTGGTCGATGTGGTTTCGGTGGTGGTAGTGTTCTCCACTGCACCATAGCCGTTCGAATGGGAGGCATCATCGTCGTCGGCCTGCTGTGACCGTCGCTTCTTCTGCTGCTGCTCGATCCTCTTTTGCTCGACTTTCGACGGTAGGGTCTCGTCCAACGCCACCGCGCCCAAGGTAATACTTCCCAACGTCAGTCCCGCACTCACCAGGCACGGCAACAGGAAGGGATACTCGACCCACAGCCCTCCGAATCCCGCCCAGCTGCCCTCGCCAAACACACCCGGGTACTGCTCCGCCGGTCTGCTCAGATATCCTCCCAACAGCGGTCCGATGAAGCTTCCCACGGTCCACGTCAAGGCCAAAAAGCTGAATGCCCTCGCCTGGTTGCTCCCGTCCGTTAGCTCGCCCATCACGCTCTTGATGATTGCCACATTGCCATTCGTCGCCCCTGCCAAACTTCTCGCCAGGACTGCCCAGACGAAGCTCCTACTCAAACCGAAGAGCACCGCGCTGCAGGCTACACCACACAGCCCGCTGATGAGCACAGGTTTGCGACCAATTCGATCGGACAGACTGCCCCAGAAGAGAATGGTGCACGTCTGCGAGACGGAGAAGAGAGACTCGATGATGCCTGCGTAGTATCCGACGGACGCGCGCGCTGGATAGGGCGGAAGGGTGTAGACGAGATCGTTGACGAACGGGAAGATGAGGGTGAACGAGATGGGTTCGGCGAGACGCATGAGGATGAGAATGATGATTGCGCGTTTGGGGAGCGGTGTGTCTTTGCGAGGTGAGGAGGTGGGGAGGAGGGGTTCTTGTTCGGGGTCGTCGCCCGCGGATCGGGTGAAAGCATGGCCGTTTGAGGGTTGCGAGGTCGACATTGTGGTGCTGGTCGTCGTCAGCGGTCGTGAGGCGACAATTGCAATGAGAGTACCGAGATGCTTGCTGTGCCGTCGAAGCTGCTCCTTATATCCACGTGGAAGATGCAGGGTCTCACAGTGGTTGATGGCTGGCAAGCACCGTCCCCACCACGTCGATCGAAGTTCGAGAAGCTAGATCTTGTCGACAGTCTCGAGCAAGCAATCTTTGTCGAGCTAGTTGATCTCAATGAAGACGTCGTCGTTGCCGGTGTATAGTAAGGGTCGATTGCGACATGGTGCCGTCTTGTTGTAGGACCGAAGAGAGGAACGACGATATGACTCCAACCAACGGCGCCAGGATTCGTGCTCGTCGATCATGACTCGCGCTCGTTACACCAACACTTCGTCATCGGCTATGCTTTTCACGTTTGTCCGGCAAATTCGCCGGCAGCAAGAAGGTTCGTCCAAAAAAGGGTCCAAAAATTCACGCAGAAAAAGTTTGGCTCTCCTCCATCAACCATCACCACCTCATCAAGCACAGAGCATAGCAGCAAGATGGATGGCTTCGAAATTCCCGACTTTCAGGTTTCGCAGGATGACAACCACGTCTATGTAGATGTGTCGTGTCCGAACGGCGACGTGGGTGCGAGGGGAGCGACGCCGAACGTAGCTGTCGAAGGACGCATCTTTGGATTTCATCTCGAGCCGTACTACCTGCCGCTCGTCCTGCCCGGTGCAGCGATACTGTCCAACGTCGATGATGCAGTCCACAGCTCACATGACGGTCGAAGACACTACAGAGTCACGTTGAACAAGCTGCAGCCAGGGGAGCGCTTCGAAGGGTTAGACCAGCTGCAACCGCAACTGTTGCCGGAAGACCAGATGAAGCAAGCCCTGGCGGATGCGGAGCAGTCGAAGGGCTTCTTCCAACCAACAGGCGGTGATGCCAGCAGCACTCGAGCGATGGATGACGCGGCCAAGTCGTTGTTGCAGCAAGCGCTGCGGAGTCAGGGGCTGACGGCGGTCAACGACGAGGATGGGGAAGCGGCGATCGATGCGAGCGCGATGCAGGCCGGATCTGCTGCGCCGAGTAGCGCTACCGCCGGCGCTCAGGGTCATGGCTTTGGTTTCAGGAGCAGCTTCAGGGGCTCACTCATCCCAGCAGGATGCGCGGATACGCGCAACATACTCGAAGTCCCCAATCCGGAAGCCGTCGAGCTGGCGCAGCGAGAACAAGCCGCTTTGGCGTTCGAGGAGCAGCACTGGGACGAAGGCATCTACATGGACAATTTTCTCGACATCGATGGCGAGCTGGCACACCTACTCCGCTTTCAGCCGAGCATCCCAGCAAGTACCGCTTCAGGCACTTCGAGCCTGGTTGACGATTCACATCATGTCATGGAGGCGCTCGCGCTAACACTGCAGCTGCTGTTCGCATACAGCTACGACGAGCGCACCAACGAGGGCGATCCCACGGTCGAATCCGGCTGGACGATTGCCAAGCTTTCCCATTCTCTCGCAGCATCCGCCCCACCCCGAACCACTTCTGCGACCACGTTGGAATCCGTCGTTTCCGCAACCCTGATCGGGTGTGCAAGACGAGCGCTGACCGTCCCCCTCTACCGACACTGGAATCTGACGCTCGCCTGCATCCACGACACTCTGCTTCGGCTCGAAGCAGGTGCGACACACGTCAAGCACTGCCTGCATCAGATTGCTGAGCGACTCGAGGAGGGCGAGGACCCGATCCTGTGTCGATTGTCAGAGGTGTGGTTGACGCCGCTGTTGGCGGAGATGCCGGATGATGGGGAATCGAGGAGGTTGGCGGCGTGCGTGAGGCTGCAAGCGGGAGAGTTGACGAAGGACAAGGTGGGAGGTGAGAGGTGGGATTTGGAGGTGGTCGAGCAGGCCGCGAGGGAGGCGTATGATGAGGGTGAGGGAGGGTTTGTATGACGTTACGACTCCGTAATCTCATATGCTCAAGCACGGACGATGTCGGTAGGCAAGTTCGAACCGGACCACATTCTTGATGGATACGAGGACCGCACTTTAGGACGAGATATCATCGTACGAATCGCTTCGAGGGGATTGAGGCTAGTCTCTTACAACGGCATTGTCACGCCGACTCCCCATTCAGGAAAGAGTCGATGAAGGAAGGTCGGGACCGCGATTCGTATCCAGCCTCAACTTCTCCCTGAGCCTTTTTTCGGTCGGAGTGTTAATTTCTCGCTGCCGTGGTCAAACGAATAATTAAAGCTTGTGGCTGCTCTCGCATCGCGTCGCGCGAGGCTCCGCTTTGGCCAGAGATGCTGAGTTCAACACCCTTTTTGAGCCTGTCACAGGGTTGGACCCTTGATGCAGCAGAGCGTTTCTCAGAAGGGTCTCGCGTTGATGACGAGTGGGGAAAGCCAGGAAGAAAGCTTCTCTCGACCTCGAGCCTTCTCATCTTTCTTCTCGCACCCTCCTGCATCGTCACATTCTCGCTCATCACATAGTCACAGCATCTCCATCATAGCATCACATTCCATCTTCGCATTCCAACACACGCATTCGATATCCAAGCATAACCACTCTCCAAACCCAGACCCGCACCTCCCACACCATCGTAATTTGCGCATCGTCGGGCTCGGCTGACGCCCTTTGACTCACCGCCGAGATGGTCACACAACGCACCACCCCGAAGCGGGTCACACCAAAGAAGGAAGCTAACACGCCAGGTCAAGGTCGGATCGATTCATTCTTCACTCGCAAGGCCGCCGCCGCTGCGAGCCCATCGCAAGCCTCCCCCTCAGCCGCGGCGGCCCGCAGGACACCCACAAGCTCGTCAAAATCGTCGCCCATCAAGTCCAAGCCGGCCGTCACACACACCCGTCATCAAGACGAGCTCTCTTCCGAATCAGAATCTGGCTCCGAGTCCGACAACGGCCTCTTCCGAGGACGAGGCAGCCGTCGCAGGGTCGACTCGGACGAGGATTTCCAACCAGAGAAGCACGCCGAAGCAGAGCTAGACGATGACGACGACGACGCCAAAACGATCGATAGCGACAGTGACGCCTCCGCCGCAGTCAACTCCACCACCATCAGCGAGGGACGCTCCTCCACACCGTCCACCAGCATGCCCGAAACACCCGCTGATGACGACCCTGCCACGACCGGCTACTTCTTCGGCTCCGACCCGTTCGTGCCCGTAGCTGGATCCAAGCCCCAGCTGCCAAAGTCGACATCGCAGCGCTCGCTTCGTTCCGCTGGCCCGCCCGCAGACCCTCCGAAGAAGCTCTTCTCGCTCTTTGACAGCCCGAGTGCCAAGGGCAAGCGTGCCCACGAGGCCGACGAGGACGATGATGCCTTCCTCGATGATGATGATGACGACGATGTCAAGCCTCGCAAGCGAGGTGGGGCATCCGGCACAAAGCCAAAGGGTGGCGTTTCGATGCCTTCCGTCTCCAGCGGCAAGGGCTGGAAGTCCAAGTTCGCCCAGCAACGACCTTTCCGCAAGATGCCTTTCGTGCCGTCTCTATCAGAGATTGCCGAGATGCGTGCAAAGGTCAAGGAGAAGGCGGACAGCATCTCGTACCCGCCCATTCACGACCTCGCCGACATCTTTGGTGACATGATCGATCGAGCGCCTGCCATTCTCGAGCTCGCCAAGACTCTCAAGGATCGTCCCCTCCGCGTCGCCACCATGTGCTCCGGAACCGAGTCGCCTCTCCTCGCCCTCGAGCTCATGTGCCGCGCCATCCACCAAAAGCACGGCATCCGCATCAAAATTCAGCACGTCTTCTCCTGCGAGATCGAGCCATTCAAGCAGGCCTATATCGAGCGCAACTTCTCACCGCCCATCCTCTTCCGAGACGTCACGGAGCTCGGCGGCAAGAAAGCTCACACCGCCTATGGAGCGCTCGTCGATGTGCCGGGCGACGTCGACATCCTCATCGCAGGTACCTCGTGCGTTGACTACTCGCATCTCAACAACAGTAAGAAGGGCCTGAACGACGGCGGTGAGAGTGGACGCACCTTCCGCGGCATGCTCGAGTGGGTGATGCGCCACAAGCCCACCCTGGTCATCCTCGAGAATGTCAAGAACGCGCCTTGGGTAGGTGTGGCCGAGACCATCGTCTCGGAAGCCGGCTACGACGTCGGCTTCAGCAACACGTTCGACACCAAGAATTACTACATCCCGCACACGCGTCAACGAGGCTATTTGCTGGCGTGCAGAAACAACAAGAACTCGCTTCCTCAAAACTGGGAGCTCATCACCAACATGCTCATGCGACCAGCCTCGAGTCCCCTCGATGCATTCCTGCTGCCCACGGACGATCCGCGTATCCAGCGAGTGCGTCGTCAATTCGCGCACGGCGAAGGTCTGAGCAAGGGCAGATCTACTATCGACTGGTCCAAGTGCCAGAGCCGACACGAGCGAGCGCGAGACGAAGAGGAGCTTGGAAAGACACGTCCCCTCACTGCATGGGAGGAAGGCGGCACGTGCAAAATGTCGCATGATGGCTGGAACGAATGGGCTGTTCGCCAGCCGGAGCGTGTCACGGATCTTCTTGACATCACCACGCTCCGTTTTGCCGCCATGGGTCAAGATCCGATCTACAAGTCCAAGATCTGGGAGCTGTCTCAGAATGTCGACCGCAACGTTGCCGCCTCTCGACCGGGTATTGCGCCGTGTCTCACACCGTCCGGTATCCCCTTCCTGACCTCGCGCGGTGGGCCGTTGATCGGCCTCGAAGCTCTCTCGCTGCAAGGCCTGCCCCTGGACGAGCTCCTTCTCACCAGGGAGACCGATGATCAGCTGCAAGACCTTGCTGGTAATGCAATGAGCTCGACCGTCGTCGGTGCTTGTGTGCTCGCCGCACTAATCGTTGGTATGGACGACCTGCGTGAGGACGGTGAGAAGCGAAAGGCCGCACAAGTATCGAGCAAGGACAAGAAGCAGGGCGAGCTGAAGAGCACCAGCGATGTCGTCGAGAAGGTGGTCGAGGACGGCCAGGACGCGATCACACGCAGCAATCTCCTCGCTGCACAGCCGCTGGACCTTACTTCCAGCCAAAAAGTATCGATGCCTGACCTCCTCAAGGCAGCGACCAACAGCGCCCAGCTGTGCAGCTGCGAAGGCCGAAGCCGTCTCGTCGACGTTGCCGTGCATCGATGCGTGGATTGCGACCACACTGCTTGTGAGACCTGCAAGGGTCGCCCCGTCCACAAATTTGTCCCCGACGAGCTGGTCAGGTCCTCTCCCGACAATTTTGCCCCATTGCTCAAAGCAGCACTTCCGATGCGGCTCGAATCTCGTGGTTTGACGCGAGAGATCATCTCATCGATGATGAAAGGTCTGCCCTTCGCAAGCGACTCGCTGGCCAACCGTTGGGGCAAGCGCGTCGCCGAGGTGCTCGAGTCAGCTGAGTTCCGCTTTCAGACGCTACTCCGTCAGAAGGTTTGGCAGGTGCAATTCGCCGCGCCGGGTGCACGACTCGACCTCCTCCTCGACCCCGTCGAGCCGCATTGGCGCATCCTCGTTGAGCCTCCTATCGATGAGCCGGCGGGCAGCCCGTTGCGCAAGCTGCTCATTCAGCCTGTGGCCCGTATGGCCCTCGACGCCACAGCGAAGCGAGTCGACCTCCTGCACGGACAGTGGGAATTGTGTCTCCCGACCACAAAGGTGACCATTGTCACGGTCCGCAGCACCGGTCCACAGGTCCAGGCGTGGCAGAGCGCGATGGGTCTTGGCGGCAAGTGGGCGGACAAGCTGCGCTACTCGCAAATGCACGTCAGTGTGCCCGAAGATGTGCGCGACCTCTTGGATGCCGACATCGATGGCGCCTACGATCTGCTCGAGCAGTGCGGTACTGCCTGTGGTGCTCTCCACGTCCGCCGAAAGGACCAGGACACGGCCAACCACCGACGCCTCTTCCTCTTCATCGACACCGATCGATTCCAGGACCAGTCTGCCGATCGATTCGTCTTTTCGACCGACACATCTCGCTGGCCGTACCCGCTCGAGCGTGTCTCGGTGGCTCAGCTTGAGCCTGGGTGGCGACCCGCGTTCGCTGTGCCAAGCAAGGAAGAGGTGGAACAGCAAGTCAAGATGACCATCTCTGGCGCATGGCGTAAGGTCGAGCGTTTCAACGTCCGTGCCGGCACCGGAGTGGACGGCAAGATGGCGATCCCAAAGCAGCACTTCGACCTCGATCTCCGGCAAGAAGACTGCTCTTCGTCTGTCGCCGTGTTGACCTGCGAGGCGCCCGTGCTCGGCCGCGGCATGGACCGCATCTGGCCGGCAGACGGTGTCTGGGGTCAGGTCGACCTGCTGCACAAGACAAACACCACCTTCAGTCACCTGGCATGGCTCGTCGAGCGACTGCCGGACGTCGAGGCGCTGGACGGCTGGATGCCTGCCAAACACGATCCGTTTGACTGCGCCACCGCCAACTGTGCTCGATGTGCGCCCTCTGAGCCGGACATTCAGTGGCTTGCGATCCCAGGCAAGCCTGTCGTGCCCGTCGAGAACACAATGCAAGCCGGGCCCTACGAGCAGGCTCTCAAGAACCGCCCCTCTCCCTTCGTCGTGCAGCTACGCCTCAAGAAGGATGTGGCCCAGGTGCGATTCGGTCTCAACGCTGCAACGCTCATGCATCGTGCCGTGTCACGTCTGCCCCCGTCGAAAAACGCTGGCGCTGTAGAGCTGTCTTGGCGTCTCACCAAGCTCGACCGCTCCATCGACATGTTCAAGCTGCCCCGCTACACGCTCCGCAGCAATCGATTGGATCCAGAGGCGGCCACCCCCGAGCTTTTCGCGCTGCAACTTCGACGTGAGCAGAAGCGATCGCTCACGTGGATGCTCGAGCAGGAAGAGGCCGACGTACAGCCGTTCAGCGAGGAGGAGATCTCGGAAGGCTTGCTTGACCCACTCGGCTGGCGTGCCGAGGGTCGGGCCGTTCGCCCCGTCACCGTCCGAGGAGGCGTGCTGGCTGATGCGGTCGGTTACGGCAAGACTTGCATCTCGCTCGCTCTTATCGCCTCGTCGCCGCACCGTCGTGACCTTCCCGCGGCCCCCGCAGGTGAGGAGGGCAACTACGTCTCTACTCGCGCCACGCTCATTATCGTCCCCGGCCATCTCTGCAAGCAGTGGGAGAAGGTGGTGCGCAAGTTCTGCGGCAACAAACTCACGGTCCGCGTCGTCACTTCGAAGGCCGAGCTCAACAAGCTCACTGTGCGAACGGTCCTCAACTGCGACATCCTCATCATGTCTGTCACGGTCTACAAGTCGGACGCGTACTGGGAGACCTTGGCCTCGATCGCGGCCTCTAACCCTCTGCCGAACCGGGCAGGGCGATTCTTCAACGCTGCGCTCAAGAAGTCGCTTGAAGCGCTCAAGAACCGTGTCCGCGAGCTGACCGGAATCGATCGCGATGGTGGCGTTCGTCAGCTGCTCAAGTCGATTCGAAGCAAGGTTGACTTTGATGACTCGCACCTCACCACGCACAAGGCCAGGAGCCGATTGAAGGGCAAGGCGTACATGGCTGCCAATGGCAAGGACGAGGACGACGAGAGCGACGATGAGAAGGTGCTCGCTGCTGCTGCCAAGAAAGGCACCAGCAAGGCCCTGCCCAAGGAGCTGCAGTCCACCAACAGCAAGGATCCCGACCCGTGGGGTCTCGGCTCGGCTTCCGTCCAGCGCGACTGGCACAACATGTCCTGCCCACCTCTCGAGATGTTCATGTGGAACCGCGTCATTGTCGACGAGTTCCACTACATCGGCGAGACCATGGACCGCACTCTTGCCGGCGTCACCAGTTTGCAAGCTCGGTCGAAGTGGATTCTCTCGGGCACGCCGCCCACCGCCGACTTTGCCGACGTCAAGAGCATCGCCGTGTTCCTCAACGTCCACCTCGGTGTTGATGACGACGCGGACACCACCAAGGACTCGGTCCGTAAGGCGAGGGAGAAGATGCGTACCGCCGCGGAGAAATTCAACAATCTCCGAGAGATGCACTCCCCCGCGTGGCACCATCGACGTCAGGAGGTGGCTCAGCGCTTCCTCGATCGCTTCGTCAGGAGCAACGAGCCGGAGATCGGAGAGCTGCCGAGCCAGCAGCTGATCAAGCCGATCCGCTTGCCCGCCGCCGAGTCGGCGCTGTACCTCGAGCTCGCGCACGCGATCGAGAACTTGGACCTGCGCCATCAGCGCAAGGTGTTCAAGGCTCGGCCCAAGGCGAAGGCCATCAAGGCCAAAGCGGCGAAGGAATTCATCGACGACAGCTCCGACGATTCGGACAGCGGCAAGAAGAAGTCGAAGAAGGCATCCGCTGCCAAGGACGTCAAGCGCAAGCAAGGCGATCCGCAGCTCGAGATGAGCCACCGTGACCAACGCCTCATCGACACACTCGGCAGCTCCGCCTCGCCCGAAGAAGCGCTTCTCAAGCGCGCGTCGGTCTACGACGACTTTGCCGGTGTCGACCTGGACGCCATGGAAGGCGTCAACAACGCCATCAAGGCGTGCGAGTACATCGTCCGCGAGCGTCGCAAGCAGCTCGCCGACTGTCGCGAGCAGCTCGAGCGGGAGCTCCCCATCGCGCTCGAACAGCACCTGCTGGTGCTGCACCACTTTGGCTACCGTGACGAGAACAGGCAGGCGTTTGCCGACTACGTGCGCAATGCTCACAACGCCGCGTGGGGCGACCTGGAGTCCAAGGCGATGATCCGCGAGATCCTCGATGATGCCAACTGCACCATGAGCAGCGTCACGCGAGCGGCGGCCAAGACGCACTTCAGCCGGTCGGGCGTGTTGCAATCGGCGCTCAAGCGCAGAGCCAAGGAGTGCGCTGCTGCCGAGAAGGGCGGTGGAGGCGGCGACGAGGACGGCATGAAGGGCAAAGTGGACCAAAAGGCGGCAGCCTGGGCGGAAGAGTACCACCTTCGCGCGCTGGTCCACCAGCTCACGCGTCTCCGCAACGAGCTCGTGGGTCGAGTCAACGCCCTCCGCTTCTTTACGATGATCCGCGACTGCCAGCGGGCCCACCTCGAGGGCGTCCACGTCAATATCACCTGCCCTGCGAGCAAGTGCAAGCACGGCGGCAACCCCGTCCCACTCAGCGAAGTGTCCATCAGCTCGACGTGCGGCCACACGGGCTGCAAAGATTGCGTCCTGCGCGAGGCTTACATCGGCAAGTGTCCCACGGACGGGTGTGCTGCACTCGCCAAACCCACTTCGATCGTCCATGCCTCGTCCCTCGGCGCGGAGGACGACGGCAAAGCCACACGGTACGGCACCAAGCTCGCGCTTCTCTGTGCTCTCCTCCGTCGCATCCCATCGACCGAACGCGCGCTCGTCTTCTGTCAGTTCGACACGCTCACCGCCACAGTCGCAGAAGCTCTCTCGGCATACGGCATTTCGTTCGTCCAACTCACCGGCACGGCCAAACGCCGCTCGGACCTGCTCGAGGCGTACCAAGAAGAATCCGGCGCGCGCGTCCTCCTCCTCAACGTCGAGGACGAATCGGCCGCGGGCTCGAACCTCACGGTTGCCAACCACGTCATCTTTGTCGGTCCCCTGCTGAAGCAAGAACAGCAGCAGTACGAGGCGACCATGACGCAGGCCATTGGTCGCTGCGTGCGGTATGGGCAGTTGAAGAAGGTGTGTGTGTGGAGACTTCTGAGTTTGGAGACGATTGATCAGGAGGTGTTGGAGAGGCGGGAGCGGGTGCGGGTGGTGAGGGAGGAGGAGGAGGAAAGGGGAGAAGGGGTGTTAGTGGTGGAGGAGATGGAGAGGGAGTTTGTCGAGGCACTGGGTGGACCGTTGGTGCTGCAGGATGTGGGGGCTGGGAAGGGGAAGAGGAAGAGGGAGGAGGAGGAAAGCAGTCCGAAGAGGGCGCGAAGGCAGTCGCAGCCCAAGTCGAAGAGGAAGCGCGCTGCGAGCAGTGAGGAGGAGGATGACGACGATGATATTGAGATCCTCGAGGAGGCGAGCACGCCTGCTAGGGGTCGACGCGCAAAGGCAAAGGCCAAGGCGATTTTGATCTCGGATGACGAGGAGGACGAGGAGGACGAATGATGCCGACTTTGTTCTTTCGTGAAATCATTTTGACTCTTTGCAACGACGATCGGGGTGACGATGGTGTCTGATTGATCTGATTGGGCACGAGGCCAAGGCGGCTCGGGTCTCGAGGAAGACGAAGGCGAGGACGGCCAGCGATGGCAAGGACGGCAAGCAATGTGGGGGACGGCGGGTGACCGCGAGGAGGAAGACTAGGAGTGAGGACGAGTGAGGACGAGTGAGGACGAGTGAGGACGAGTGAGGACGAGTGAGGACGAGTGAGGACGCGTGAGGACGAGTGAGGACGCGTGAGGACGAGTGAGGACGAGTGAGGACGAGTGAGGACGCGTGAGGACGAGTGAGGACGAGTGAGGACGAGTGAAGACGCTGAGGACGAGTGAGGACGAGTGAGGACAAGGAAGAGGAGGACGAGGAAGAGGAGGACGAGGAAGAGGAGGACGAGGAAGAGGACAGGTGAGGACAAGCAGGATGAGGAAGAGCAGGATGAGGAAGAGTAGGACAAGACCAGGACGAGGACGAGGACGCACAGCGAGAATTGACGACGTACAGCGAGGATTGACGACGCACAGCGAGCACGACGAGTGACGGCGCCATGATCCTTGACCGGTCTGCGAGTATCTCAATTCTGACTCTTTGCAATATTGACTGACATCGATGGAACACTGAAGGAGCACGAGGCTCGAACCCGCAAGCTGAGCCGCTTCCACGAGGCAGACAGCGTCAGAGGAAGCGAGCAATGCAAGCCCTGGCGTGGCATGAGGCTCGAGCGCAAGAGGCACGGCGCCACACGGGCAAACACAGTGGAGCGAAGGAATGTAGATTTGGTCGCTGAATCAAGACCTGTTCAAAGACGGTGTGCAAAAGAATATAATTGACTACAAAAGAATGTGTATGATAGACTGCCGACAAGAGGGAAAGTTCCGATACGATCGCTGCTCGAGCGTGTGTCTAGGCTGGTGACGAGCCCGATTCCTTGGCATCGCCATTGGCCGCATGGGGATGGATAGGCAACGCGGCGTCCTCGGTCTCGACATCGGTGGTGACGACGATACTGACCGCGTAGCGGGGCGAGTCCGGCATGAGCACCGACTTGTCCTTCTTTGTTGTGCTGCCCGTGTTGCTCCTCGACATGGTGTCCATAGTGCTGCTGATGGAAGGCACGGTGGCGAGCGAACTCCTCTTCTCTCTGTCCGGACGAGAATATCTGGGGTTGAGGAAGTTACCCATGCGCTTGTGATACGAGATGGTGACGTGCTCGCTTTGGTCGAATTGAGTGCGCACAACGTCGATCTCGATGGGAATCTGGCGTCGGATGATGTTGAGGCCGATGGCGGCCCTGAACACGGGGTCGAGGGTGGCGACGGTGCAAAAGCCGGCGAAAAAGGTGCACGAAGTGATGGTGGCGATGTTGAGAGCAATCATAGCGCCGTTGAGCGTGTTTCGGATATCGCCGGCCAGCACACGGTGCGGAAACTGATCTCGGACGACGTAGATCGGGATGTAGGCGTATAGCGGGACGCAGCTGCACAAGGTGAAAACGTAGAGGGCCGCAAGGATCGTCATTTTCCAGCTGCTGAGGCTGAGGTGGGTGGTGCTGTGCTCCGAGGTGGGCTTGCCTTTGGTGAAGAGGAACCACACTTTGCGCGGACATGTGGTGCACGAGATCGGAATGGGGTCCGGGTAGAGAGAGCACGCGTGGTCGACCAGACTGACGACGTTGGGCGGACCGTAGCAATAGACCGGGAAGAGGAGGGCAATGGCGCACGCGGCAAACACGGCGAGTGAGATGTCCATGAACCGCAGCACCTCCATGTACTTGGCTGCGACAATGCGGGCCGTCCAGATGAGCTCGTCGGAAGCGAGAACGTCGGGATCAGTTAGGGAGCCGGACCTGCCAGCGTAGTAGTCCCGCAGCTGACGCAACACTTCGGCAGACAGCACGCGGTGGGCGAATCGCTCTGAACTGTGATAGTGATGGCTACCGATGGCAGCGAGGACAATGGTGGTGGTGGACAGCAGCACGCACGGAAGGATGAGCGATGCGTTGGCGATCAGGGGTGACTTTGTGACGGGAAAGTGATACCACTTGAGGCGTGATCCGAGCGTGCCACGGTTCATGGAGGACAAGGGAGACAGCGGACTGCACCCAGCAGCAAAACCATGAATGCTGATGTAGGCGCATACGATCAAGGGCAACCAAGGCAGAGGTACGACCCAGAGCCAGGCAAAGCTGCTGACAAGGGTGGATGAGTAGCAGACCGAGACCAGGGCGGTGGTGTTCCACGCAATGAGGTACAAAGCGACACCGAGCACGAGTACAAAGACCGCATTGGCAACGTAGAACGTTCCGTGGACCGAATTGCGCCTGGTGATGATCCAGAGTTTGCCGAGGGACTGCTTCTTGTAGAGCAAAAACGCGACGACGACAAAAGTGATGAGGCACTCGACCTCGCCGACGAGCAAGAACGAGCGGACGGAATGACTCATGGGACCGTTGATCGACAAGGAGAGGGCGTTGATAAGTTCTAGCCGGGTCTGACCGCGATGAAGGAAGACCATGTTGTTGGGCTCGAATGGACGCAACAGGGAAAGGGGCCTGGGGATGGCGTCCAGATCAGGTTTTGTGACGTCAAACATGATGTCCGAGCCCTCGTAGCTACTATCGAGGCTTGGAGCGGTAGATATGAGCAGCAGTCAAAGCAAGGTCGATGAAGGAGTCGTCGCCGAAGTCAGAGTGGTGAAACGGGGTCGCGAAGATGGAGAATGGGAGACAGATCGTTGAAGGGGACGTCGGAGAGGTGTAGATTTGATGTACTCGTGTCCAGGATGTTTCGTGGCTATATATGTGCCTTCGCACATAGCGGTACTTCAAGCGACGATCTAAACGAAGCTGTCACTGCCTAGCGTGATGCTGTCAGGTCGGTCAACAATGCATTCTTGCCTTGCATCAATCAGAAGAAGTTCTCGTTGCATAATGTGAAAGATGCGGCTCTTTGTTCCGTCCATTGTCAGTGCGAACGAGGGTCCAAGGTGATGCCTATGCATACCTTAGATCTGCATAGGACCGTATCGAAAGGAGCAGGCGAGCCAAAGTAGCGTGGGGAAGCTCGCTGCGGGCGACTAAAAGGATCACGGTCCGCTCGCAAAATTGTTCCATGGGACAACCTTGATATCTGCAACCCACTCGTTACTCTCAAAGCCGCATTTGTTGCAACCTGAGGCCGCGGTAGTACCAAGGCGATAGGCGAGAAGGTCCGTGTGCGACACGGCCAGTAGGCGCTTGGCTGAAGAAGGTGAAGCCATGCTCTGGCGATATTGTTCCACCCGGAATCTATCTGGAAGAGGAGCGAGCGCTGTTTGACAGGTCTTGCGGCTCACGGCTTGCAGTCCAAGTCGAAGTCACACGCAGACAGATGAAGCAGCAGCAGCAGCAGCCGCCGCCTCGATCAAGATTTGGATTTTCACTGAGCCGCAATTCACTACACTTTAATAATCTAGTAAAAAGCAAGCGTGAGGCCCCGCTCGACGCGTAAAGAGGTGAACCCAACACACTCTCTGGAACGCACGCGTAGGGCGCGCTCGCTGTCTTTGTGCGGGTCAGGCGGCTGAGCAGGAGCAACGCTGCTTGTGTAATTTCTCTTTCCGCTCGGCTAGAACGTCAGACGTCACATCTCTTGCTTGCCGTTCTTCTTGGGATGCGCACAAAGAAGAGCAGAGCACCAAGACTCTCTTTGTGGAGACAGATTCCCTGACTGACGCTGCTGTCACATGAAACGACAAAGTCGAGCTTCGGCTTTGCAATACTTCTGGCTCTGTGTTCATTTCATTTGGTCCGTCGACGTTCTTCGCTTCTTCTCTTTCATCACATCCCTTCTTCTCTGCGCAATCACATTCTCTGCGCCTCGGATTCTCTGCGCCTCGCCTCGCGCGCTCTTAAGTGGCAACTTGTTCGCTCGGATCCTCTTGTCCCACCTCAACAACAAAGCTTTGGCAAAATCCCCCTTTTGGAGCTCCTTTCCGCACGCAAAGCCTTAATTGGCAGCCATGGCGGCCAAAGTCAAGCAAGAGGCCAATGGCCACCACGACGATGACGACTCGCACGACGAAGAGCTTCTCCGTGCTGCTGCTCAGGCCGACAATCAGGATCACGATCAAGATTCGTCCAACTCCCATTCCTCTCCCTCCACCGCAGCTACCAGCACAGCAGACTCAACCTCCATGGCACGCACCGGCAGTCAGAAGGGACGCAACGCTGCTCAGGATGTAGATCCCGCTGTCCACGAAGAGCGCTTCAACAAGCTCAAGTTCCTCCTCCAACGTTCCGGAGTCTACTCCCGTATCATGGGCGAAAAGATGGAGAAAGAGCGCAAAGCTCGCGCCGAAGCAGCCGCCAAGCAGGAGGCCCGTCGCGAGGCTGCCGTCAAGGCAGGGGGAACCCCATCCGATCCACAGCCTTCTGCTCCCGCTCGCAAGACGCGCTCCGGCGCCAACGCAAACGACGATAAGACCTCTGCACCAGCTTCTTCCGAACGCAGGACTCGCCGCGAGGATACCCGCAAGCGCAAGAACGATGATTCCTACGACGTCTCCACCTACCTCGACGAGGACACCCTCGAAGCTGCCAAGCAAGAGGCAGAACAGGCCAACAAGAAGGCGAAGACAGAGCCGTCAGAGACCGGCGCTTCCGACAAGAAGGACGCCAACGAGAGTGGACGTCGAAACCAGCCAAAGCTCGTCACCGGCGCAAAAATGCGCGAGTACCAGCTGGACGGTCTGGAATGGCTCATCAGTCTCTACGAGAATGGTCTCAACGGCATCCTTGCCGACGAGATGGGTCTGGGTAAGACGCTTCAAACCATCTCCTTCCTTGCCCATCTTCGTGAAAAGGGAGTCTGGGGCCCATTCCTCGTCGTCGCCCCACTCTCCACCATCAACAATTGGGTGTTGGAGTTCGAACGCTTCACTCCCGACATCCCCGCCGTCATGTACCACGGTGTCCCCGAGGAGCGACGTGAGATTCGAGACCGGCAGCTCCGCATGCCAAAAGACAAGGAGAGGCAGAAGCAATTCCCCGTTGTCGTCACAAGCTACGAATTGATCATCCGCGATCGAAAATGGCTGGCCAACTACCCTTGGAAGTTCATCGTCGTCGACGAAGGACACCGTCTCAAGAACCTCAACTGCCGTCTCATCCGAGAGCTCAAGACGTACCGCAGCGCAAATCGTCTCATCCTCTCCGGCACTCCTCTTCACAACAACCTCGCCGAGCTCTGGTCTCTGCTCAACTTCATCCTTCCTGACATCTTTGACGACCTCGCCACCTTCGAGACCTGGTTCGACTTCTCCGATATTCACGAAGAGCAAGGCCAGTCCCGCATCCTCTCCAAGGAGAATAGCTCGCAGGTCATCACGCAGCTTCATGAGATCCTCAAGCCCTTCTTGCTCCGTCGACTCAAGGTGGATGTCGAGACCGACCTTCCCCCCAAGAAAGAGTATCTGCTCTACGCTCCTCTCACCGAGCTTCAGAAGGAGCTCTACAACTCGGTCGTCAATGGCGAGATCCGAAGGTGGCTGCTCGAGCGCAAGACGGGCCTCCCTTGGCCCCAGATCCAGGAGATCCTCGACGATCCCGATGGGATCAACACCGCTTCCTCTTCCGCGCCCACCACCCGCGTCAACTCGGCCGCACAGAGTCGCAACCAGTCTCCTCATCCTTGGGCCGTGGCCAATAAGCGCAAGGACATTCACGCCAAGCTCAACGTCGAAGACGACCAAGAGAAGACGCCACCCAAGCGCGGACCCGGGCGTCCTAGGAAAAGCGACTCTGCGAAGGAATCACGAGCCTCCTCTCCTGCCTTTACCGTTGAAGACGACAGCCAGACCGCGTCAGGCGCATCGACGCCTCGTCACCAGACCAACCGACGAGCCAAGCGTGGCGTCGACTACCAAGTGGACAAAATGACCGACGACCACTACTTCGACAAGCTCGAGCAGGAGCTCAATCGCAAGCCGAGACAGCTCACTGCTGCTCAAAATGAACGTCAAGGCAAGCTCTACTCCATTCGTGAAGCGCAGAAGCAGATCAAGATGATGCACCTCGAGAACACCGTCATGCAAGCACGTAAGATCTGCAACCACCCCTTCCTCTTCGACTGGCCTATCGACACCGATTCGGGAACATTCGTCGTCAACAAGGACCTCATCAATGCTTCTGGTAAAATGCTCATGCTGAACCGCCTGCTCGACGAGCTTTTCAACCGCGGTCATAAGGTGTTGATCTTCAGCCAGTTCACCACTATGCTCGACATCATCGAGGAGTGGGCCAACGAGTTCAAGGGTCTTCGCACCTGTCGTATCGATGGAACGACGCCCCAGGAGGAACGACGAGCGCAGATGAAGTCCTTCAACGAAGACAAGGGCAAAGACGCATGCAACCTCTTCCTCCTCAGCACACGTGCCGGTGGTCTCGGCATCAACCTCGTCGCCGCCGACACGGTCATCTTCTACGACTCAGACTGGAACCCGCAGATGGATCTTCAAGCCCAAGACCGTGTCCATCGCATCGGTCAGACGCGCCCCTGTCTCATCTTCCGTCTCGTCTCGGCTAGCACCGTCGAAGAGCGCATCCTCAAACGAGCCGGCAACAAGCGCAAACTCGAAGCGCTCGTCATCCAGCAGGGCAAATTCCGCCTTCCCGCCGGCTACCAGTCCTCGGTCGGAGGAGGCAAGAAGAAAAAGGAAGACGAGCTGCGCGACATCACCAATCAGCTGCTAGCCCTCGAGTCGGAGCAGGTCAAGCTGGTCAAGGACGAGAATGATCAGATCATCACCGATCACGAATTGGATCTGCTGCTCGACCGCTCGCCCGAGGCCTATGAGAGGAAGATGGGTTGGGTGTCCAACGCCCACGGTGACGACCCCAAGAAGCCGGGCAGGAAGCGCGCTGCTGGAAGGAGCGCGTTTGAGGTCACCGAGACCAAGACGGACGAGGCCAACGAGGAGATTGCCAAGCTGCTGGCTGGCAAATAGAGAGAGACAGAATCCCGACTCCCACACAGACGGACGCATTGCCGCGCTCCGTCGTGATTGCCAAAAGTACACCCTTCATCGATTGCTACATCTATCACAACCTTTGCTCCGTCATCAGTTCGCAACATTCATGCCTGTACGCTCGATCTTGCACATCAAATCATAGTCACCATGCTTATTCCCGTCTGCGCCTTTGAATCGTCGTGTGATCCATGAACCTTGGTTGAGCATGCGATGTTGCGGCAATGCCTTCTGACAAGCGATATTGCATCGTTGTAGGGCTGTGACCCACAGCAGATCATCTCGCTGAATCTCACAAACGCCAATCACACAACACTGCCTTTCAAAACGCGTGCAGCTCTCTATGATTGATATAACGAAAGCGTCTCTACACTTCTTCTCTCTCGAAAGCTACACCGTTGCCTGCTGCATGCCCTCCTCGAGCACCAGCTGCGCAATCTTCTCGGCAACCCAAACAAAGTCCCTCTCCTCGTTCCACACCTGAGCACTCAACCGGATCCAGATCTTGCCCGCGTGCACGTGGAACATGACAAAGGTATCGTTCTCGTCGGTGAGCCTGCTCTGAAGCTTGTACGCCAACTTGCCGAGCTGAACCGCCTCGTCCTCGCCCTCTGCGGCCGGAGGGGGCGTGATTGGGATGGACACGTTGACCATGCTAGCGATGAGCTGGTCGGTGGTCTCCATCACCACAGAGCCTTTGCCGAGGGTGGAGGAGACGAGCTTGCCCGCTTGCACGGCGAGCGCGTGGTTGTGCTGCATGATGGCCTGCTCGCCGCCCATCCACCGGCGGAACTCGAGGGCGGCGGGAACGGTGAGATAGTTGCCTAGGTCGATGGTGCCGGTCCACTCCCAGGTGGCCACGTAGTTGCTCGGTGCGTCTATCGGGATCAGCGCCGGACCTTTTGGAGCTGGCAGGTTGGGCGAGAGGTAGGAGTGCGATGTGGGGATCGCCTGCGCGAGGTGCTGGTTGCGTTCGGGAGTATAGAGGAAGGCTACGCCGCGATGGGCCGAGAGCCACTTGTGGCAGTTGCTGATGAAGAAGTCTGGATCCGCGGCGCGAAGGTCGAGCGGAATCTGGCCAACCGCGTGAGCCGCGTCGACGAGCGAGAGGATGGAGTGCTCGCGGAAGAGCGTCACGAGTCGTTCCCAGGGGACGATGACGCCCGGGATGGAGGAGATGGCGTCCACGATGGCAACACGAATCTTGATGCCTCGAGATGTGGCGTCCTCGATGGCCGACTTGGTCGCGGATACGACTTCATCATGCGAGAGTGGGTAGCGAAGGGGAACCTTGATCAGCTTGAGGTCGAAGTCGGGATTCGAATCGACAATGTACTGCGCCGTCTTGCCGCAAGCGCCATACACTGTGTCGTACACCAAGATCGCCTCGTTGTTCTTCCAGCTCCCATTCAAGCCGCGAAGAGCCGCATTGACTCCCGACGTAGCATTGCTCACAAACACCAGATCGTCGACATCGCACTCCACCAGCTCGGCCAGCTCCCCACGTGCTTTGTTCAGCAGTGGCTGGTAGTGCTTGCGCAGGAACGTGTCCGGTCGACGCTCGGCTTCGTCGAGAAACTCCTTGTAGATGTCGAGGACGTAGTTGGGGCAGGCGCCAAAGGAGCCGTTGTTGAGCGGGACGTAGGTGGGGTCGAAGCCGTAGTAGGGTTTGAGGGCGTGTCCGAAGCCCGGGAAGGGTTTCGAGTGCAGCGCACGGCGGTGTGCGTCGATCCGCTCTTCGAGCGGCTGTCGAGCGACCATACCGAAAGGAAGAGATGTAGGGAGTGTGGGGGACGAGAAGAGGGGGGGAGTGGACGGGTGGAATGACAAGATCTTATATCTGAATGCATAAGCGGTGCGTTGGAATCTGCGTTGGTCCGAGTCACGAAGTCGTCTACAATTTAGCCGGTGTTGGACCCTGACCTGACTGCAACAAGCCGAAAGGAAGGAGTGCCGAACCGATACAACCGAATCTACGGGTGATCTGCTCACTGCTCAAGGGCCTTGCGAGTCACAAATGCCTGCCAGACGCGCCGAGTGAGCACGTGGCACTCGGAGCTCCATCAACGTCTTCTTCGCCTCTTGCAGGATGCGTTCACACTCGTTGCAGGCTCACGTCGCCGAGTCACACGATGACGTGGAACAGGGCAACCATAGGGGGTTCATTGGATAGCCGTCAATGCATGCATCCGTCGGAGAGCGGAACGAAATGACTCGAGATCCGTCCGTTATCTTCATTGAAACTTCAAGCCTTGCTCGAAACAATATCTTCTGGGTGCTCACTCTTCCACCACTGCCGAGAAAGAAAGAGAAGGACAGAGAAGGTAAGAAAGACGGGTCAGCCACTGCTCACGACATGTTCCAACGACATCCTTCAGGAGAAAGTACTCACGTCTACACTTCTTCGAATGCCCTCTTCGACGCTGACGATAGGCGAGTAGCCAAGCGCTCTACGCGCTTTTTCAATGTTGTAGTATCGCGAGCTTGCCGAGTAGGTGACCTTGTACTTGGTGAATTGCGACTCTCTTCCGGTCAACCAGGCGAAGGTCTCGGCCCAACCCGCCAAGGTGAGACCCCAGTCCTTGGAAAGCTTCCACACTTTGGCTTCGGGCATGACGTGGCCCATGCCCGCCCACAAAGCGCGCGGGAAGTCCCAGAAGGGGATGGGCTGGCCGTTGGTGATAAAGAAGGCCTCACCAGCAACAGGGACGTTCTCCTCAACCAGTGGGAACTGATCGCCGAGTGGGTTGCCTGGGCTGGTGACCTCTGGGTTCATGATGTGGAAGAATTGGTCGAACTTGTTGCGAATAACGGGACGCACGTTGAGCTCATGCTTGAGCGTCTCGGGGCTGAGCGTAGTGGGAAGCTTGCGGGCGTAGTCGGTGGAGCCTTTGGGGGTGTCGTCTCGAGCCTCGCTGGTAGGCACTTGACGTTGTGAGTCGAGCTGGTCGTCAGCGAGCACTCGGGTGGAGATCATGATGTCTCCAAGCTTGTCAGCTGGGTAGGGTGCGGCGTCCAGCTTGTCGGCTGCGAGTAGATGTGCGTGGACCACATTGTCGACGTAGGTCCAGTCGAAGAGGTTCTCGTTGTCGCCGATCTGAACTTTGGTCTTTCCGGTTCGGAGCACGTTGAAGAAGCCGGGAAGCGCTTGTCGATCACCGACGCCGAATATACCAGCGGGACGAAGAGCCACCGTCTTGAGCTTGCCTGCTTGTTTGCTGTTGGCTTGCAGTACGAGGTGTTCCGCCTTGGCTTTGGTGTCGTTGTAGGCATCCAGCGGCTTCTTTGGGTAGGGCAATCGCTCATCGACGTTGATCAGGTCATGACCATCATAGACGACACCGGCACTCGATGTGAAGACGAGCTTTGTGACAGCAAGTTCGGGCTTGTTGGCCACCGCGATGACGGTCTGGGTGCCGACGACGTTGACCTTGTGGTAAATTTCTGGGCCGAGACCAGCGACGGGGCTGGCCGTGTGATAGATGACGACGCCCTTGCTGCCACCTGCTTCGAGACCCGCCTTGTCGCGGACCTGTATGAGCGTCTCGCGAAGCGATGATTCGGATGTGATGTCACCGGTGTAGTACTCGACCTTTTCGATGGGCTGTCTAGCGGCATGCAGATCGAAGACCGAGACGTACTTTTCGCCACGTTGACGAAGGGCGAGAGCGATGCGAGAGCCAAGAAAGCCGGAGCCACCGATGACGAGGTGAGCCTCACCCGATGCGGAGGAAGTCGACATTGCTGGTGGTGACGATCGTGTGAATGGAGAAGAGACGGAAGAGAGGGGAATCGTCTCGTGGTTGGTCGATGTTGCGTGTGTGTGTGTGTTGGATTCGCATCGCCTGATTTCCAGCTTGGCGAAAGAGAGAGAGAGAGACCCTTTTTGCCCCAAAGGCTGAGCGGCGAACCGCGCCTCGCGTTTCGCTCCGCCTTTCTTCTCGAAAAGAACGCGCTGATCAAGGCTGCAGAGCGCCGTGCACTCGGATTCATAAGTGTGAGATCGTGGAGGCAGACAAAGGAAGAATGCGAAAATTGCAGGCTTGGCTGCAACAGGCTATGCACAGATGCATGGACCAAGACGGAATCGTGCATACAAAGCTACGTAGCTTGCTTGCTTTGCTTGGTTCTGCGCTTTCCCGCTGTCTCGGGTTGCACCCTTTCAGACATGCCACATGACCCTCCCTTGGTGCATTCTTTTGGGTCGAGACCAACACTCTGGTCCTCGCCGTTGACGCTTGGCATCACCACCCTCTCTGCCTCCATCATCAATCCCTTCTCGAGCGTCCGGCAAAAGGAGCGCAGGCAGCATCAAGCTGCGCCGTCGCCAATCTCCTCGTTCTCGTTGCCGTCATGATGCCCGTCGTAGACGACGGGGAGGAGCCTCCTCCCCCGATCACCATCCTCCTCTTGCGAACGCCAGTATCCATGACGAAAGGCACAGATCCATATCATGACGCTTTCGGCTCGTTTTGCCTGCCATCGTTCGCATCCTCAGCACTCGAGTCGGGAACATCGACGCCGCTTCCAAGCATGTCTATGAGCGGAAAGCCTTCTCTCGCAACCACCGCGGAACACGGCGCAATCGATCTCATCCGTACGGCACTCTCCCAGCAAGCTGCTGCCAGCCACAACGCTCCAACAGAGCATGCGCCATCTTCTCCACCGCTACCGCTCTCAGCTACCGGCAGACGCAAGGGCAAATTCATACACGACCAGCCTCGTCTCATGACGCATCACCTCTCCTATCCCGCCGACGCGAATGGCAACGAGATTGAGATCGAGTACTGCGTCACCTCGTTTCCCATCCTCGCTCACAAGTTTGTCAACCAGGACCTCTTGATCGACCGCCTCTTGCATGGCACAAAGGCTCAGGAGGATCTGGCTCGCAGTGCATATCGAGGCATGATCGTGACAAGTCAAAGAGCCGTCGAAGCCTACATCTCGGCTGGCGTCAAGGCGCAAGATATCCTCCGCTCCCAGAGCAAGACTTCTTCCAGTTCTCCTACCCAGTGGACACGGGTTCCCTTCTTTGCCGTTGGACCTGCCACCTCGTCCGCGCTTCGCACCGTGCCTCTCGCTCCATGGCTGCGTCCTCGTCTCGTCATGGGCGGAGAAGCGACGGGAACAGGCGAGACGCTGGCTCGCTACGTGATTCGACACTTCTCGTCGCCCTCCATCCTGGACCAGAACTCGGATCTGCTTTCAGCAGAGCAGGCGCCACCCCTCCTCTATCTCGTCGGTGACAAGAACGCTTCCACAATACCCGACATGCTCTCCAGCGCGTCACCACCGACTGGCCCCGTTCCTTTTGAAGAGCTGCAGGTGTACGAGACAGCACCGGATCCGCACTTTGCCGAAGGATGCGAAGTGCTGCTCAAAACACTCCCTTCGGTCGTATCGAGACCGCCAAGTCGACGACCGAGTCACAGCAGCCTCAACTCTCGCAGCGGCAGCAGACGCGCGAGCAGCGGAAGCGCCGACTCGCCAGCGGATCGCACTGTCACGGCGTCCGTGAGCTCCAACGCCAGTCGAAAGTCAAGCGCCGATGACCTTCACTCGCGGGCAAGGAGCAGTGCCGAATTTGGCCGCAATGCTTCCACTTCATCCCATCGCTCCCATCTCAGCCACGTTCCTTCTGTCGGCACTCCTCTGGGCGTCAGCACCATGACCTCCACGGAGACAGCAGCCAACAAGCGCCTCGACAGCCTCGCCATCCCTGCAGCTGCAGGTGGCTCGCCGCAGCTGATGGCTTCTCCCGCCACGATCGAGCCTGGTGTCATCAATCCTATTGAAGAAGAGTCGGTGCTCAAGATGCTGCGGTCCAAGGTCAACAATGTGAGCGGCGGCAGCGGTAGCAATAGCGGCGCGCTTCAACGCATCGCTCGACCGGATTGGGTGGTCTTCTTCTCGCCCAGCGGCGTCAACTATGCGCTAGAAGAGTTCCGTCGTCGAAGGTGGATGCCACCAGATTTTCGGCAGCAGCAGCAAAAGGAGCAAGCGCAGGCAGATGGACTTCAGAACAGCGTAAACACCACGGTGACCTCGCATGCGATTACAACGGGCAAGGGCTCAACAGGCAGCCCGCGAAAGTATCCACGAATCGCTGTACTCGGCAGCACCACACGCGCTTGGATGGTGGAAAACCTGGGCATCGAGCCGGATGCAGTGGCTCTCAAGCCTGGTCCAAAAGAGCTCAAGGATGCGATCGAAGCCGTCGAGTTGCGTCTTCGAGCCAAAGCTTGAGGCGTCTTTCAATGCAGCATCACCACCATCACATCCTCGCAGTTCATCCTGTCTCTCTGCCAGCCAGCTCACCTCTACAACTCGTCGTCCTACACGATCCAGTTCGTTCTGCTCTTGGCGACGTCGATCGCATCCCAATCTCGCACCATTCGCTCTGCACGTCGTCCAACTCGCAATCGCATTCACGCAGTTCTGCCCGCTTTCTTTTGACATTGCATCAGCGTGTGAATCAGTGCGTGGATGAACGTGTGATGACGGCTGACTCAGCCTCCAGTCTGGAAGAGGCAGCGGAATCTGCCACGACAGTCACAGTACCCTGCAAGATCATCAGCTGAGTGATTCCACGGACCCGCATGCAATCCGTCAGTGTTGCTTTAGCCACCGTCAAAGCGTCGTGATTCACGCTGTTGCTTGGCGGTCTCCCGCTCGGTCCACCCGAATGCACCACCTGGTCCCGTCGTCGGCCCTTCCGACCGCTTATCGCATCGCTTCCGCCTTTGGGTCTGAGTCAGCGACTGATACGCAGCATGTATCAGTCGATAGAATCAGGCGGTCGGAGGACCGCGAGAGCGCCTTGAGCGCTCGTAATGTGCTCGAGTATCGACGAGGCAGGGCAGCACACTCAAGATTCTCCGAGGATGCTTGTGAAGGGCAGACGGGCAAATCATCGGATCCTCAAGCAAGCCATATGTATATGTCGACACTAGCTGCTGTTGACGCTGCCATGCCTGCTTCTCCCTTCCTGTCATACTTTTCTCACTCGCGTATCGACGATTGGGCATTTATTCCACCTCACGACACATCATTTGGACTCAGATCGCACAAGAATCGCTATCGCCATCATGTCGAACCAATTCTTCCGAGCTGGCAATCGAGCTCTCGAAGTCAATCCCCCCAACGCCGACATCAATCTGGGACGGTGGGGAAGCGACTGGGGCTGGGTCGTGTTTTGCGTCATGGCGGCTTCCACCGTTGGTCTTCTCATCTGGTCTTCCAGGCTTCCCAGGGGCAGGAGGACCTTCCCTTACCTGCTCGCCGCCGTGCTCGCCATCTCGACCATTTCTTGGTATTCTCAAGCCAGCGACCTAGGCGCCACTCCTATTCCTGTCCAGTTCCTGCACAACAGCGCGCTCGCTCCAGATGGTGGCTACCCTACACGCCAAATCTGGTACAGTCGCTACATCGACTGGGCCCTCACTGTACCGCTTCTGCTGCTCAGCTTGCTCCTCATCACTGGCTTGCCTCTCTCGGTCATCTTCATCACGCTCTTCTTCAGCATCCTCATGATCATTTGCGGTCTGCTAGGTGCCCTCACAAGGACTCGCTACAAGTGGGGCTACTTTGTGAGTGTCATTCTTCCCGCTCCCTGCTGACCTAAATGGAGTCCGCTGGCTCTCGTGGCTGACCCTTCATCTCTGCGACGATCATCGACAGGCTTTTGGTTGCGCTGCACTCGGTTATGTCTTGTATCACGTCTTTGCGTCTGGTTTGCGCTCGGCCCGACGACTGGACCATGGTTTCGGTCGTGCATTCCTTGCAGGCGCGACACTCTTGGGCGTCGTTTGGCCGCTCTATGCCCTCTGCTGGGCTTTGACTCACGGCGGCAACGTGATCGGTGTCAGTGCAGAGGTGAGTCCCTATGTCTCTTTCTCTGCTCGGGCGATGTCTGCTTCCGTCAGCATCAACTGACCCACTGATCTCTGCGACTTGTCGTCACGCTGCAGTTCCTTTGGTTCGGCATCTTGGACCTCATCTCGAAGCCCGTCTTTGCATTCGTCCTGCTCTCCATGCTGCGCAACTGCGATTATGGCGCACTTCGTCTTCGATCGGGCAAAGTCACTGAAGGCAAGATCGACGATCACGAGCAACGTCGAGGCATCCTCGACAAGTCTCAGGAGGGCATTGGTTCTTCCCCTGTGCACCACGCCGGAGGCAACAGCGCAGACTCGGGCCCCGCACCGCCTCCTCCCGCTGTAACCACCCCACCTTCCGCTGCTGCGCACACGATGATGTCTCCTCCTGCTGTTCCTCCCGTCTGATCTCCGACTGCGTCCCCCTTCCCTCGCATACCCAATGACCCCCTCCTCCTATCGCACCACCTTGTACTGTCGATCACACGCATCACAAACCCCAGCCTGCCACCTCAATCGATCGAGTCAACCATATCCGTTCACACCTCAACACGTTGGTTCGTGGTGAGAAGTAAGCGACTCACGGCGGCTAGGTGGTGGAGACCAGATTAGCTTTGTAGTACGTGGAGGTATGCACGATCAGCGCCCCCAGCGACGACTTTTCTTACAAATTCTGGCCACGAGTAAATATCTGATCACAAATGCATCAGTCACCGTCAATGCAGGCCAAGTCTGAAACCATTTCGCAGGTCGACAAAATGAGATGAGCTGACCAAATAGTGCCGACTGACAGATTCAAGGTTGTGACCATTCTGGACTTGAGTGGGACACAACACGCAAATCTACGCATCCTCGACACAAGTTTTTTTGCGTTCATCGCGGCATCAAATCAATCGCCCGTAGATAATTTTTTCTGTCAGAAAGTGCTGCCCTTAACTTATGTTTCAGCGTTTAATGTAAAATCGGACAGGGTTTGCGCTTAGGGTTGCCTTGAACAAAGCTTTTACTGAGAATATTTCTGCAAAACTGGAGTAACGAAATTGCCAGTCATTGATTTTTTTTAAGTGTTTGTTGGCTTGCTCACCGGTCGAGTTATTTTACTTGCATCGCACATTTGTCGATCGCCCTTTCCTTTTTCTTGAGAGGACATGTTTGCGATTGCAAAGGATTTGCTCTCAAATATACATTGTACAGCGTGAATTGCCAATCTTGATGTTTTAACTCGACCCAAATCGTAATGCGCTGTCAAGGTGCTGTCCAGCTCGCAGCCCAACGGTACAGCGCCTGGACTTGTTCACGAGCCGTGTTCACGCTCAAGCTGTCGGTGAGTAGAAGCGGCTGCGATGGTCACTGCAGGAGGTACACAGAGATGACCAGCCCTAAAATGTTCATAGAGACCCGAAGCAGGGTGCAGAAGGCGAGGCAGCGATGCTGAACAGGTCCCAGCACACCCACAGACTCGAACCTGCTAGTATGTCCGCGACGAGATTTCGCCATGCCGCACACAGACGCATCCGAAGGCCGCATGTTCCGTGCGAGCAGCCAGAGAAGCCAGCAGGACCGACACCGGTGACCACGCCTTCCGAATGAAGCCGACGAAGAAGAGCTAAGAGCGACAGAAAGCCGAAGAGAATGGGTCGAATCATCTTAATGCAAGCAACAGGCGTACTTCGAGAGCAACTAGAAGGTTCAAACCCCGCGCTGCTTAGTCTCGATGTAGCTTAGCGCCGTTGTTGAAGCTCGGCTAAGCGCCATCCACCACTGTTGGATAGAAAGCCGTGTTTCTGCATGAGCGTCGGCGCAACCGAACCGCGACTAGTTTGCGGTGAGAATATCTGAGGCCCTGGCACGTTTTGACGCGGCCGGCGGGCGTATCGTGTCAGGTTACGCGAAAGATGCCGGTTGACCGGTAAAGCCACTGTATTCGTTCACACGAATCAATGCAAAGGCAAATCGTGACCAGCGGACAACTCGATAGAGAAGCCACGAGACCAAGCGGCTTGCTAGCCTCCGTGTCCGCACCTTGCCGAGACCTCTCTGCCGTATCTCGTGGCGACAATGCTGGTGCACGGCTGTCTTTTTTCATGCTTGTGGGGTAACGCATTGCCGGTCGACGGCGAGCAATGACTTCGCTGAAGCTCGCGGACACACTTTACCTGTTTCCCGAGTCGCATTCGATGCCAAGCGCCGCCATCGTGCTGCTCCTTCATGCCGTTGCTGTGACAGCAAGCGCCAACCCATTCTGACGCCAACCTCCCATTTGTGACACCGGCAACGAGGTGCAGGGTCTATGCGTAGCCCTCACATCATAGCCGGTCGACAACTGAGCGAGAACGTGACCGTTGCCGTCGACGAGGCTTCTCAGACACCCTTCTCGCAACACCACGGTGAGTGACAGCGACCGGCGAAGTGTGGAGACGATCAGCGCGCGTTCTCTAAGCGAGCCATCATAGCCGACCTTCGACCGGCCATCCCGCTCTAAGGCATCACCCGTCGAAACCCTTCGCCGCTTTCGTTCGAAGTTATGGTGTCCTGCATCATGTGGCACCTCGCAGCTGCCTCGTCATGTCACGGGAAGCTATAAGTAGACACAGAACAGAGGCTACATAGTCGCTCATCCCCTCATCACTTAGCTTCAAAGTCACACATTCAAACACCTCCCTCCATCCCTACCACGCAATCAGTCCGCAAGATGAAGTTCTCCACGATCCTCGCTTTTGTCGGTGCGGCCGGCGCCGTCGCTGCCAGCCCTATCGCTGCTCCGAGCGGCGAGAGTGCTGGCCTCGAGAAGCGCCAGTCGATCAACTATGTCCAAAACTACAACGGCAACCTTGCCAACTTCAAGTACAACGAAGGTGCTGGCACCTACTCTGGTAATTGGAACAACCCTTCCGACTTTGTCATCGGTCTCGGCTGGAGCACTGGCACCTCGAACCGCGTCATCAACTTCAACGGCAACTATCAGTCCAACCAGGGCTCGTACTACGCCGTCTATGGCTGGCTCAACAACCCCCTGACCGAGTACTACGTCGTTGAAAACTACAGCTACGACCCGTGCTCAGTGAGCAACACGCAGGTCGTCGGTAGCGTCTACTCGGACGGCGCGAGCTACAAGATCTGCAAGCACACCCAGGTCAACCAGCCCTCGATCCAGGGAACGAAGACCTTCGGCCAGTACTTCTCGGTCCGCTCCAGCAAGCGCAGCTCGGGCAGTGTCACCCTTGCCAACCACTTCAACGCCTGGAAGAAATACGGCTTTGCCAACGGTGCCACAAACCCCGACTTCAACTACCAGGTCTTCGCCACCGAGGCTTTCTCTGGCCAGGGCTCGGTCAGCACCACGATCAGCGGCTGATCGCTGCCACCAGACGACCATTTGTGCACCTCAAGACGGTAGAAAGCTCGAACTCTGCAAAGCGTGCTCTATGCTGCTGGATCTCGGGTCAACTTCTTTGCAGGTGTCTTATCGTAGGATCAGCTTGTATATCGACACAGACGGAAGCGGAAATAGGACAGGAATTGAGACAGTTCGTGTCTGCATATGTCTGAGACGTGCAGGTCTGAAAGGGCGACAGGTGGTGATTCTGCGCTGCCACTGGCGGCCTTGTCAAGCGCGCCGTTGCTGGGCAAAAGTCGAGTAGGTCAACTCACGCCACGACTGTAGGGCTGAGCGGAAGCTGTCCCTCGGCAGCAGGGTCCACAATGCCTCCGTCTTTGCTTTGAGCTCCAGGTCTTCGGTAGGTCTGAGTTTCGTAATCACGCCAGGCGTACTGGTTATCTTCTTTGGGCACAAAGTCGAGCGGGACCTCGACATACCTGTCACCCTGTGAAGCGTCCGCCTGACGAAGCATTTCCAGTCGTACTACTTGTTGTCTCACACCATCCATACCAAGTTCAAGAACGCAGTCTGAAACGTCCAGGTCCTCGTCTTCGGTAGGCATCCAGCCATAAGGATGTGATTGAACGAAGATGCCTGCTCCGTCCGGGTGGATCGTGTAGTGGGAGCCTAGGCCAAGGCATCCGACTAGGTCTCGAACGGTGGCTCGGGATGCGGTTCCTGTCTCGTCGTGACTTAGATCCGCGTCAGACGACCTCGGTACAAAGTCAAGCGGAACCAGAACGGTATTGATGGCCCGAAGGCGTTCGAGAGAGACAATTTGGGTCGTGACATCCCACATGCGGAGGGAGTTGAGGCAGTCCCAAAGACCTCCATCTGACTCTTCGACGAGCTCATCGTAGTTGAAAGGAGTCGTTTCCACGAAAAGACTTCCCCTACCTTCTTCCTGAATCCTGTAACGGGTTGTGTTGCCAAGACACTCGACAAGGTCGTGAACAGTGGCATTGAGCGTGGAACCTCTATCCTCGTACGACGATTCCGGGCAACCTGGTTCCGGCACAAATTCGAGCGGCACCAACACGGAGTTTGTGGAGAGAGAAGTGTTTGTGGGCTGAAGCACGTCAAGAGGTACGATCGCGGCCTGAGCGCCTGTCATATTGAGGGAAGAGATGCAATCCGTGACAGCGTCATCAAACCATCCGGCAGCCGTGCAGCTGTACGGTGTCGATTGTACGAAGATGCCGAGTGCGTGCGGATGAATCACGAAGCGGGTTTGGTTGCCAAGGCAATTGACGAGGTCCCCGACAGAGGCCCTAGGATCGGCCTCGATAGGGGCCAGCCTGGCTTCAACTGCGAAGAGGAAGCCGACAATGACCAATCTGAGCGGCAACAACATGATTGGTGTAGAGAGGGTGCGGTCGTGAATGGGGAGGCGAAACAGAGCCAACGGACGTGCAGAAGGCATCGAGCTGCACACTCTGCTCGTGAAGGGACAGGGGCAGAATTCGAGGTGAGCCGCTGTCAAACGCCGGGTTCGCTCGTTGACTTCTAAATCTCGAAGTGGCTGCGCAATTCCACGGCCAAATATGATACCATTGTGAGCCGACATGAAGCGTCCCACCAGCGCAACATGCAAGTGGTATTGGGCATTTCAGACCGCTTAATCTTGAGCAGCTCGGAAAGCGGACTCGCGAAATCTGCCACCGTGAAACTTCATTCACGAGACTCGATTGTGCCCATCCTAACTATGATCATAAGGTGGGCTTTTCGTACGAAGGGCGGACTTCCATTCTCGCTTGCAATGGCCTTCGAGGTGTGGGAACGCCTCGAGAAGGGACCAATGAGAAAGGTCGAGAGTCTCTCGCAGCATCAAACGGAATGTTTCGGAAGCCATTGTCTTGAAGAACGGGCATGGCATTGAAAGCCAGACAGCGAACCGAACGAATCAGAAGTCTTATCTGATTGTGGACCCGAACAAATCGCAAATCTGATAAAGAAGTTGTTCTGTCACGCAGACGCGTTTCAAATTCTACCCTGCACTCCGAGAACTTTGTATCGCGGCACAACAGGACGTGGGCGCGGGCGAATACAATTCTGAAGGCAGGTCGCCATGCACGTCTGCAGACTCTGTCCACCTCTCGGGTCAAGCACTTGGTCTCTGGCTTGCTCTCGCCCATTTCCGATCAAGCGAGGGCTCAGAGTGTAGAATGGGCCACATTGACCTGTGCCTCCTCTGCTGCCAAGAGCGGAGCCGCCGCGTGGCATCCCGCCACTCATCTCGGATCGGCCCACTCCAACGCAACAAGAGGCTCCAGAACATGTGATAGACTCGGGTCCCGCTTGCCCGTTCTTGGTATGATAAAGAGGATCCGTCGGTAGTCGGCTTCTCGCTTGTGGTCCATTGTCTGTTCGATGTGCATGATCCCGCCTCTTGTTTGCGTAGTAGCCAATCAGATAAAGCAGCTCGAAAGTCCGCCCTCGCTCCTGCACAGCAAGCCACTTCCCAGCTATATTCTTGCATGTTGCTCACTGTCTTCCGCTGATCTGGCTTTAAGCTTCTCAAACCTCGGTCTGGCTCGCAGACCGCCGCTGCTCCCGCCGCTTTAATTGATCTGCCGTCGGTGAGAAGAGTGGTCAACGGAATTTTTCTTTGCTCGACGAAACAACATCACAAAGTGTCTCCGCCTTGGATCACAAGTTCGCTCAGGCGTTCAGGCACAGAAGCTGGCACGAAAAGAGTCTCTTGTCTGATTGTCCTTGATGGCACAAGTCGATGGTATAAGTATAGGTTAGGAATACGCATTAGTCTTCTCCATTTCAAGGCAGCTCTCTGTTCCTCCCTCCCTTGCTCCCTCCCTCCGTCTAATCAGCGAACCCCTGTCGTCGTTTCCTTCTAAAAGATGATCTCGAAGCCCTGGGAATTAGGCGCAGAAGCCTGGGAGTACATAGACTCCTTCCCTGCCGAACAACAACCCGCCGCCATTCTCACGTACCAACGCTTCAACTACAACTCATACAAAGTGCCCTGCATTGCCTCGTGAGTCTCGTATGAAGTCGTTCCCAACGCTCTCACTTCTGGCGGTGCTGACATCCTCATTCACCCTCTTGTCCTACTTTGATCAATGACAGCTTCGTGCTGTACGGACTCTTCCTCTTGCTTGTCCTCGCAGCGAGCCTCAACAATGTCCTCGCTTGGGTCTGTCCGACCACGCATTCATCCATGAAGCAAAAGTCGCGACTCGTCCGCGCTCACATCTGGGAACACCCACTTATTACGCAAAAGCACGCCACCGTTGTCAGCTTCCCCTTCCTCCGCTGGCTCACCCTTCAACTTCCTCTGCGTGGTGAGGCTTTCATCATCTTCGCCTTCAGCATGGTCAACTTTGTGCCCCTCGTCGCGTTCTACGACCTTCTGCTCGGCGACCAGCAGATTTTCTACCCAGGACCGACCAGCAAGCGGGATCAGATTCAACGCCACCTGGCAGATCGGACTGGCATCCTGGGCACCGCCCAACTTCCGCTCCTCATCATGATGGCAAGCAAGCGAACGCCGCTCGCCATCGTGAGCGGACTGGGCATGGACCGACTGATGCTGTACCATCGATGGATTTCGAGGTGGTTCTGGGCGCACATCTTCATCCACACGGTCGTGTGGACGGTGGTCTATGCCCAGAGCGAAGGCGTGGCAGTGATGCTTGCCGACACGTACGTCAAGTGGGGCTGTGTCGGCTTCAGCGCCATGTGCGCTCTGGTCTTCTTGTCACTTCGATCTCTGAGGCAGCGATTCTACGAGGCTTTTGTCATGATTCACATTGTCATGGCTCTCCTCGCCATCGTTGGCACCTATCTGCACATCAAACTGGCCGATGCTTCCGAGTTCGACATCTTCCGAGTCATGACCGAGATCGCTGCCGTCCTATGGGCGTTTGACCGCCTCGTTCGCTGGATTGGTCGCATCTACCTCTCCTTCTCTTCGCCTCGCCTCACCTCGAAGAACGACTCTTCGCTCGTCAAGTGTGCCTCCGGTCGAATTCAATCCTTTGGTACTAGCGCTGAGTACGCAATGCTTCGCATTTCCGTGCCAGCCAGCAAGATTCGACTCGCTCATCAGCCTCGCTTCATCGGCGGAATCGCAGCCGGTGACGACATTCGGATCACCGTTCCTCGCCTGCAGTGGGTCGGAGAGCATCCATTCACCGTGTTCAACGTCGGCACGACTGGGCAAGATGCGACGCACGGCTACATCGATCTGTTGGTCAAGGCGGAGGCGGGTCTGACGCGAAAGATCGCTCGTCACACATCGACCGCCAACGAAGGAGACGAGAAGGACGTCGAGCTGGCTGGCGTCAAGAAGGGCAACTCGGACGTCGCCGTGCTGATCGAAGGACCTTTCGGTAAGATTCCCGAGATTCCGGCGGCGACAACTGATCTGGTGCTCGTAGCTGGCGGTATCGCCATCACCTTCTGCTGGCCGATATTCGTCAGCGCGTTCGAGGCTGCGAAGACAGGCAAGTTGCAGAACTGCAAGCTGATCTGGATCGTTAGAAAGCAGAGTAAGTTCCATCTCGCCGTATCGTCCTGTCCTGACAGAGAGGATGTACTGACCGCGATCATTTTTGCACGAAACACAGGCACCCTGTCACTACTCGAGGAAGCATTCGCCGACCTGCTCACAAAGATGCAAGACGGAAAGTCGGATCGATGCCGCTTCACGATGGACATCTACGTCACTTCGACCGGCGAGTCGACGCAGATGAGCTCCCTCACCGACTCGGACTCTCCGATCAAAGAGAAGTCGTCGACTGCTTCGATCTCGGCTGGACACGAGTCGGACCCCTCTGCAGACATGTCGGACGACGTCGAGCTGCCTCAATTGCCAAAGTCGCAGAACGAGGCTAGCATGCCATCGGTCGTCTTCGACGACAGAGCCAATGGCGATCTGATCCAAGTAAGCCACTTTTCTGGTCGACCCGCTCCTCTGGCCAGCGCGCTCTTTTCGCACCTCGAAGAGGCCGAGCTTCAAGGAAACCAGGGTAGCCTGACGGTGGCGCTCTGCGGCCCGCCCACCTTGTGCGACGACGTGCGATTCGAAGCTGTCCGTCTGCTCAAGCGGGGCATCAACCTGGAGCTCATCGAAGACTGTTTCACTTGGTGAGACGGCGATTTTCCGCTCCCTTTACAAACTCGAAAGGTCACATGGTGACCGCACGCCTGGTCACATCTAGAACGAAGAACGAAGAATGAAACACATTAGAGCAACGGTAAATCTATGCAAATACAAGCTGATCAAACGAAGCGTACTTTGCGGACCACATGTCGTACCAGTAGTTGGTTCGTCTTTGCCAGGGTCCTGTGGTTGCTGCTTTGGGCAGAGTGTCTCGGGCTTTGGTGACGTAGGTGCTGTTCATATCGAGCAGATTCGCCTCCACGAGTTCGCCCCTTCGGATGGCCTCGGGAGTGACCGAGAGCTTTCCGGACTTGGCCATGTGTGCGAGCACGCGGACAACAAAGTGTGCGGTACAGTCGGATCCGAGCGTCCACGCAGCGTTGGTGTAGCCCATGGCAAAAGCAAAGTTGGGGACATTTTCGATCATGCATCCTCTCCAGACAAATTTCTCGTTTGTCTTGACGGCCTCTCCGTCGACATTAATAGCGACCCCGCCGCCGAGCTGCAGCTTAAGCCCCGTCGCGGTGACGATGATGTCGGCGTCAATTCTTTCGCCTGAATTGAGGGTGATCTGGTTGCCCTTGATGGAGGTGATGTTGCCGGTGGCGATCGAGGCATGCCCCTCGCGCAACGCTTGGAAAAAGTCGCCGTTGGGAGACATGCATATCCTCTGATCCCAGGGGTTGTACTTTGGCGTAAAGTGTTTCTCCATCGACACATCGGAAGGAAGCAGCTTCTGGGTCCCCGAAGCGAGCAGGTTTCGGAAGAAGTTGGGGAACGTCCTGGCGAGATGGTAGATTGCGTACGTGGACGCTACGTTTCTCTGTCGAATCAGGAAGGACGCCCACGTCTCGGGAAGGTGGCTCTGAAGCAGATCTGCAAGAGGATCGTTGGGGTTGCGAGCAGCGATGTAGGAAGGAGAGCGCTGAACCAGCGTGACGTGCTTTGTCTTGCCGGCGAGCGCGGGGAGGAGAGTGATGGCGGTAGCGCCCGAGCCGATGATGGCCACCTTCTTGTCCGCATAATCCTGCTCGGTGAGCTTCCAGAACTGCGGGTGTACGACGGAGCCTGCAAAGTCCTCGATGCCCTGGATCTTTGCCTCGAGTGGCTGGTTGTAGTCGTAGTAGCCGCAGCAATTGAGGTAGAACCTGGCGCGGTAGATCTTGGTCTCGCCGGTGAGAGCGTGCTTGGTGGTGACGGTCCAGCACTTGTTCCCGCTGCTCCAGTCTGCTGAGTGCACTTTGGTGTTGAAGCGCGTATGCGAAGCAATGTCGTACTGCTCAGCGACTTAATTGAGATACTTGAGGATCTCGGGTGCGCCGGCGATGGCAGGGCCCTTCCACGCCTTGAAAGCGTAGCCAAAGGTGTGCAGATCCGAGTCGGAGCGGATGCCGGGGTACTTAAAGAGATCCCACGTTCCGCCGAAGGTAGTGCGTCCTTCCAGGATGGTGTAGGACAGATGCGGCAGAGAGTCGGTGAGACGACAAGCTGCATTGATGCCGCTGATGCCAGCGCCAACGATGAGGACGTCGTCGATGCCGGTTGGGTCGTCGTGGCCGTAGGCACTGGCTTCCGGAATGGAGCCCATGATGTCGCAATGATCAGGGCGAACGAATAGGATATGGTGGTTGGTTGGTGCTTTGGTCGGAAGTGCAACAGTGCGGGTCGCTCTTGATGGGCAAGTTGATTAGGATCACGATGGGTGATGCGCATGAACGGTGGCTGTGGCTTGCCGGCTCTTTATATCCGACATGAGACGACCTCGCCGAAGCACAGCGTGGTTTGCAGCGTGGAAGGTTGCCGCTGCCATATCGACGATATACGTTCCACCGTACTCGAGCTTGGACGGAGTGGGTGGTGCTCGATACCCACCATCGAATGTGGATGCATGGCGAAAGTGAAGCGGCCAGTGTTGGTCTATTGCGAAGAGGTAACATTGAGCGTTACGCCCCACAGTGTGGTCACCGCCAGTTACCGCTCCAGGTGTTACTTTGTGGGGAGGGGTTACCACGCGGTCACCTCCACGGAGTTGGTAATGTTTTGGCCTTTTGATAGTTTGGCCGTCACTTGAATGCAATGCAGATTGTCCGTACGCCTCCATTGATGATGGGCAAGACAATTAGGCTGCGCCAGGATGCAAAGAGGTGTCGGAGGTGATTGGTGAAAAGCTCGAAGGCGATGGACTCGCGGCCTGGCGGTTTCTTTGAACAACGCAACTTGCCTGCGCACCACGCGCCACGCATCGTGACCACAAACACGAGCGCGACCGTTTGGAAGGTGGTCATGAGGTCCTGAGCCTTGTTCGGTTCGGACCATTCAAGGGGAAGGGAATACGATGATATGACTCTGGCCATGATCATTGGATCGGGCAGCTCTCGACACCGATTGGGTCAACGATTGGCTCTGCTTGGCCGGCGATATCGTGAGCTGCATGCAAATTACGTAGCAGCCTTCCACACTGCGCTAGGCTGTGCTCAATCTTTTTTTCAATTTCCGACCGATGTTCGATTTCTTCTCCACTTTCTCGCTTTTCGAGAAAACACAGCCATGGCTGAGACCTGTGTGCCTGCAGCTGAGGAACGAGAGGTGGTCGGTGCGATCCACGCCGATGCTCTCTGAAGCGGCAAGGGAAGCCCGCCCACGCATGTCAAGCGAAACGGCTGTCTGGCAGTCGACGGCTGAGATTGGACCCTGCAAAACGAATCGCAGTCCATCATCATCGGCTGTGCCTATCAGAGTGTCAGCCGCCATCGGAATACCCTTTTTGCTTCTCGTCCTTCCTTCCTCTTCTTGTTCTCGTACACACATCATCCCCTCCTTTCGCATTACCTGCTCTGTCATCACACTATCGACCACCATCGGCGGCACCGCTGCTTCTCTTCTTGGCAGTTGCTCGGCTTTTCCTTTCCTGTTCCCACGCTCATTGCTCGGATCCATCCGGCGGTCCTCTGTCACCAACTCAGCTGGCTCGCCATCGTCGATCAGTCACTGATCGCATCATTCATTCGACATGGCCATCTCGAAAAAGGCAGGCGCCAAGAAGGCGGGCGCTGCCTCCAAACCCCCTCCCTCCAAAGGCGCTCCCTCCAAAGGCGGTGTCGCAAAGGCTGATTGGAGGGAAGGCTTCAAGAAGGCGCAAGCGGGTGTATCCGACATGACACTCCTCTCCAAGGTCACCAACGAAGCCATCAACGAAAACCTCCAAAAGCGTTTCCAGAATGCAGAGATCTACACCTACATTGGCAACGTACTCATCTCGGTCAACCCTTTCCGCGATCTGGGCATCTACACCGAGGACATCCTCCAGTCCTATCGCGGCAAAAACCGTCTCGAGATGACTCCACACGTCTTTGCCATCGCAGAGGGCGCCTACTACAACATGAACGCATACAAGGAGAACCAGTGCGTCATCATCTCGGGCGAATCCGGTGCAGGCAAGACCGAAGCCGCCAAGCGCATCATGCAGTACATTGCCGCCGTCAGTGGTGGTTCCAACAGCGGCATCCAGGATGTCAAGGACATGGTGCTCGCCACCAATCCTCTCCTCGAGAGTTTCGGATGTGCAAAGACGCTCAGGAACAACAACTCGTCTCGCCACGGCAAATACCTCGAAATCATGTTCAACGCACAGGGAGAGCCTATCGGTGCCAACATCACCAACTACCTTCTCGAAAAGAACCGTGTCGTACAGCAGATCCGCGACGAGCGCAACTTCCACATCTTCTACCAGTTCACAAAAGCCGCCTCTGCAGCTCATCGCGAAAACTATGGCATCCAAGGTCCCGAGGCTTATGCTTACACCGCCAACAGTCAGTGTCTCGACGTCAACGGCATCGACGACCATGCCGACTACCGCGAGACTATCAGCGCCATGAACACCATCGGTCTCAGTGCCGACGAGCAGGACAATATCTTCCGCATGATTGCCGCCATTCTCTGGATCGGCAACGTCCAATACGTAGAGAACCAGGAGGGAAATGCGGAAATCTCGGATCCGGGTGTCCCCGAGTTTGTCGCATACCTTCTCGAAGTCGACGCCGGCAACGTCACCAAGGCTCTCACGCAACGTATCATGGAGACGCAACGTGGTGGAAGGAGAGGTTCCGTCTACGAGGTGCCGCTCAACCCGAATCAAGCCGCTGCGGCTCGAGATGCCCTCGCCAAGGCCATCTACAACAACATGTTCGATTGGATCGTGGAGCGCATCAACAAGTCGATGAACCCGAAAGCACAGAGCGCAAACGTCATCGGCGTGCTCGACATTTACGGCTTCGAGATCTTTGACAATAATTCGTTCGAACAGCTCTGCATCAACTACGTCAACGAAAAGCTTCAGCAGATTTTCATCGAGCTCACCCTCAAGAAGGAGCAGGAAGAGTACGCCTTTGAGCAGATCCAGTGGACGCCGATCAAGTACTTCAACAACAAGATCGTCTGCGATCTCATCGAAGAGAAGCGTCCTCCAGGCATCTTTTCCGCCCTCAACGATGCCTGCGCTACCGCTCACGCCGATCCTACCGCCGCCGACAATTCGTTCATCCAGCGTACCGGCATGCTCTCCTCCAACCCGCACTTTGACTCTCGTGGTACCAAGTTCCTCATCAAGCATTACGCCGGTGATGTCATGTACAACGTCCAAGGCATGACCGACAAGAACAAGGATTCGCTCCTCAAGGACATTCTCGATCTCGTCGACTCGAGTGCCAACTCGTACCTCCAGAAGCTCTTCCCGGACCGTCCCGACCCCAACAGCAAGAAGCGTCCTCCTACTGCTGGTGACCGTATCAAGTCCAGCGCCAACGCTCTTGTCGAGAACCTCATGAAAGCGCAGCCATCTTACATTCGCACGATCAAGCCCAACCAGAACAAGAGTCCCACCGAGTACGACACCCAGGCAATTCTTCACCAGATCAAGTATCTCGGTCTGCAGGAGAACATCCGTGTCCGACGTGCTGGTTTCGCCTACAGGAACACGTTTGAGAAGATGGTCGAGCGCTTCTACCTCTTGTCGCCCAACACCTCCTATGCCGGCGAGTACACCTGGCAAGGCGATGCTCGCAGTGGTTGCGAGCGCATCCTCACCGACACGGGTATCGCACGCGAAGAGTGGCAGATGGGCGTCACCAAGGCCTTCATCAAGAACCCAGAAACGCTCTTTGCGCTGGAGACCATGCGAGATCGATACTGGCACAACATGGCCATGCGCATCCAGCGCGCCTACCGCAACTACTTGCGCTACAAGGAGGAGTGTGCCAGACGTATCCAACGCATGTGGAAGAACAACAAGGAGGGTCTCCAATACATCCAGCTCCGCGACTATGGTCATCAGGTGCTGGCCGGTCGCAAGGAGCGCAGGAGATTCAGTCTGCTGGGTTCCCGTCGCTTCATGGGTGACTACCTGGATGTCGGCGGATCCAATGGCAAGGGCGGAGGAAGCGCCGAGGGCCAGATGTTGCGACAAGCCTCGCAAATGGCACCGGGAGAGACGGTCGCATTCAGCAGCCGTATCCAGCTTCTCGTGTCGCGTCTCGGCCGTTCGAGTGTACGCAGCCCACGCTTCTTGATCCTCACCGACAAGGCTGTCTACATACTCGTCACTCAGCTCGTCAACAAGCAGGTTGCCACCACGTGCGAGCGACGCATCAACTTGGGCTCCATCTCGGTAGTGGGTCTTTCCAACTTGCGCGATGACTGGGTGGTGCTCAACGTCAACAACGCCGAAGAAGCCGACCCGATCTTCCACTGCTACTTCAAGACGGAACTCGTCACGCATCTGCTGCAGAGGACCAACGGCGCCCTCAACGTGGTCGTCTCCAACAGCCTCGAGTACTCGAAGAAGAAGGGCAAGAAGGCTCAGATCACGTTCAAGAAGGATGAGATGGTCAAGAAGGATGACGCGTACAAGAGCAGTGTCGTCTCGGTCTGCTCGGGTGAGCCTGCCAACAGCGTCTCGCGGCCTGCGCCCAAGAAGAAGCCCGGTCTGGTCCGCCCTATCACCCAAGGAAAGCTCTTGCGCGCTGGTGGCCCGTCCAACCCGAACAACAAGCCCAAGCCACGCGCCATCCCTCGTTCCACACCTGTTGCGGCCAAGTTGCCCGGAAGCGGCGCGACGAGTGCCGCTGCTGCTCCTCGCCCCGTCGCAGCAATCGCGTCCGCGGGCGCTGGCGGCGCGGCTCGCTCTGCTCCTCCACCGCCTCCTCCTCCTCCCGCAGCAGCAGCCCCGGCTGAGCCCCAGGTGCCGCGCTACAAGGCACTGTACGCATTTGCTACCGAGAATGCAGGCGAGATGGCGCTGGAGAAGGATGATGTGGTCGAGGTGACTCAGAAGGACGAGACGGGCTCCGGCTGGTGGCTCGTCAAGAAGAACGGAGTAGAGGGCTGGGCGCCGTCCAACTACCTCGAGTTGATCCCCCAAGCTCCACCCAAACCGAAGGCTGCCCCTGCTCCCCCCGTCAAGCGAGCGCCTCCTCCTGCTCCTTCGGCCAACGGTTCCGGGTCGTCTACTCCCACCAACCGACCTGCTGTTGCTGCAAAGCCTGCTTTCAGTGGCGGATCTGGTGCTGCAGCACCGATCGTGCAGCCGAAACCCACGGTCAAGACCACACCAGCGGGAGCAAAGCCGCACGAACGTCCTGTAGCTGTTCAGGCCGAGGCGGGAGCTGCACCGGTAGCTGTGATGCCCGGACTCGGCGCTCCCGGTGGATTTGCAGCTGTCCTGGCGAAGAAGAAGGCGGAGAACGCTGCTGCCGCTGCTGCCAACGGCAGTGCGAATGGCAGCGGCGCTGCACCACCTGTAGCTACAAAGCCACCTGTGGCTGCCAAACCCGCGGGCACCAACGGCAGGGCCATGCCACCGCCGCCTCCGCGTCGTTAGTATCGATGCAGATGTCAGAATACAACCTTTTCCTTGTGCGACCTCGGCTGACGGGTGAGATTCAGCAACGAAGGCAAGGACAAGTGTCTATTTGAGCGTGCTGGACGTGTCGCCAGGGGCGAGAAGCAGCAGTGTAAGGGTGGGCCAGATTCGGAGTGGGGGGAAGCCCCCCATTTGGTCGCCGTCTCGCCGTCGGCTTTTCGTCACAGCAGCCGCCCCTTTGTTTGTTGGTTGTGTTGGTCAGCCTCGTCGGTCCATCAAGCCTTCAGATTCATCATTACGAGCGGCCGTGCAAGCTCGCTCTGTTCAATATCAGTCGGTCAGGAGGCCTCTGCTCGTGTTGGTTTTTAACAGGATGGTGATCACTCACGCTCATTCAACGCCTTCAATGCACGATTGGGAGCGCTGATGACCCGGGACGTGTGATATCAGAATCGCTCATGCACCGTCCAGGTCCGTGCGGTGGACGGCCCGCAGGCCAACCAACCTTAACGGGTTGGACGATGATCTACCCGCTCTGACTCACATTCGAGCGGTTCCATGTCCCGCTCTGACGTGTGCTCTTGTCGTCTCGGCACGAACCGTCACCTCACATTCGGCCTTCTGTTCTCCGCAGCACCCATTCCTTCTCGGCCTTCTCCGCCCAGTACAGAGCCTCTTTTGACATCCCAGGTATGCTCCGACAGGTCGTGGGAGAATATTGATTGCCTGTGGCGGATGTTGAAGTATGAGACAGGAGCGGTAGCGAGTTAGGAGGAGGAGGAACGTGTGCGGTAGAGCGTGGCACGCAACGTGCGCTTCCACACGGGTACAATGGCGAACACTGCGCAATTCTGGTCAGGAGCTCGCTTTAGCACTGCACACGACACCCATTGACGAAGCACAACGTCCGTGCTTGCGACGGGAAAGAGACGTATGACGCTTTGTTCGCCAGTACGGGTGTTGAAGGATGGAATCGCATGAAGCAGAAGCGAGCTCTCTCCCATCGAAGCGAGGCGAAAACTTCTTGGCGTCCCGACGTCGCCGTCTATAGCCTCCCGCCAGTTGAGCGGTGTCCCAACGCTAAAACCCGCAAACTCAAAATCCAAGAACGTGGCCATCCTCGACAGGCTCCTGCATCTCTTGGCATTCCTCTCGCCGCTTTCTCCACCTGTCTCCTTGTGCAAATAGGGATGCCTCGCATACTCGCCATCCTCTCGCTGGTCTCTGGTCGTGATTGGCCGACATCGAACCCACTTTCATAAATTGGTCCTCTCGCTTGCAAAGCGTCAGTGCACGATCGCCTTCGAATTGGACTCCGCTATAGTGCAAAGCGGCGGCATCGGTGGCAAGGGTGGCGACCGGAAGTGCGGCTTCCGACGTACTCGACCTTTCGTCCGTCCCTCGCCTTGTCGCGGCGATTCAAGAAGTCACGAAAGCGAGAACGTGCTTCCAGGGTCCTGACAAAGCTTCCTATCAGCTTGCCCTCGTTGCCGCACGGATCTGCAGAACTATGATGCGCTCATTCTAATTCACACACGACATCCTGAGAATGCATTGCCTTGCCCTTTGCACAAGTGTCTGTGGCTTTGTCGTTCCTGGTTTCTCGCTTCTGCGTCGCCGCGTTCCCAATGTTGAAGTCATGAGAAGTTCCCAGGACAGGAACGTGCCCTTCTCGAGCCTCTCTTCGACAGCCACTGAAACCTTAAGCTGACCATCAAAGTCATGTCGGCCTTCGTTGTGTCGAGAAGATCCCTCATTGTATATAACCGGTGTAGGACTCCTCTCTCTTCCAAACTATCGACAAGATCCCCTCTTCACCCCACGCTACATCCCATCTTCATCCTTCCGTACACATCACCTTCGCCATGCAACTCCAAGGTATCTTTGTTCAACTCGGAGCTATCATGCTCCTGGCTCTCAGCGCCACTGCTGCTCCCGGCTCCAAGCGCAACAACGGTGGCCGTCAGCCCAACGTCATCCAGCTCATCTCGGACGGCTTCGGTCCGACCTCCGAGACCTACGCTCGCGAGTACATGCAGAGCGCTAAGGGTCTCGCCTGGAACGTCACCTTGCCCCTCGACAAGCTTCTCGTCGGTGAGGTCCGCACCCGTTCGACCGACTCGCTCGTCACCGACTCGGCTGCCTCTGCGACCGCCTACTCGTGCGGCCTCAAGAGTGTCAACGCCTACATCGGTGTCGACACGGACAAGAAGCCTTGCGGTACCGTCCTCGAGGGCGCCAAGGCCAAGGGCTACAACACTGCGCTCGTCACCACCTCGCGCATCACCCACGCTACTCCTGCCTCGTACTCGGCCCACGTCGACGACCGTGATGCTGAGGACGAGATCGCCAGCCAGCAGATCGGCCGCTACGTGCTCGGTCGCCAGGTCGACATGCTCTGGGGTGGTGGAAAGCGCCACTTCCTGCCCAACACCACTTCGCCTGGTATCCGAACCGACGGCCGCAACCTGATCCAGGAGGCCAAGGAGAACTGCGGCTTCAACATTGTCAACAACCGCACCGACTTTGACGCTCTCCAGGGTGGTTACGCTCTCAAGCTTCCCTCGCTCGGTCTGTTTGCCTCTTCGCACATGGCCTACGAGATTGACCGCAACGCCACCGAGCAGCCCTCGCTCAAGGAGATGGCCCTGACCGCGCTCAACGGTCTCCGCCAGCAGAACACGCCCTACTTCATCATGATTGAGGGTGCTCGTATCGACCACGCTGCGCACAACAACGACCCCGTCGGCCACATTCACGACATTCTGCAGTACAACGAGATGGTCCAGGCTGTCGTCGACTGGGTTGACGAGAACGCTGCCAACAACGAGGATGAGCCCGAGACTGTCGTCTTCTCGGTTGCCGACCACGAGTGCGGTGGTCTCACCCTGGGTCTGCAGCGTGCCGAGGACGAGGAGGCCTACTACGGCTGGTACCCTGATGTGGTGATGAACGCTACGCGCTCGACCGAGTTCCTGGCTGGCGCCACTGCCAAGTGGTACGCCGCTGCCAACCGCACCGATGCCGACCTGAGCGCCTACATCAAGAACGAGGTGGTCACCAAGGGTCTCGGCATCCAGGATGTTCAGGATGGCGAGATCTCGCGTGCCGTCGACCTGGCCAAGCTCAAAAACCAGATCCCCTACACCGTTTGGCTTTCGTCGATTGTCAGCTGGCGTGCGCACCTAGGCTGGGCGACGACCGGCCACACGGGTGTCTCTGTGGGTCTGTACTACCACGAGGCTAAGCCCAAGGACGTGTGGAGCGACAAGTACAAGGCGTACCAGAAGCGTCGCTCGTCGGTCATCGGCTCGCACGAGAACACATGGATCGGAGAGTGGATCGCCGAGTACCTCAACCTCGACCTGGCCTCGATCACCAAGACGCTCAACAACGGCTCGGACTACAGCTGGTACAGCAACTGGGGCGACAAGCTGAGCACGTTCACCGATAACCTGGAGCACTACCACGGCGGTCTCAGCCGTGTGATCCCTGCGCGATCGGCTGCCGAGAAGCGTGACCTGCACATTGACAACCACGCCGAGAACGAGCCTCTGCTCAGGAGGATCCACGGCCCCCGTGGCGGTGCCACGCTCGAGGAGAGGAGCCACTCGAACGCTCGTCGCCAGGAGCTCTAAGTCATTGCTTCCTCATGCGGTCTTAGCGTCATCAAAAGTTTATCATGTCTTCAAGTACATAGAGAATACCATTCGCCGTTCCTAGTCATGCTCGCATTTGATCTCTTTTGTCTGTTTCATTGTCATCCTCGAGGTCATCGACGCCCTTAAGGCAGCTGGGCCAACCTGCGTCCCAGGCTCAGCCAGACGCCAACGCCGGTCCATCGCGCTTCCCGATATTACTAGGCCATTCAATATGTTAGGCCGCATTCTAGTGTCTTGCCGTTGCAAACAGCAGCAGCGAAGTGACGCCAAGGAGCGGTGAAATGACTGTCGTGTGCATCTGGTCAAAAAATTTGTATATTCGCACGAAAGATTGGGAGAACGCGAAAATTCTTCCTAGCCTCTGAACGCGGCAGCAGACGGGCGAGTGGCAAAGCGGGCTCTGGCCTCGCAGCCAGCCGGTGACTCGCCCGCGGCGGCTTTCAACAGGACGAGCGGCAATTCTTCTCAAGGATTGAAGCGGTGGGCCAACCATCAGCAAGCCATTTGTCGCCCACCGCAGACCACCTCTTGCGCCCTCTGCTCTCATCATCAAGTTTGAAGACTCATCGTCGGAGCAGGGTACGACACAGATGCGCTGGCAGCACTTGAAAGCTGCGTTTGATTCTCACGCCAACAATGTGACTAGGCAGAAAGCGAAGCCAGCAATAGAGCTGGCAGGAGGGCGCTGTCGCATTCCCCCGCCTTGAGCCGCACCCGCACCCTTGTTCTTTGAAATGTGACTCGCGCCGCCTTTCTGACGAGTGACCTTTTTTGAATTTCTTCCCAAGGCTGCGCCCACTGCGTCGACTGCATTATCGCGCTGTGCAACTGCAGTTGGCCTGTCTGCCAATCTCGGTATTTCTCCGAAATCGCATCTTCTTCCTGTCTCTTTCAGCTGGTCTGGCCTGCCAAGTCAAAATCCAAGATCAAAAAAGGCAGCAGCACAGCACGGCGCAGAGCAGCGGCGCGAAACCAAGTCGAGTCAACCGACCGACCAAAGCCTTTCTCCTTTCCTTCTTCCAACCACATAGCACTCGATCATATCCCTCGCCATCATGTGTGACCACAACGACCCTACCCCAATTCAGCACGTCAACGGCGGTGCGCCCGACACCCACGTCGCCATCGACACCTCGGCTCCCAACCACAACGGCTCCAACGGTGTCGCCAAGGACAACGGCAACGTCGGCAACGTTCAGCCTTTCGCTTCTCGCTACTCGGACTTCTTGAGCAACGTCTCCAACTTCAAGATCATCGAGTCCACCCTTCGTGAGGGTGAGCAGTTCGCAAACGCCTTCTTCGACACCGAGACCAAGATCAAGATTGCCAAGGCTCTTGACAAGTTCGGCGTTGACTGCATCGAGCTCACCTCGCCCGCCGCCTCGGAACAGTCGCGCAAGGACTGCGAGGCTATCTGCAAGCTTGGCCTCAAGACCAAGGTTATCACCCACATTCGATGCCACATGGACGACGCAAGGATCGCCGTCGAGACCGGTGTCGACGGTGTCGATGTCGTCATGGGCACCTCCAAGTTCCTTCGTGAGTTTTCCCACGGCAAGGACATGACCTACATCACCAAGACCGCCATCGAGGTCATCCAGTTCGTCAAGAGCAAGGGCATCGAGATCCGCTTCTCCACCGAGGACTCGTTCCGTTCCGACCTCGTCGACCTGCTCAGCATCTACCAGGCTGTCGACAAGGTGGGTGTCAACCGTGTCGGTATCGCTGACACCGTCGGTGTCGCCAACCCGAGACAGGTGTATGACCTTGTCCGCACCCTCCGTGGTGTCGTCGGTTGCGACATCGAGTGCCACTTCCACAACGACACTGGCTGTGCCATCGCCAACGCCTACACTGCGCTCGAGGCCGGTGCCACCCACGTCGACACCTCGGTCCTCGGTATCGGTGAGCGAAACGGTATCCCTTCGCTCGGTGGTTTCATCGCCCGTATGTACACCGCTGACCGCGAGTACGTCATGAGCAAGTACAACCTCAAGGCGTTGCGTGAGGTCGAGAACCTCGTCGCCGAGGCCGTTCAGATCCAGGTCCCCTTCAACAACTACGTCACCGGCTACTGCGCCTTCACCCACAAGGCTGGTATCCACGCCAAGGCCATTCTTGCCAACCCTTCCACATACGAGATCATCCGTCCCGAGGACTTTGGTATGAGCCGATACGTCTCGATCGGCCACCGTCTCACTGGCTGGAACGCGGTCAAGTCGAGGTGTGAGCAGCTGGAGCTCACCTTGACCGAGGACCAGGTCAAGGAGGTCACCGCCAAGATCAAGAAGCTCGCAGATGTACGCGAGCAGACGATGGAGGACGTTGACTCGATCCTCAGGAACTACGCCCGTGCCATCGAGAACGGTACCGCCTAATTGCGTTTCGGCGCAGCTCGTCTCTCCCTCATATATTTCTGCCGTGTCGACAGAGACCACCAAAATTTCACCCAGCAAGCGCCATCTGCTGTCATGGCCGCTGTGCTGTTCTCACCTGTCCATTCCGTCGTCGCATCAATGCATTCCAGTTCGCGTCCATTCTCTCATTCTCGCCGGCTGTGCATCTTTCTCGTCCTGCAACCTCCACGCAACGCTTCTTTGCAGCTTGATTATCATGCCCCTTTACTTGATCACCCTGGATCACAATTGCGCGCCTTGCACGGCGCACTACTGTGTGCTTCATCAGCGCTGTTCCCTCGAGAATCGCCAGCGCGCTCATGTGTGACCTTCCGCCAGGTTTGGGGTGCTGCCCGATTAGAGATATGGCACCAGGTTCGGATACTAAATTGATTGATCCGTGTGCTTGCCAACATGAGTTGTGTCTTATCTTGTTTGTCAACGACAGCGAAGCTTCCCTTGCACGGGACGAGTGGCCGTCATTCGGCAGAGGTGCAAAGCGGCAACCTCGACCCTATCCGACCACGTCGAAAATTTGACCACAGTCAGCCTGGCTAACGCCGAAGTAGCCGCTTTTGGTTCCCTCCACGGCCATTTTCTGACAGCTTAATCTGCTCTTTCATGTGATAGTGCATGACGATCATCTGAAACAATGCCAGTCCTCACGCTGCCATCCACCAAATTTGGCCGATCCTGAGATACGACACATCATCAGACGGCCGTGAGATACAACCATCCACCCGCCTACCAACTCGACCTTCCCATGCGCATGCTAAGTCTACCGCCATGCACGTTCCGATAGACAACATCGAGCCAGTCTCGGGCTTCCTCACGGGTCACAACCCGCGCCGTACCAAGAGCATTCTCTATGGCGCTGCTCTCGCTGCATTGGTGTGGGCGGTCACTCCTATCAGCTATGCTATCTTCATCCGGCGAATGCTCAAGACGGGCTCGTTCATCTCGATCCCGCGGGGGTTCTGGGCCAAGTTCTGGTACTGGTACTCGTTGTTCGAGATTCCCTTCAGCATCTATCTCTGGATCCTCACACGAAGAGCCGCCAAGCAGCCACCTCCGCTCAGCGTCGAGATGCAAACCCTCCACACCCTCCTGACCAAGTCGCTTACTGCCGGTCTGGCTCCTGCTCCACAGGGTCCAGCTGCGGGCACTCGCAGTCGTAGCAACGGCCAAGACGGCCACATTTCTGATAAGAAGGTCGAGCAACTGCTCGGCATCAAAGCTTTCGAGAGCAGGCCAGTGGACCAAGACGATGCAAAGCAGCGGCGCGAACGCTTCCGCTCATGGTTCTTATTTGCAGAGCCCGAGGACATCTACGAGGACAACGTTCGCGAGTGGCTCGCATGGGCCTTTGCCGCTCGCAATCTCCAAGACGCCCTCGCCGACGAAAAGTACGCGAGCCTCCTCAATGACGGCCTGGAGATGGTCAAGCTGCGCCTTGGCTGGCCCGACATGAAGAAAGGATACAATCCCAAGGTCAAGGCGATCCGCTTGACGCTCGATCCGGTGCGGACTTTGCACCGTCCGTTTGGGTATTACGTTGTGACAAACGGAGTCAGCTTCGGAACCATCGCCTGGTTGCTCTTGACCAAAGGCTTCAAGTGGGAGACTGATGGCAAGTGTACTTTCCTCGTCAAGCCTGCAGCGAAGAGAGGGCGAGATGAGAAGCCATCGCAGCCGATCGTCTTTCTCCATGGTCTCGGCATCGGACTCGGCCAGTACACTTCGATGCTCTCCTACCTTGCCAAGCACAAGGACGGTGTAGTCATTCTTATTCAGCCTCACATTTCGACCAACATCTTTTCCAAATACTTCCTCGAACCGCCTTCGAAGGATGAACAAGCCCAAGCCACCATCTCGACGCTGCGCAGGCACAACTTCAACAACGTCACAACGCTCAGCCATTCCAACGGCACCATGGTGCTCGGATGGCTACTGCGCACGGCACCGACCATGTTCAATCGCAACATCCTCGTCGATCCTGTCTCGTTCTGCATGTGGGAAGGCAGTGTCTGCTATTCCTTCATCCACCGCCGTTGGGCAAGCGGGATCGAAGCGCTGCTCGGCTACTTTGTCGGTAGAGAGCTGGGCGTCGCGCACACCATCGCCCGACGTTTCCTGTGGTTCGACATGATCCTCTGGGCAGACGAGTTCCCTAGCTTGGACCCCGAGAAGCTGCAGTTCATCTTCGCAGAGCGAGACGTGCTCGTCGACGTCCCAGGCAGCGTCAAGTACCTCACCGACGCGGGCGTCAGCAAGGAGTGCATCACCGTGATGCGGGGCTACAACCACGGCCAGGCGCTCATTGTCGACAACAACGGCATGAAGTTGGCTATGAAACAGGTCCGTCTGCGTGTCTGATTGTAACATATCATGGAGATGATTTGCTTGTATATTACCATAGAGTTCCCTCTAATCGATGCTTCCATCTTGTTTCTCAATTCGTCCCGGCTCATGTTGTGTCCCATTCAAGGATGACACGCGATGTGTGTGCATGGCAGATCTACTCCACAGAGCCGCCATGAGCGGTGTTTCCCGATCAGAGCTTGATTCACTCCGGTGCGAAGGCAGAGGACTCAATGTGAGTGTGTATGCATTGGCTGCGCTGTGAAGAGCTGTTTCTGAAAAAGTCTACGAGTGTATGCCTTGGCATGATGCGCGCTACGCTGCCGACGCAGGTCGGAGCGAGTTGTAGTGCTCGCCCAGCCCATACATCTTTCGGTGATAAGAGATGAACAGTGGCTCTCCATCGTACTCTCCCTCTCCCACCTTGAGCACCGGTACGCCCGACTGGACCACGTTGATCTGGGTGTGAAAGGCTCTGGACAGAGCCAAAATCTCGGGTTGGCCGCCCCACACGCCTGTATTCTCGACGGCGCTGCAATAGTCGAGAAAGTGTCTTTCCTGTGCCTGCTCGCTATTGAGCGTGCCCGCTTCCTTGTTGACGATGCCCGCCATGTGCTCGTCCGAGTCCGAGATGAAGGGTTTGTACTCGTCGGGATGCGTGCGCATCTCTTGCGCTGTTGCTCTTCGCGCGGCTTTGTAGTCGGTCGGAGTGTCCACTTTCCTTCGCAGGTTGAGCTGGTCGGCGACGGCAGCGTAGAGGCAATGACCGTCCGGATTGATCTCGTGCATCGAGACGCCAAGCGCGGCACACATGGACGAGATGCCCTTTCGTTCCATTTCTGCCTCGTCCGGTTTGTCTCCGCCTAGCCTCACTTCTTCCTCGGCTTGTCTGCGCATCTCTGCCGCCTCAGCTGCCTTGCGATCCTTCCGCTGCTGCTGACGGCTGACTTTCTTCATCGGTGCCGTGTCTAATGGTGACGCCTCTGCGCTCTTATCGCTGCCGCCGAACAGCTTGCGTATCGAGTTTCGCCTCTGGCTTGGACTAGTACCGGTGAGTTGAGCAGGGTCTTGATCTGCTGCGTCGCTGTGGTCGTGACCGTGGTGACGTAGCCCGTTGATCAGACGCTCTCCAGCTCCTCGCAACCCGGTGTGTGTCGACTCCGTCTTGCTACTCGACTCGGAGGGTGTTGGCTTATTGCCTGCGGACGAAATCGGTTGAGCCGCACTGGTCGATGCAGCGCTTTGAGCATCTCTTTCATCGAGAGCGGCAAGCAGCTCGTCAGCCAGGTCGAAGCCGTTGTCATCTACGAATGGGTCAATCACGTTCGGCTCAGCCGCGCCGATGTCCGAAGGCGGTGCGGCCGAACGCGATCCTTTCTTGCCTTTCTTCGGCATGCTTCCGGTATTGGTAGAGTGATCTTGTTATGTCGGAAGGCGACAGTGCGGACGGGCCGAGACGAGGATGATTGTGTGGTGGCAAGCGCTGACCTTTCGGAGGCAGGCTTCCGATCTTGTGTGATTGTCAAGAAGTCGAGCTTCGGTAGAGTGTGACTCTGCAGTTTCTTTTTGTGCCACCTTTTCTCGGACCCTTTTTTTGTCACGGATGTGAGCCGTTCCTTGCAGCGCAAGAAGACTTCATCTGGGTGGAGGTGATGATGGGCTCGGACCATGCCGAATCACGAATGAATGCAATTACATACGTTGCTCTTTGTTGTCACAGCTTGGCATCGACCACCATCATCGCTTTTCAACATCGGCAAGACTCACAAACGGTCATCACTGGACACCATGGCCAAGGGCACGAGCGCCATCGACCCGAGCAACTACGCCTCGCTCGGCCTCACCCACGTTCAATATGATCCATCGGACTCGTTTGCCAAGCTCCTCGCCCTGGTCACCCTCTCGCCCATCTTCCTCCTCTGCTCCTATGTGACCATCATCCTTCTTCGCCGAGAGCTGACCTTCATCAATGCGCTCATCGGACAACTCGCTTGCGAGGGACTCAACTGGGGGCTCAAGCGTCTCTTTAAGCAGCCTCGTCCTACGGATCGTCTCGGTGCTGGCTATGGAATGCCTTCGTCCCACTCGCAATTTCTGGGCTTCTTTGCTGCCTTCTTCCTGGCGCACTTCTACCTCAACCGTCCTCCTCTCGTCAAGCCGCGCACGCTAATCAACTCGATGAGGCGGTTCGAGCACGGCCTTGCCATGGTCTTGATCGCTTCCATCACCATCTTGACGTGCTACTCGAGGCATCACCTGCACTATCACACGCCTCTACAGATCATCGTCGGCATCTCGATCGGACTCGCCTTCGGAAGCATCTACTACTACTTTACAGAGTATCTCTCGAAGAAGCCGCTTCGACTACCGGCTCCCCTCGCCGTCTCGGAATCCTCCTCTCCTCTGGCCATCCGTGCCAACCGACTGCTTTCGCCCATCACCACCTCACCAAGGCCCGAATCAGGTCTACGACAGCGTAAGCAACGAAGAAGATCCTCCACCCTCAGCGACATGATCCTGCCGGAATTGCATCCTTCTCCGCCCATCCGACAGATCCTCCTCGACCATCCCATCGCAATCGCCTTCCGCATCCGAGACAGCTGGGCTGTCTGGCGGGATGGCGGCATCGAAGGCGAATACGGTGCGTGGAGGCGCGAATGGGAAGCTCGAAGAGCCGCCTCGACGCCAGTCAACAGCGCAGCAGCGGCCCAACTTGCTGGTAGCGGTGACGTCGGTCGATCGGCTCGCCACTACGACATGATGCTGAAAGCTCTGGACGAAGCGGACAAGTCTCCACCCACCGACGCTGCTTTCTGCGTAGGCTGCGTCATCTCCTTCACGAGCGACTCCTCGCGCGCCTCGTCCGCGGACATCCTCGCAACCGGCTTCTCGAGGGAGCTCCCCGGCAATACACATGCCGAACAGTGCGCACTTGACAAACTTGCCTCAGACTTCAAGTCGAAGGCGCAGCAAAAGACGGCAAAGAACGTGCCGACGCTCGATCTCGACCTGTATACGACCATGGAGCCGTGTTCAGAGCGACTCTCGGGCAATCTGCCTTGCGTACAGCGCATCCTCCAGTTCAATGAGCAAGGCAACATCTTTACTCTTCCGCGACGCCTCGTCCAGCAAACGACGCAAGCCGACAGCGTGGCAAAGTCGGGCGACAGCGTCCAGGCTAAGCTGCGCATTCGACGCGTGTTCCAAGGTGTCGCCGAGCCGGACGACTTTGTCAACTGTCAAGGCCAAAACCTGCTTCGAGACCGAGACATTCAAGTGCACACCGTGCGCAGCAGCAAAGACGACGACGGACAGCTCGAGCAGGACTGCCTGCGGATCGCTAGAAAAGGGCATCCAGCAGACAAGTGAAGGGAGAACGCAAGAAATGTCATTGTGCAGGGGTATCATACAATGCGATAAACGAGCCGAATCATGTGCACGAACAACGAAACCAGAGCGAGCAAAATAATGAACGGAGCGATCCTTGAGGGGGAAGTGAGCGGACTCCAGAGACGAATTTGTGCTTTTCTAGTGCATGGGAGCAGAGCCACCTTCCTTGCTGAGCGCGACCCAAGCGCCGCTGCCCAGAATGACGACGCTGCCGACCATCGAGACCCAATCGGGCACCGAGCCGAACAGCAGCAGCTGCCATGCGAGTGCAAAGATGATTTGAAGATACGACATGGTCGCTGCCCTCCCCGCCGATTCCCTCTGCAGTCCAAGCGTCTGGAACACCTGCGCTAGCAGACTGAACAGCCCGACTGCGAGCAGCAGCATGAGGGACAGAGTCGAGGACGGAATCACAAACGGCTGATCGAGCACCCACATGGCGACGAAGCTTGAGACCCAACTGCAGAGCGAAAAGTAGGCGATCGAGTGGTACGTCGAGGCGCGTTTGCCGATGCGGCGCAGGCACACCCAGGCGCCCGCCATGAGGACCACGCCGCAGAGCGCCACGAGGATGCCCACGATGCGATCAGCTTCCGTCGCCGAGCCGGGTTCGGAGGGTGGGGGGATCTCGACATCGCCGTCTTCGGGAACGCCTTCGCCTGTGTTCTTGCCAAATAGGAAGGAGGGGCGTGCGATAAGGGTGACACCGGCCAGCGAGAGCACGCCAGCGATCCGCTCGCGCACCGTGAACGGCTCGTGCAGCATGATATGAGCCAGAAAGCCGGTTGCCAGGGGCGAGAGGAAGGTGATCACCGTCGCATCTGATAGCGAGAGAGCGTGCAGCGAGATGTAGAGAGCAAGCGTCGAGGAGAAGCCAAACATGCCTCTTGCAAGCAACAGCGCTCGAGCGCCCGGTGGCCCGAGCAGGATGTGCTCCGTCTTCGCCAGGCACATGGCGAGCATGCAGCCGATCCAAATGATCAGACACTCCACGCCGACGATCTCGAGCGCACCGATCGCCTGTGTGTCTCCCTGTCCTTCGCGGTCGTCGAGAAGCTTGACGAAGAGGTTCATGGTCGAGTACGAGACCTGGCTGACGGCGATCAGCATCAGGCCGAGGTTGGTGCCAGGGTTGGGTGATGGGTCGACGAGCGCTTGGCGAATCGAGATGCCGCTGATGTCGCCCTGTTCCGTAGGAGCCTTGCTCCACGCCGAGCCTTCCCGGATCACATCTTCCTCCTGGATCAGGTGTGGTCGGCGGTGCGAGTAGACGGAAGGTCGCAAACTGGAGACCGCGGAAGGTCGACGATGCGAGAAAGCTGTGGCGGACTGCCTCCTGCTCGTGTACGAAGACGACAGCATGGGCTGCCGCTCCTCGTCGAACGACTCAAAGTCGCTCCTGCGCTCCTGCTCGTCGAGTCTCTGCTGCGCGACAATGTACTCGTTGGGGTGAAAGATAGACGCAAAGTCGCTCAGCATGCTCGTTGCGCCCCAGTCCGGATCATCGCCGTCGCGGCCGTACATGTACGTGGCGTCTTCATCATCGCCTTCGCTGATGGTGCGGCGGCTGGTTCCAGCAACGCTGTTGTCCCCCTCTTGTCCTTCCTCATCGATGCTGTCCTGCGTTTCGCTACGACTCGTACTGCGTTCGAGATAAGAGCCCCCCGGAATCACCGAGCCGTACGACGCCGGATTGAAGTCGGTTGCGGGTTGCACTCGTCCCGGTGGTGCTGCCGACATTGTTGTTGCGGTATAGAAGGGGCGTCGTCGTCACCAGGAAGGAAGAGCAGGCGAGCCCGAGCCACCTGGACGACGGAAGACTTGGCAGAGATAACGAAGAGCGCAGTAGTCGAAGAGTGAGAACTTTCTTCTAGCTTCGCTCCTCCGGCTCACTTTTTTTCGTCGCGCGGCTGTGCGTTTTTCCGTCTCCGCGCCTCCACACCAATCAACGCGAGTCTCGATTTGAGCCTTTTGAGTTTTGTGTTTTTTGAGTTTTGAGCCTTGAGCCTTGCAATTCAACAAGCCTGACCCTTTGCTGCATCCCAATCCAAATACGCCAACATTGTTCTTAAATGCAGCTCTCTTGCTTGTGCAGATCTTGTTATGCGCAAGACTACTGGTGTCCACTTTGGCTCTGGTATACAAGACATGTCCTGGTTGATTTGCTCACCCATACACTCCATCAATCCCTGACAGAAACCCTCTTAGGACGTACAGAGCCACCAAGATGCTCAACACATTGTCAATGGAAATTGATCCACCCAAAGCCACTCAGTATGCGCCCAACAGCAACAAAGACAAATCTGACACAGACAAGAAAGAGGACAAGCAGATGCTGCCTGTTGCAAGCAAAGACAAGGACAAGCAGATGCTGCCCGTTGCAAATGAAGACAAGGCAAGCAGATGCTGCCTGTTGCGCATTCAGCTCTGTGAAGGTCACATCTCTGGTCCCAACCACCTCACACGCCAGCAACTTGAGGACCTTTGGCTCACCAACAACAACCTTCTTCACCTCAGCGCCTCATACAGTCTCCACCTCAACACTTGCAGCCACCCTTGGCAAGGGCTCATCATCTCCTCAGGAACCTCAGGCTGACTCACAGAAATGGGCTGAACCAATGTTCTTGCAAGTCTGTTGCTGCTGCAAGATGCGTTGTTGCGTTGACCTAGACCGCAACCTCTGCGTCACCTGCTGGGTCCAATGCTTACCTTCTCCTCTTCCCTTGCTTCCCTACATGGGCATCATGCAATTGATCTCTGGCTTTTGCCAGGATTGCTTAACCATGCCTCAGTGCTTGTGCAACCCTCCTGTCCCTCTTCCTTCCTTGCTTGTACCATACACTCCAAGGCATGTGTGTGTATGTACATGTCTTGAATGTTTGGGTTTCTGTTACGGCTGGTGTCTTGGCAATGCCACAACGTCTTGGGTACCACCAGGTGTTGCAGCAGGGTAGGCAGTAGCAGAAGGAATTCTACAGGACTCACTTGTACGCAAGACAATTGGACCAACGCAACACGCATCCTGGGATTGCTGCTACGCCTTGGCTTGTCAAACTGCCCAGGACTTGTTGCGCGCCACCCAGCATGCCTCACGGTGAGGAAAGAAGGCTCACTTGTTGCGAGTCTAGTCAGAGTTAGGGTTAGGGTTAGGGTTAGGGTTAGGGTTAGGGTTAGGGTTAGGGTTAGGGTTAGGGTTAGGGTTAGGGTTAGGGTTAGGGTTAGGG